CAACATTCTTTAAAATGTCTTCTTTTGTGTTCTACAGAAGTTTAAAACAAGTGGAGGTAGAGGAAATGGTGGGTTTTCATTTTTGGGTGAGCTGTCCCTTTAACATACTTTAAACATTAACATGTTCACGGTTCTGTGATGTCAATTAATGGAAACATTAAGGGAGAATATATATATATATATATATATATATATATATATATATATATATATCCCCCCTTTAATAAGGTTTTCGTTAATGAACTTATTTTTTAATGAAGTCTCTCAAAGCTTTAAAAATGTAATGGCTCTATCCTAAGTTATTATGAATCTGTATTTGGTGTCTTATGAATGTCTTCTATTTTGTTTCTCTGTTTCGTTCTTCTATTTAATTTCTTTTATCTTTGTACCTTTCGTTTTTGATGCCTGCTGTTTTTCTTTTTTTGTAACTGTAATTTACCAATGCACAATAAAAACACATCTATCCATCCATCCATCCATCCATCCATCCATCCATCCATCCAATCCTATCTGATCTATGTCACACGATGTATTTTGTGGTTTTAATTTATATTTATTAATATATCTCTTATGAGCTGAGTGATATGACACGATGCGTAAACATGCATTAAACATTTATATTCAACAGTTTACTACATGCGTTTGTTGGCTCAATATCACAATATGCATGTTAAACTAAAAAAATCTACAAATTAAATAGAAATTAAAAGTATTCCAAGCTGAAGAAATGTATAATCTCTTCTGTATTTTGTTGATATAAGATGCTCCATGCCTAGTTGCACTGGCTATTAGCTCTATAATGCTGGTCTCATTTTTAAAATAGGTCCCACATACATAGTAGATTTTCATTCTAAGGCATTTCTAATACTTAGATTAAAGAAACAATATTAATAAATATCACCATTTAAATTCCACTATCGAACTACAGCATAACGTCTCTGTACCATGGCATTTGTATTGGTACAGGCAGCACCTGATTCTGCATGTTGCCCGTGAGAACAGCTACTCAAAGGTGATGATGGGAGAAAGCTGTTCACGACTGGCTGTCAAACTGCTCAGTAACATCGCTCTGGGCCGCGGAGCAGCGCTGGCTTCAGACACGGTGAGAAAAGAGGGTCCTGAACTGTTAAACGCCCATTTCTTATACGAGCATGAAGACTAAAGCTGTTTTTGTAGGGTTTCTCTGATCCTCGGTTTGGAGATGTGGTGATTGTGCGGCCCATGAGGGACTATTCCTCTAAAGAGATCACCTTCTACAACCGAATGTTTCATGTGCCCTCTGTGTTTATCCCAGGACTGGATACCAAGGTGAGAGTCTGTGGTCAGGCTGAAAGTGATGTCACTCTTTGTCATCTGCTGCTCACATTTTTTATGCCTTCAGTCATGTGTGTCTTTCAAATGTTATTACGTCAAAGCTTAGTTGAAGATCTTAGTACGTTACATTACAGCCTCTTTTTCCACGTTAAATGGAGCTAATGAATAAATTGTTTAGATTCTTATTTTGGTCATTTTTATATAGATCAGGGGTCTCAACCTCAAATTGGTAGTTTAAATTGCTATGAAAATACTACAAATAATAGGCAGAATAATTATTATTCTGGCCCAACCAATTTTATTGCCCCAGGAGCATATGAACATCAGAAAGCAGTTTGGGTAACTTTACTGGCAGTTGTTCTTCTCAATTTTCCCAGAGATGGGTTGCGGCTGGAAGGGCATCTGCTGCGTAAAAACTTGCTGGATAAATTGGCGGTTCATTCTGCTGTGGTGACCCCGGATTAATAAAGGGACTAAGCCGACAAGAAAATGAATGAATGAATGTTCTTCTCAATATCTTTCTTTTTTTGTATTCACTTTAACAAGTTCAATTCAACTAACAGTACAGTTTACTAATGTACATAGTTTTTATGCAAATGTTAATAAGCATATGAGGAAACTGTTAAATGTGACTATTTGAATCGAATATAAGCTAAATGATCATATTTGTGATAATATAATAAGTTTGTGATAAGATAATAAGTTGTATAAAAGTGATAATGATCAAATGACCCTTAAATATTTACAAAAATAGAGCTTTAGTAAAAATAGAGCACTTACGGAAATAGAAATAAAACGCATGTGTGTTTTACTCTAGAAAAATGAAAGTAAAACTATAAATACTAAAGTAAAACTATAAATGTTAACTAGTTGGCGGGTCAAAACCACAAGTGGCTAGATGCAACTGCACAACTATGATATTGGTTTAAAAAATATGTGTTGGCGGGCCAAATCTCACTATATTTTTGTCGTCAGTTGTGGGCCAGAGGGAGGGGGAGGTCGGGCCGCAAATTGTCTGCAGGACGGCAGTACGAGAGCTCTGATTTAGATACAGATTTAACCCAAAATCATTCACTTATTCATTTTCCTTTGGCTTGACCTAAAATAAATTGCAAATATACCAAAGTGAAAAAAATATATATATATATGTTTAACAATAAGGCTGCGTCTCCACCGAAGCATTTTTTTATTAAGCTGGGTATTTCTTTTCTGTTGTTGTCAATGATAGCACTGCATTTTAGGAGGGCCTACAGTGCACCTATGCTTGATGTTTTTTAGTTGTAAGTTGAACAACTCAGCGCCCAGCAGTGTCACTTTGAGCTAGTTATCAAATCACAGTGCAGGAGGGGTTAAAAGTCCCTTTTAAGGCAGGTCATTTTACATGGTGGCCATTTTTAAAATGCCGCTTTGGCATTCTGTTTGAATGGGGAAACATCAAATTCTCTAAAATTTCTTGCCAAGCTTATGATTAAATCGCATATTCGAAATCACTAATAAAATTAAACAACAATTTGTCTCTTAAAGGTGCTGTATGCAAGTTCTCAACCCAGTGATTGAACTAGGTATTGCACCCCTAGTTTAAAACACGCAAGCGCAGGTTGCCGGATTGACAACAGCTTGCCTAACTATCGAGCCTAAAGGCTGAAATAAGTGATTTAAGAAACAGCATGCGATAGAAGGAATATTTTCCATATTAAAAGGAGTTTTTGATGCAGTTGCAGATTTTTTGTATTTTTTACTTCCTGTTGTGGTCTGTGTTTAACGTGCAAAGAAATATGGATAAGACCAAGGAAGCACTTTTTGAAGGCAAGTTTCAGTATAAAACAATTAATGTCGCATCACCATGCTCTGTTTTAATGGAATTTGATACCGCATGGCGAACGGAAAGAAAAACCTCCACATTTGGTTCTTGGTCCTTTAAGGTAATCAAAAATCGCTGCTTACACGGTAGAGTATTGGTGTCCATGTAAAAAAGACAGCGCATTCCAATGCCTTTCAGCATGAGCCCTCAAATGTGTCTTTAAGTTTCACGTGTTTCCTCCTTAAACGCAACAAAAGCGTATGCTTTGCGTTGTTGTGTCAGAATCCTTGTGAAACAAAGCCATACTTTAGAATGCTTTGAGTTTAAGCAAATTTGATGAACGCGATCATGCGTGTTGAATCGTAAGGTAGTCATTTTGGCTGTGTTGTGGTGATATGTATCATAGCACCCAACTGAAAAAAAAAATGAAGCGCTGCACTGCAAAAACGCTCACAGCTTAGCTTTTTAGAACATCAATCACGTTTCTGCTGCCCAAAAACATTTCAATGGACACGCAACCTAAAGAGATAGGTTTGAGATGATAAACACAATAAAACAATGCAAGTAAAGTCACAATGCAGTAAAAAACATAGTAAAATGTATCTACAAATACATTTACTTGTTCATATATACATATGTTCAAGTTTATGAACAGAGTTTATTATAAATGTATAAAAGTCTGATAATGTTTGTTACGATTTAAAAGATGTTAAATAAAGGGGAAGAGGAGTAACATTAATTTTTGGGTGAAACACATAAGCAACCACACAACATCAATAAATGAGGGACAAAACCAAGACCAGCTAAATGCAATACGTGATTTTATTTACAAAAATAGTGATAATAATGAATGTCAAAAAAATGTATATAGAAAGATTCTTGAATATTTACAAAGAGACATTGAATTTCACAGATAACAAATGACATAAGACGTTTGACCAGATATGGGAGAGTTGGAGAAATGAGACGCGGGCGGCATCCAAACAATAAAAATAAATAAAACAAAAGCAATCTATTTTGGCCCAATCTCTACCCTATCTATCCAAAATAAAAATGCAGAAGTTATTGAAAAGAATCTTCGCGTCTAATACGCACTACCTAACCTACGCTGATCTTTGATGGGAAAAACCAAAAGTACAGTGGGTGGAGCACGCCCCTTACCTAGTGTGTCTAATACAGAGATATTCAAGGTACTTGTGCACAATGTATGTCGCACGACATTCTTACCTGTCCCACTCTCCAACCTCAGATGCGCATGACATCGACGGTAGACAAATGGAGAACAAATAACGGACAGATACCAAATTGTAACACACAGTAGACATATATCAAAAACCACAGACACACAGCACAACACAGAAATTCAGGGCCTCCAGTGTAGCGTCCTGTCACCACTTTTATGCCACGGTGGCAGTGGCTGGATTGGAGACCTTGGATGACGTCAAGGGGGGCACGGCAAACAGCTGGGCAGCGGTAGCCAATCGGAGCCACTGTATAGGTGGAAGCGGGAGAGAGGTAGAGAGCAAGCGAGCACGGAGAGAGAGAGAGAGAAAGAGACTAGCGAGAAAAAAAAAATATATATATATATAAATAATAATTACGCAACACAGAAATGTACAGGAATGTAACAATGTTTCTTCCAATTTTCAAACTAAAATGATGTCTTATTTGTAGTTACTTTGCGGAAAATTACGTTTTGACCGAATAACAAATGTTTTACCTTTTTGTTGTTGTTTTTTTTTTTGTTAGTTATTGAAAATCAGTTTTTTTGTTTTGTTTTGTTTTTTTTACCAAATATTGGCCATTTGTCAAAAATGCTTAGTCTAAATAGCATCCTATTTATTTTTAATTAGGAATAAATGTCATCAGTAGTTCAATACAAACGTATTCCCATAAACTGTAAATCCAGAGAAACTGGATTTTCCTGTAATTTGAAAAAAATAAATACTTATTGAGGACTGCACAGGAAAATGACTGCTAATCAAATACAAAGGAATAAGAATAAAATGAGTTATATCATAGTCCATGTGTACTTTATTTCCTGTGAGAATAGTTTGCATATTTTGATGGTTTAATTACACAAATAAACTTATCATAAGCAAATATTGTGCATACATCCTTTTGGCCACTACTGAATTTGAGTACATACATTTATATTATGTATGTGTTTTTTATGTCTTTTATGCCTCTGATACCTCAGATTCCTCCTGGTTCCCCATGTGGCTCGTCCTACTTAATGTTCAAGCAAGTGTGCAGGAGAGCTTTACATGATTCCCTCATTAGGCTTTAAGTGTTTTTTAAGACTTTGTATCTTGTACTGACACACACTGAAGACCAACCTGAATCACTGTGCAATTATTTTCAAAAAATGTTCTTCAAAAAATTTCACACCGAGTTTCTTTGTACAGAAAAGTCTGGCAATGTGTGCAGACTTTGTAAATATAATTTTCATCAGTAAAGTAAAAAGCACTGAATGTGCTGACAAAACATTGAATTGGCAAACTGAAGCAGGTTTACAGAAGTATATGTATGTTTATGTGTTTAAAAATACTTTAATGTTTACACAATACTAATTTTCACATTTACATTTACTTATTTCAGATGGTTTGTCATAATGATAACTAATCTAAACTAGTTTAAAGTATGAATTTGCTCAGTCAGTTATTTTTGAAAAGGTTTTTACTCTTTGAAAACAATAAACACTGGTGATTCCTTCTAGCTGTGTACAAGCAACAAAACGAAAAACAAAAACATGCATTAAACGCATAAAATCATCTTTTACAATTCAGTTCTATTCAATTTGAGTTATTTGTATAGCGCATTTCAGAATAGATATAGTTCTAAAGCAGTCATACAAAAGATGCATGTTATTACCAAGCGGCAACATCCCGCTCTCCCTCGGAAAGCCAATACAGAAATAACTGAAACTGCAATTCATCGAAATTTTGCTCATCCTGGCTCTATAATAGAGCAAATTTCAATTGAACCCACTGTTAGAATGGCCAACTTTACAGCAGTTTACAGCCTGGTACAAAGAACGATTTTGGTTCATATAGCTAATATTACACTTCATGACAACTGTGAGGGGGGTGAATTTTTTTTATAACTCATTTGTTTGCTTTATAATAGGCCATATTAAGTTTGCATAATTAAGGGCGTGGCCACTTGAGTGACAGCTAGGTCTCACTGGTCGCGTCACTTCATCCTCAGCTGACTCTGGCAGATTAGCCACTGAATTCAGCATATTCATCGTATTTTTGTGTTGTTTATGTGGCTTTCCACAGTCAGTTGCTTTTTGGACTTATCTCTTACAATTATCAGATGATATGGGATGCTGTGTGCACTTAACTGTGCTCACAAACCATTCACCTGGCCTCCGGTTCCCATGTGGGTAAAGTTATAAACTTGTATGCCATATCTGTAAATGTATTTGTTTTATTTAAGATCATTTATCATTTATATTTTTCTTTAGAGCTGTAAAGCACTCCAGAATCTGACAGATTGATTAGCTGTAGGCTCTAGAACAGCCATCTGAAGCGTTGTCATACAGTGTTATGCTGGATTTCATCAATAGTCTTACATTTACTAAGACAGACAATATTTTAAGTGTTTGAAAGTAATTCACGTTTTCCTCCTGTTGAAAAATGTCATAAGAACAATGCTTTAGTGGCTCAATGTATTATAACAGTGTTTTAAAAGACTAAACACTTTATTGATACAGTGTACAGCCAAGTATATGTGGTCAGAATACAAACGAGTCACAGGTAATAAAGTATTAGGCGTTTTCCCAAAGTAAAGTCTGTCTAAACCAGGTCCAAGCAAAATGCCAGCAGGTTTCTGTAGCTCCGCTTACTCTCCGCCTCTTTGCCCTTGTTTGGTATCCCGCCGTGGGTGCGATGACGCGTGAACAAAATGGAAACCTATGGGTGACATCACGGATACTACGTCAATATATTTTACTGTCTATGATTATTACATTTCAGTAAGGAGGAAAGTAGGGATGTAACTATTCACCTGACTCACTATAGGATATGATTCACGATACTAACCTCACGATTCACAATTTTGTCATGATTTTTTAACAAAATTATATGTGACAAATTCGAACTGAAGAGCTCTTTTTCATTTTTTCTGAAATGCTGCACAATTTTTTTACAAAATAATTTTTTTTGCCATAACTAAATTAGAATTTTAAAACAAAATCCAAATAAAAAAGTGAATAATACAGACTAAAGACTTAGTATGAACAAACTAAAACTGTAACTGTGCAGCTACATTAAAAATTTTAAACGAATTACAAATAAAAAAAAAAAAATCAATACAAATTAAAAAAGGCTCTTTAATACAAACTAAAACTGTGACTGTGCTGGGATTTTACTGTTTTTTTTTTGTTTTTTTTTTTAAAGAAATATCAGAATATCTATGTTTTCTGATATAAGCTGAGGTCTTTGCACATTTACAATGTATACTGCTGATGAAAAAATCTTTCACTGGGGACTGAGATGGCTGGGCGTGGAGAGGAAAGCCTTTCCTAAACCAGTGAGCAGTGTGTACATAGGTGGTCCCCTCTGCTCCAGGGAACTGGCCACTGGTATACAATACTGATTATAAAACATAATATATGATATAATAAGCAAATTATTACAAGATGCATAAACCAAATTAAGGCTGCATGGTGGCGCAGAAGGTAGCACGTTCGCCTTACAGCAAGAAGGTTGCTGGTTCAAGCCTCATCTGGGTCAGTTGATGTTTCCGTGTGGAGTTAGTATGTTCTTCCCGTGTTCGCGTGGGTTTCCCCTGGGTGCTCCAGTTTCCCAGTGATGGGTTGCGGCTGGAAGGGCATCCGCTGCATAAAACGTATGCTGGATAAGTTGGCGGTTCATTCCGCTGTGGCAACCCCAGATTAATAAAGAGACTAAGCTGAAAAGAAAATTAATGAACGAATAAATGAATGAATGAAACCAAATTGAAAAAGAGGGTACAAAAGGAACAATGATGTGAAGGTAAAGCAAGTTTGCGCCTGTAAACACAGCGTGACCTCTGTTCAAAACATGTATCACAAAGTTTGTAGTGCAGGGCACAAAAGCATTAAGCGCGTGTCCGAATCCACTTTTGCTATTATAAGGATGGAAAAATCCGCTCTGCGCCATGACGCATGGTCTAACAGTGTTGAGCTTATTTCCTTAATGAGTTTTAGGTGTGTTTTGAGAATAAACCAATCAGAGTCTCATCTCACATTCACTTTAAGAGTCAGTTGCGTCGCACCATGATGCATTTGCTATTTACATTGCAGACTTTGTAAGTGGAAAAACTTTAAGGATAAAGAATGAGCCTCCTCCAGTCGGCCTTAACTATCACTGTGTTGTACGCACAGACATCCATTAGCCTACGTAATTAATTTTGTTTGTCAAGCGCTAAGATTTTTTCAAAACTATTTCTAAATTTAGATATTTGTGTATTGCTGTACGTCCTGCGTGTTTTAAGCAATGTGTAAGCACAAAACACAAATAACACACTCTGCGCTGGACTTTAGACCTGCTTTCAGCTGGTCTATTGAATAGTCTATTTTAGTTCTTCAAAATAGCAACGCGCCAACAATGTGTCGTAACGCAACCCTTTTCTAGACCGAAACACCAATGAGTCCTCAAAGTGGCACAACTGGATTTGCTATTTAAAATATTGAAAATGGGAAAATTAAGGTTGCGCTGGTCTGAAAATAGCAACATGTCGGGGCAAACAGGTTTTGCGCCTTCTTGCGCCGGGTGTATGATAGCGTCCGAAGTGTTTATAAGAAATTGTCTGGTGCATATTGAGACTAAAGAGTGTGTTTCTGTTTAATTGTGAATATTAATTTGAAAAAGTAAACTATTATATTTCACTTTTTTATTTGGCTTTCCTAAACAGCAACTTTTCGTTTAAGTATTCAAAATATTTGTAAAAATTAAATTATTTTAAGCTTGACCATTTAAAAATCATTCACTTAAAAAAAAAAAAAAAAAAAAAAAAAAAAGTTTTTAGTGTTTTTCAAGCTCATTTAAAAGAGTATTTTGGGGAGGACAACTTGTTTTATGTTAAATTCACACTGTAAAAAACCCTGGGTTCCAAACAATCAATTTGTGTTGAGACGACATTAAGGAATTTTAGTTAACATGTTAGTTTTTACAAATTTAAGTTGATTGAACATAAAACAATTAAGAATTGTGCTTCAGCTCATTTTAAATAAGTAGTGTTTGAACAAACCGCAAACAAAATTTTTTGAGTGTACTGAAAAACAAATAAGTTAACTCAATTTCTCCATGTTGTCCCAAAACAAATTGATTGTGTGGAACCCAGCTACTTTCACAGTGTTGAAATTTTCAATTTGGCAAAATATTTTGCCCTAAACATTTTGTAAAGTTAACCAAAGTAATGCTTTAAAAGAGCACATCTCTAGTTTGCAAAATTTGCAAACTAATTTGCTAAATAATTTGTTAATTTGCAAAATAAACAGATCAACACCTCTGAAAAGATGGCCTTGGAATATCGACAACCTCAATATCAATTACATTGACATTAAATCAGTTTACTTTTGATTACATTGCTTAAGACTTTAGTATCAGCAGTATTGGAAAAATTGTTAAACTGCTTTTGTATTTCAGAGCCATGATAAAGCCAGTATCCAGAGACTGACGGAGAGTTTCGTCACCAACCTACAGGCTGATTTCCCTTCCACTGTTAGCACCATCTACAGGTAACAGACCTGATCTGAAAACTCTGTTGTTGTCCATTGATCATTTAAACTGACGTTTGAACCAGCTTGTCTATTTTCTAAATGGTTTCTCTGCAGAACTAGTGAGAAGCTTCATACAGTCAGGCCTCCTCAAAGTCAAAGCACTGAACCAGAACCTGCCTCCAAATGCCTACTGTGTCTCTGTGCTCTTGACACTACAGCAGGTTAGTTATTCATCCAACAATGGACACGTATGTTTGAAAATTAGAGTTGGGAGGTTGCTTCATGTTAGACATTGCCTGATATGTAAATATTAGATTTTATTTTTTCGATATTCATGCATTTTTTTCAATAATTTTACTCAATTCAACGTATTAACTAACAAATAATAAGTGTAGTATCACTGCAAGTGATTGCAGTACCTAAGCATGGATTTTGCCTAAATGAAAATAAATTATTTGTAAATTATGCATAATTACACAATAGACCAATTTAAAAATTTGTGGTGAAGATTGATATCGATGTGATGTGGGTGTTTTATTCCTGTCAGACTGCTCAAAAAGGTATAAAAGAGCAATAATAGTGCTTACAGCTATTACTACATAATTTAAACCAACAAAAAGATGTAATTCTGATAACATGCCAAATAGATGTTACTTTCTTGACAATGTATAATTATTTAATTGAACCGCGAGTCTTTACTCAAAGTAATTAACAATACCTAAACTTTCATTTTAAAGTGTAGTTTAAAGCACATTAGTACTTGCATGTAAAGTTGATGTATCGTATGTGTTCTACCTGTGAAACATTAAACACTGTAGAGAGGAAAAAGAGTTCTCCTCCTTATCAAAGAGCTGCGCTGGATTACCCCCAAATGCAAAGTTTATTCCAGAATATCAGTGGAATTTTGATAAATTTCCACTGGAGGGGCAACTTAATTATTATTTTATGTTCAATCCACTTAAATTCGTAAAAACGATTAATCGATTAGTGTTATGACAACTAAAAGGAATTGTGTGGAACCCAGCATTTTTTACAGTGTACACACAATATGTGGGACATTACATGGTAATCATTTATATAGATAAACCATAAAGATAAACTGATAAACCATAAAGGAATGAGTAGGGAAGCAGTATCTTTAAAGGGATAGTTCACCTAAAAATGTATATATTCTCACCATTTACTCACACTTAAGTGGTTCTAAACGTTTGTGAATTTATTTGTTCTGTTGAACATAAAAGAAGATATTCTGAGGAATGTAGAAGACCAGCCTTTGACATGCATATTAGGAACAGAAATACCTTTAAAGTATTTACTCGTAATTCTTCAGTATATCTACTTTTGTTTTCAACAGAAGAAAGAAACTCAAGCGAAGAATGGTTAAATGATGATATAACTGTTTTTGGGTAAATGGCCCTTTTAAATATCTTATAGTTTACATCCATATTCATATGGCCAACTTTGCTTGCTAGAAAATCTCATTTAATCATTTAAAAATAAAAATATCAAGTTCTAAAAGCCAGTTTGACCACTAGAAGCTGTTTTTTTGTCAATTTTTATTAATAAACAAGCTTTTCTGCAGATAAAGCTTCTGCGTTTCATGCTACATTGATCTCAGAGCAGCTTTCCCAGCTCAGACTTCAGGAGGGGTCTGTGGATCTAGTGGCGGGGTCTTCAGATCAGTGTTGTGTGGAGGATCAGACCTGTGGCACCTCAGGCTGCTGCTCCTCAAAGAGGTGCGTTATGGCTGAAATTTTCTTCTCTTTAGTTTTCTGCTGCATCTTTATTTGCATACTTATACAACGGCCTAAAAGTATGCATGATCTTCTAAGGGAAAAATTACATACTTTTAAGTGTTTTGGGAAATACTACTTCATAATTGTGTCTCTAAAGGGACGGTTCACCCAAAAATTAAAAATTCTGCAACGATAACTCATGGCAGTTATCAACTTCTTGATTTAGTGGCTAATTTGTATGATTTTGTATGATCTCATTCATAGTATTTAGTACAATTTAATCATTCCCCAATGACTGTTAGGTTTAGGGGTGAGTGGCGCGGTTTGGTGCCATGCCTTCTTTTAAAAATTTAACATTTTCGTACGACATATTAGCCACTGAACTGACAAAATGTAAAAAACTTCAGATTCCTCCTGAGATCAGGCTAAAATAAATCATTGATGGTGCTTTCACACTTGGTCCAAAACCAAGTTCGATTCCCCCCCATCTCTGGTTTGTGTTCACACCCGTTATTTTCCATCTGAAGCCCGGTACGCTTGTGTCATCCAGTTGCTGTTTTGTGTACAGCTTTTACCAGGTGATGGCCATGAAAGCTAATCGCTAAAATGGAGTCGTCTGCATATCACAGCCATTCTGCTTTTACTGAATCTTTCAATTTTAGTACCAAAACCAAAATGCAGATAGCCACTTGAGTCTATTTGCTGCAAAAACAGAACATCACTCGATGTCTGCAAAAGTCATTTTTGGTGGAGACAAGCAGACAATTATCACTGGTTGCACTAGGTCAGTTCTGCTTGTCACCAAGGTAGGCGATACACAGACACACACACATAAATGGACGTTATGAAAACCAAAGTTTGTTGTACAGTTTGCAGTTCACTTTCATTATTTGCTATGATTGCATTTATATCAGAAGGGAACCGCACCAGAATCGCATGACCCGTACCCCAGAACACCTCTACGGACTCGGGTATGGTTCACGGCTGGGCACCCGAATTCAGAAGACAAGTTCACTCTAGCTAAGCCTACCTTACTTTGACGTCAGACAAATCTGGGTGCAGACCAAAGGTGCTAGTATGAAAGCACCCTTACTCACCCTTTTACTCAAACTTTTATAAGTTTCTTTTTTAAATAAATAGTTTGTAAATCTTCATTTTTGGATGAGCTCTCCCTTTAACCTGCCATTCTGTTACTTTTTTATGCATTTTATCACCCTCAGCTGCATCCCGATTCACTAAAACATGTTCCCTTTAAGTCATGTACATAAAAAAAGGAAGATTTTGAAGTATTTGTATTTTAACATATTTCTCATTATATATGAGTAAACTTAAATGCATTACTTCAATTTATAGCATAGTTCAAAATTGCCTGTAAAAACATCCTGCCTTCATCAGTGCACAAAGAATCTTGAGATATTCAGGGATGTGAAGGATCTGGCAGTCATGCTCTTCCTTATCCGAGAAATAAAGGATGCTTTTGGAGCCTCATTTAAAGGAGGCTTTGAACTGAGACGGCCTTCGTCATGCTGCAATCACACAAATGGCCTACAAATCACACCGCTATTATTTCACAGTTAACGTTCTCCACATTTGTTTTTATGTTACTCCCAAGAGATGAAGTAGCACATTAATCTGTCATTCGCAGTTCTTTCATGCAGAGAATTCTGCTTGTGTTTGCATAATGATGCCTTCAGAAGTTAAAGGCGCAATATGTAATATTGTGATTTATTTATTTTTTTCATCAAAATATAATATAGTAATAATTATTTCAACCAAAGTCCCTTTAAAACAAGTAATTTCATTTGGCAGCCTTCTTTAAAACGTCTCTGGCATTCTGTCCGAATTGGGAAACCTCAAATTCTCCAAAACTATTAGCCAAGCTTACGATTATGTTACATATTTGGAATCACCAATAAAATTAAACAGCAGCTGTCTCATAAGTTTCATTTCAACGTCTGAATCAAAATCGGCATATTTTCAAGTTGCCTAAGCTAATGCGCATGCTCACTCGAAAGGAACAAGATCACGACACCAACCTCATTTATGGCCATTCTACACATTATCTTCCTCTGGATAATGCTCATCTGATCACGCTGCTCTTCTCAAATAATTCACAACTTGGTCTTGATGGTGAATCTTCTCCAGAAATGACAGTGACTGTTCACAAGTTTGTGGGCCTTTGTGGGAGTTGTCGTTGTTGTCATGCGATGCGTGTTTGACAGGACGAACTGTACCTTATGTTTATTTCATACAGATTACAAAACCAGAAAACTTTTGTTTTTAAGTGCACTTGGTTCATTTAAAAGTACAGATTTCTAACTTTACAGCTATACAGTTGAAACCAGAAGTTTACACACACTCTAAAACAAGGAACATAACCATTTTTTTATGTTTGATGGTAATCATAAAAGTTTTACTATTTTTTTATCATTTACATTTGCTAAATGTCAGAATAACAAGAGAATTATTATAAAAAAAAATTTTGAGAATTATTTTATTAATTTCTAGACAGTCAAAAGTTTACATACATTTCCTTTTTTTTTTTTTTTTTTTTTTTTTTTTTTTTTTTTTTTTTGCTTTTAAACTGTATAACTTTGGTCAAATGTTTTGGGTATCCAAACCTTTTTGAACCTTTTTCAACTCTGCCCACATATTTTCTATAGAAGTGAGATCAGGGCTTTGTGATGGCCACTCCAGAACATTCCCTCTGTTGTCCTTAAAGCACATTTTAACTAATTTGGCAGTATGCTTAGGGTCATGGTCTGTTTGAAAGACCCATTTGTGGCCAAGTTTTCATTTCCTGGTTGACGTCTTGAGATTTTGCTTTAGTTTTTCTACATTTCTCCAAAAATTATTCTTTTTTCCCAGTGTAATTTAGGAAATTGTAATCTGGCTTTTTTGTTAATTCTGGGTCGTTGATTTTCCCATGTTGACACACAACAAACAAACACAGTGTGTTTAAGGTTTTCCTTAAATACTGTTCTACAGTTGTGCCTCCTATTCACTCAAATTTTGTCAATTAGCCAATCAGAAACTTCCAAAACCTTGACACCATCATTTGCGCTTTTTCAGAGGCAGAATAATCTTATTGTATGTAAACTTAACTTTCAAGTAAAGTTATAACAATGTCTCAAAAAATATCTCATTATTCTGCTATTAAGCACAACAGAAACAAATTTGATAATCCTAACTTACCTAAAAGAGAAAAAGCTTAGTCACATTAACATCTGACTTTTTTTTTTTTTTTTTTTTTTAGTTGTACAGTGTATGTAAACTTCTGGTTTCAACTGTAACTGTATTGTGTGTTTGTTTACCACAAAAAAGCTTCTTCCCTAGAAAACCATCTATATCGATCAATAATTGGCTCCTGTACTAGTATTTATTCGCCATATTGACCGTTACACTTTTCCTCATTCAAAACTAAACGAGTGACATATCTTGTGTATTCTAGTCTTTGTTTCAACATATGATTTGGGACACTATTCCATTTTGGAATATTATAAGGATGTCATTTGAATTGTTTAAGTTGTTAATATGCCTCTTTTTATACTTTGACTACTTTTCAGGACGCCTGTGCAGCAGGACCTGAAGACTCTCCTGTGTTACAGCTGCAGGCTCACTGTTAAAGACATGGTGAGTGTGATTAAGCTTAGCACTCATGGCTCATTCATGCTGTCTAATAGGCCCTTTTCACAAGACTGTTATGACTTGTTTAATTGTCATCATAATGTAAAATCCTTGAAAGTTTTTAATGTCTTGATTTTTAGAAAAATGTATGAACATTAATATGTATTTATGTGTGTATTATATCATTTTGGCATCAACTTACAAAAAAACTAATTACCGCTTATGCGAGGTGTTTCTAATGCAGCGTTTACGGGGCTGAGAGTAAGGCCCAATCCCAATTTTATTTTTGTACCCTTTCCTCTTCCCCTTCCCCTTGCTCCATAATGCCGAGTGTGAAGGGGAAAGGCTTTAAATTTTACCCCTAAGAATTGGGACACCACCACAGTGCTTGCATAAATCATCATATGTCATCGCAATCTCTTGCTTCAAATGAGATCAGACAATGGTGACTGCTGTAGTTTTTCCAGTTGTTATTTTTTGGTTTTTATTTTCAGGAAATCACAAAAGGTGATTCACAACATGGTCTTGATGGTTATCATAATGATCTAATGTGGCAATAAGATCGTAAATATACTGTGCATTTACACCGTGGCCGTATTCATCAATGTACACACCAAAACAACATTAACATTATAGCAGACACTGTAAAAAGGTCATTCCCAACCACTAGACTTTACTGACAGGGTATTCCAGTGTCAGAATGTTGTAGAAGTTTTTATTTTAGCGTTTTTTTTTTTTTTTTGAGCATGACGGTGAATGTATTTAAACGCGATTGTTTGTTGTAAAAATTTGCAATAATGACAAAAAATACTAATTTGTGGATCTCCTTACTTCCGTGTGCAGCTGTGGCCGGTGTATTCTGGAAAATTTTCTTATTTTCTTATATAATTTTAATTTATCCATTGGTTTTAAGTGTGGATTGTGAAAAATCTCCAATCGAAGGGCTATCTACCGCTTGCCCTTAGCTTTTCGCCTTCAAGCTAAAGAGAAATGGGACACCCCATTCAGTCTATCTCTGACTACTGATTCTGACATGATCTGGCATCCCAGCAGTGCCCGGCTGTTTAATGTACTACCATATGGAACAGATATATTATTTATACTCTATTTTTGTAATATACATGAAATAACTTTAATATTCACATTTGAATGACAGTTTTCATTGACTACTGGACTTGCAGTTTTGATTAACTTGCAGACTGTGGAATATTTGTTTTTGGGTTTTTCATACTTCCGGCTTGCCATTAAAAGAACAATTGTATTATATATTGCATTAACCTCTTAAGGCCAAAGGTGTTTTTTACATGCATTTTTTATCTCTCTTTGCTATTTGGGCTTATTGAAACCTAATTAGAATAAAACCTAAGTATCATCTTTGATATGATGTACTTTTAGAGAAAAATGATGTCCATATATGTGGACTCGTGGTCTGAATTTACATAAAACACTTTTTTTCCTGACTGTTTTTTTAATGCATACAGTATATAACACATTTTTTGAATATGTTTTGACTATCAGAGAGTAAAAACAATTTTTCCCCCCATTTTGGACAGTTATAAATAGTGTTTGGGACATTTCGTATGCTGCAAAACAGTTGCAGGATGAAACTGTATGTCTAACAAAATATAAAACATTCAAAGTATTTTAAATAGCCACGTAAGAGCTAAAAAGTGCTGTCCAGATATGTGGCCACTAAGCCCCTGGAGGTTAAGGTAGAAAAAATAGAAATGTATATCAGTCGTAAATGAGCTTCTTTTCTCCTACAGGCAGCAGTAAACACTCTTCCCCCGTACATCTTAACAGAAGCAGAGAAACGACAAAGAAGGTATTTTATTCAGAATTATCATTTGCTTTGCCTTTCAAAACCAATATTCTTCAGCTATCAGGAACAATGCAAAGGATTTGAGACTGTCAAGTGTCCAAAATAAGAAATACAACCCCTTAAACGTGCTACAGATGGCTCATGCCCTAATCGTGTTTTTTTTTGGAAGCCATACAGTAGCATTGTGCGAGAATAAGCTCTAGTAAACTCATTAATTTCTGCCACAGCTTTTCAGATCCTATTTCCACTTCCTCATGTTCAAATCTTCCACAATGCCATCTGTAAGGACACAATCTTTGATGATTAACAACTTCTTTAGCCCGTTTTCACACACGCAAAACTATGCAATTATAATTTGTATTTAGAAAATATTACAGGTCTAAACAGGGAGGCTCAGCATTTAGAACTGTCTGTCGCCTCACAGCAAGAAGGTCGCTGGTTTGAGTCCCGGCTGGGCCAGTTGGCATTTCTGTCTGGAGTTTGCATGTTCTCCCCGTGTTGGCATGGGTTTCCTTCACATGCTACGTTTCTACCGCAGTTGCGATACAGGTGAATTGGATGAACTAAATTGGCTGTAGGGTGGCGCATTGGGTAGTGCTCTCGCCTCACAGCAAGAAGGTCGCTGGTTCGAGCCCTGGCTGTTGCATGTTCTCCCTGTGTTGGCATGGGTTTCCTCCGAGTGCTTCGCTTTCCCCTACAGCCCAAAGACATGCACTGTAAGTCAATTGGGTAGGCTAAATTGTCCATAGTGTATGTGTGTGAATGTGTGTATGCAGCTGGAAGGATATCCGCTGCGTTAAACATATGCTGGTTAAGTTGGTGGTTCATTCTGCTGTGGTGACCTCTGATAAAAAAAGGGACTAAGTCAAAAAGAAAATTAATTAATTTGATCAAATTTCATAAATAAACGCAATCCTGAACACATGGAACGCCCACATGTACAACACAGACACTCCTACCACTCTAATATACACAGAAATGTAAGTCTACTCTGAATTAATATATGAAATTACAAACATCAGCTGAAAATAATTGGAACTCAAACATTGTTTTGGAAAACCAGTCTTGTCTCTTTAGGACTCAAGTTATTGAAAAATATGTTGTAACCATTGACTTCCATAGTAATTGTTTTTCCTACTATAGAAGTCAATAAAGACCGTTTATAACTTTTTTCAATTTTCTATTTGCTCAACGTAAAGAAACTCATAAAGGTTTGGAATCACTTGAGGACGAGTAAATTTTACATTTTTTTGTGAACTACCTTTATTACTGGATTTCCATCACCCGGTGTTAGAGTTAACTGCTCTATTACTGTGAAGCTGCTTTGCAATATTTTCTATTTATAAGTTGCTAGGTAAATAAATGTGTTCCACTCCACTTTTAAAAAAGCACTCGCAAACTTTCCATCACTTGTTCCCTGTCGCCATTTCAAAGTGCACATGAACTGGAAGCTGCCACTTATTTATTTTTATATCGTGATGCATTTCCTATAGAAACAGAATGTTAAATGAGAAAACAGTGGGTGTGGCTTGTTTGTTTTTTTTTTTACTTTGAGCTGATTGGATATAGTAAAGTAGGCATTTCATTCAAAAGGATCAGGAAAAGAGTTTGCGGAGAGTTATTAAATCCTAACAGACACCTCTTCATTGTTTCTGTTTGTTGTCATAGTGCTGTCAAAACTGACAGTTGGAGGGGCGTGGTTAAGTATTTTAGCCACACCCAATACCTCAGACAGATGTAATCTGAGAATTAAACAGAAAACAAACAGGACATGCATTTTCAGATTTAAATTAAAGATTTGCAAACATATATTTTTTTCCCAAGTGACCTGCACAGATGTTCACCACAAAACTAGCAATGTGAGCTAGCAAATCAATATATTTAGATTTGTTGTGATGGTTAAGTGATCGAGGAAAGTTTACATGCACATACCCTTGGTTTTGACAGAGGGAGCAAGTCTGCTTTGTATATCCACTCTAGCACCTATATGTCCCAGAATGCGATGTGATCTTGACGTCATAACAAAGTAGTTCCCAAGTGCTCAAAGGTTTAGAGCTTAGGCCTTAAATTTCCTGGAGAGCCGCAGCTCTGCACAGATTTGCTCCAACCCTAATCAAACACAGCTGATATAGTACTGTCTAGTAGTCGTGAACAGCTTGATTATTTGCATCAGCTGTCTTCGATTAGGGTTGGAGCAAAACGGTGCAGAGCTGCAGCTCTTCAGGAATTGAGTTTGAGACCTGTGCTTTAGAGCAGTGTTTTCAATGATGTTCCTGGAGGACCACCAGCACTGCATGCTTTAGATGTCTGCTTTGTCTGTTACACCCATTACAGGTCTTACAGTCCCTGTTAATGTGCTGATGATCTGAATCAGGTGTGTTTAGTGACGGAGATCTGGAAAATGTGCAGAGCTGGTGGTCCTCAAGGAATGTGGTTGAGAAACACTGCTTTAGAGCAGGGGTGTCCAAACTTGCAGTGTCCTGCATAGTTTAGCTCCAACTTCCTTCAACGCACCTCCCTGGATGTTTCTAGTATTGACCTTATTCTGCGATGCAGAAGTGCTCTTGTTTTTGTGAACTTCTGATTCAGTTGCCTATGGAACTAGGAACAATAAACAACAGAAAATGGACGAGTGTGTTCATGAATATACAGCCAAAGCAGATTAATATAATAAGAACATATCAGTTTGCTAACATCAAGCAGCAGTACGAGCTGTTTTTAATATATAATGCTGTGTTTACACCAGACACAGCATACGCTGATAAATCACACGTTAATAGACGCGTGAACATTTTGAGTATACTTTATTCATTCGGGCATCCAATCTGCTTCATTCGCACATCAAATTCACTTCACAGTAGACGCGGATTTGTATCATAGGTAGGGCTTCGTTGCTAAATGGCTAACATAGATTTTATCGAGAGAGAGGTTGTTTATGTGCATTATGAAGGCGGAAAAACAGCGTTCATTCGTACAGAGCTGTGTCTGAGTCCCCTAGACCCATTCTGAGGTGCACCCAGCTCTGTGACTTCATCAACTCCTGCAGAAACTATATCTGGGTGATGGAGGCTTTCAGCTGTGCTTCAGATTGAGCTGAGCCCAGATTGATCAACTGTTGTCTTGTGTCGGCATGAGGATTTCCCCCCGGGACACCAAAAACAGGCACTACGTCATAAGCATGCTCCTACAAGAGAAAGCTCTTGATTGGTTAATGTGGTGTAAATGGCTGAAGTTCATCCTTTGCAACTTGATTGATTTGTCACGTCAATCGCCCAAAATGCACAAAACACTCAACTGGCGCTGCTTCATTTGCACGAATCATGCCGCAGGATGTCTAGGCGTGTCTTTGCATTGACTAAACATGTAAGTCACTCGCGCCGGGAATCTCCAGCCAAAAAGATTCAAATCGTAGATAAAAAATAAAGCTGTGGTCACACTGCACTTTTCTCCCCATAGACTTTCAATCACATGCACGCAAATGCATCAGACCGGAAATGCAAGGTTGTGCGTCAAGTTTTGCAGTTCGCTCCGTTGCAATTTCAAGCTTGGTGAACTCTGAACTGCGAAATCGCATCACTTGACTGTGTGAGACCAATTGAAGACCGAAACATGACCTCTGAACAGAAATTTAAAATATGAAGCAATCGCTCGCTTTTTTAATGTCTCATTATCTTGTTTAATCCTGCCCTTTTTCAACAGAATTGCACACGATCAAACTCGAGTTTGACAGCAGATTTAGGTCAGTACCTAGAAAGAGCTTGATTAGCTAGTTTAGGTGAGTTTAATTGGGGTTGGAACTAAAAATGCAGGACACCAGCCTCCAGGACTATGGTTGGACACCCCTGCTTTAGAGCATTCCATTTAAACACATTCAGGTGTTCTGCCAGTTGTGCAATGTAATCAATGACGTACATCTGAGGGAACGAGATGGAGGGAAGTTAGCAAGTGAACGGAATAACACATTGGACTGGAATGCAGCTATTATGTATAAAAAACAAAACACGGTAATCTAATTTCATCACACGCAACTCACCAGATTTACAGCTCACTGTTTTTCTTTCACAGATCTCAGATGAAGGTGGAGATCAGTGAATATCTTCTGGAGGAGGACCAGGACTAGCAGATATGTGTAGGGCTGATCACTCTGTCTTTTTGATAACTGCTGTTTGTGGTTGCTGGAAATAACTTAAAGCTAAAACATACCAATATACCATTGTAAACATTTCACTATTTGTCGTCTTTGTAAATGAATAATAATAAAAAAAAAAGTCAAACATTTTCGACTTGAGTACATTAACGCAGTCAATATTACAGTAATTTATTTGTGCAGACAGGCAACATTCTTGAATTTCCTAATTTAGCAAACTGCTTACTCAGCAAGGAATTTTTTACAGGCTCACATTTGCATAACCATACATACAGTGGAAACGATTCTTCCAGCCGCGGCGGATGACATTTGGCACACTCATTACACATCATGCGCACGTAAGACGTATATGATTAAAACATCATCCTCACAACCTTAAATCGCTAAGCACAGCATTCCAGCGCTGAGCCAATGGAAGCAAACAATACAGCTGTCAGATGTCCAAGGATTTGACGGACATTTCAATGATTTCAAGTGTTTGATCAGAGACTGTAAAAACAAAATACTAAATGGCTCTCATCCGAAGATACTTTGGCTTGTAAACACTGCTGTAGTAACAGAATAAAAAGTTTAAATTATTTATAAAAAAAAAAAAGATCTCACAAAACCTGTCAAAAAGCTTGTCTGGGTCATATTTTACCCCCAAATACCATAGCAAATAAGGATTCAGTATTCATTTTAAATTTAGCACAAAGAAACCGAGATCTGTTTTTAAAAGATTTAAGATTCGGTTTTGATTAAAGGTTTAATTCTTTAAAGTATAAATAATTATCTTCCTTTTTTGTGTATTCACGCAATTTCTTTTTCTTCTCAGACTTTCAACATTCTCATGAATCACAAGTGTACAGGCTTACACAATTCTGATTTCATTTTCATTTCATTTCTTAAGTTACAAAGTTGTAATTCTGGATTATTAACTATAAAACCAGCAAACAAAACAAAAATCAGAAAATTCTGACCTAGTTGCAAGATTATAGGCTTTCCCAGAGTCATATTTTCCAATTGTAACTTCATAGTTCAGGCGGAGAGAAGTAAACTTCCATTTGAAATGTTGTTAGTTCCAACTGCATAAGATAAATTCACAATTGTAAGAGAATTAAACGGGAGACATAAATGCGGAAAGAAAATATTAATATAAAAAAAATTGCAATATCTGGGTTAAGTTTCTGATAAAAGCTCGCAAATTGATTTTTTTTTCTCAATTACAACTATTGTAATTCGCATTTGCACATTTATAAGTTTTCTCACAATTCTGACTAAAGAAAATGTTATTTAAATTAAGTTACAAAGTCATAATTCCAAGAAACAAACTTTAAGATGCAAAAAAAGGTGTTAATTCTGAGTTTATAGGATTTGTTCCAGTGTTTGCAATTAAATTAAACTTTCATTTGACTGAGATTGTGGTTTGTTTGTTTTTTTTAAGCTGATTTTAAGCTGATATTATTTCTCACAGCTCTTTTCCTAAGAATTGTGAGAAGTTTACAAAACATTTTGCAATTGACATTTTTTTCTCACTTTAAACTATTTTTTGGTTAAGTTATTGAAACAAAAACAATAAAAATTGAATGTCACAATTGAGGGATTTTGTTCAGTATTAAAAACTTTCTTTTATTATATTATTAATATTTATTATTTATTTATTTATTTTTTGCATTTGCAAGTTTATAAGCTTTCTCACAATTCTGACATTTTCTTGCAATTCTACATTTTTTCAGTTAGTATTTTATTTTCTCAGAACTGCAAGATAAACTCGACTTGCTGGCAACTTTCTTCTCAAAATTGTAAAATCAGAGAAGTAAAAAAGAATTTAGTTTGTTTTATAGCTTTCCCCTATATTTTCCCTTTAAATATATAGTAATTGCAATAGTTTCATTTTAGTCGCGAGATGTAAACTTCCATTTGCAATTTTGTTATTTCCAATTGTAGAAAAAAAAAATAAAAATCATAATTGTAAGATAAAATAAACGCCAGACATAAATGCACTGGGGAAACATTTCTCATCCAAAGAGCCAAGTTTTTAAAACATTTCACAATATTATAAGATTTCGCTATAGACTTTTTTCCGCTCACTTTAAGCTATTTCTGGGTTAAGTTTCTGAGGAAAAAACTCCCTTCCCCCTCAAAATTACATCTTTCTAAGAGTTCTCACAATTCTAACTTAAATGACTTTTTTTAAGTTACAAAGTTGTAATTACAGGAAAACTATGAAACTATTTTTTGCACATTCAATTTTACTTGAAATTGTGATTTTATTTCTCGCAGTTTTTGCTTTTTTCCTCAGAATTGTGAAGTTTAACACTTTGCTTTTTTCTCACTTTTTAAATTATTTTTGGTTAAAGTTTTTGAGAAAAAAAAACTATTTCAATGTCAGAACAGCAAGATAATCTCTGACTTTCACTTTTATTCTCCAAATAAAAAGAAAGATTTCTGAGTTTGTATAATAGCATTCCCCTTGCATATTTTCCCTTTAAATTTTTGTGTGTTGGTAAGAAGCATCAATAACCCTATGGATGAAATCTGACCCAGAAATGGTTTTGTTCGACTTGCTCTACTAGTGTTTAGGAGTTTGAAGGTCCTGCCACTCTGCGTCCAGCGGTTGCTTTGAGTCTTCAGGTCCTGATGGCGAATGTGTGTATGTGAGTCCATCACATCGGAAACCAAAACAGAGGGGAAACCTGACCTCTATCATCCACCCGTTGAGTGCAAAGAAGCCAACAGCGTCCATCAATGCAGCTCCACAGCGCTGGAAAAATGGCTATAGATCTGCTGTTCAAACGACACTGAATATACAACGTCACCAACAGTAAAAGCCTTTCAGTTGTGATTCTTCTCTCTCGTCCACTTGATCATGGTCTCTGGAGAGCGATAGAGGAAGATGAGTTTGGAGTAGAGCTCTTCCTCCAGCTCCAGTTCTCCGGTTTCCCGCACAAGGAAGATGTCCATGCAGAGTTTGAGGATCCGGTCGGCGCAGGGCAGCTCCTCGAACATGATGGAGTGAGAAATCTCACTGAAAAAACCTCGCACAAACTTGCCAATCACCAGAACCACTGACACGTACAGACCCATGATGCTGGAGGAGGAGAAAACACCACGGTAAACACCAACAGATTTAAAATTCACCCAAAAATGAACATTTACTCACTGTTTACTCACCCCCAAGTGGTTATAAACCTTTATAGATTTGTTGAGCACAAAAAGAAGATATTTTGAAGAAAACATGTAATAATATGGAAGTCAGTGCTTACTGGTTTTGCAGATTTCTTCAAAATATCTACTTCTGTGTAGAAAAAAACTCAAAAAGGTTTAAAACAAGTGAAGGGAGAGTAACGAATTACACGATTTACCTTTTTGGGTAAACTACCCCTTTAATTATAAGAATATAAAAGCGTACTCTGAACACCTAAAGCCAAATATCAAATTCCCAGATTTTTCCAATAAAAAATTGAATTTACATTCACATCTAATGAATCTTGCTTATATTATATTAATATAATATTAAAATGGTTTGCATTGCATGATTTTAATAGCACCTTTGAGAACAATAATGGATAAGCAGGGCCAAGTAACAATTTATTTTTTTTATTTTTTATTTTGTCATCAGTACTTCAGTTTTTGAAGTTCTCATTTTGAAGTCAAAGGTCCTAAAATGTATATTGGTATATCATGCTGTTAATGGGAAACTGAATAAAAAACAAACAAAAAAAAAAAAACAATAAGGCACACAAAACAGATTAATATAAAAATACTGTACATAAAAATGACATTTTAATAAATAGAGACAAACATTTAAAGTGATCAACAAAAACCCCAGGTTTTCCTTGACTTTTAATTTCTGTAATAGACTTTGTTCAATTCCATAATATGGAACCCCAGTGAGAAGCAGTGAAATGTTTGCAGTATTAGTATAATTATTGAAGAGTTTTTTATGCTCAACGTGGCTGCATTGACTTTGTATGTAATTAAAAGAATATACATTGAATATTTTTCATATTGAAGTATTCTATTTATTTTGTAATTGCAAAAAGTTTTAAAAAACTATATATTTCTGTGATTGTGAAGATTGTTTTTTTACATTTAGTTCAGAAAACTGTGATGCAATATCACTTAAAATTTGTGGCAAATAATAAGTAACAATAATAATAATATTAATAATAATAATAATAAAAGACATTTAGTGAAAAGATGGTGAAGGTAAAAACACTTCTTTTGCCATTCTATGGATCAGAGCATCCTCAAAGAATGTATGATTTCCACCACACCACTGACAATGGCTTGACAGCAAACACTGTTTTAGGTATATTACAGAAATTGAAATACTAGCTCATATCCCGAGAGAGTTACGGGACTTCTGGATCTTCCGGGTGTGAAAAACAAAGCAGATGAGAGAAAGTATTAATTAAATCCCATGTAAAAACAAATGTAAAAAATTATTGACTGGGATTTTTGACTGTTTGGCACCATCTTGTGACTGAATAATGTGCAGATTAGTGTATACTCCATCAGCTGTTTTAGTTTCAGCTTTGCATTTAAAAAACTACTCTGGCTCAGAACAATGCGCCAATGTTTTGTGGCAAGTAGCTGTGTAATAAGCAAGACAAAGTACATCCAGGATGGTTGTTTCCACAGAATAAAGCCCTTCAGTCTTGTACAATAATAAATCTGTCAGGGATTATTTTGCGATAACAACCTCCTGGATGTTTTTCTCCCTGACATATAATATGGTCATATATTCCTAGCATAAAAAAACGTTCTCAGGGCAATCAAATATAGTTAAAAATCATCAAAAGTCCTCTCAAAGAATACAATTTACATAAAGCTTATGAGGAAAGACTTTTAGGTAAACCATAGGTAAAGACAGTAAAAAAAGCCTGCAGTAAATGTCATAAAAGGGATGAAGGCTTTACCCATATCCTGCGAGGAAGCCCAGACTCGGAGGACTGACTTTATCGTTGAAGATGATCATTGGCAGGACGTTACATGATTCTTTGCAGTCTGCAATACTGATGTCCCACCATTCCTGAGCTCCAGTGGTGTTTACAGAGGCTTCTCTCATTAGAGACACTGTCACATCCTGAAAGCCCTCCTCATCTCCTGCAGAACCACAAACAGGGTAGAATGAATGAGCTTTAACTGACTTTGTATGCGATTGAAATATAGATAGATGTGCCTGCAAATAAGGACTGTAACCACAAAACATACATTTAACCCCCTCGACTGTGACAGTCCAACCCCCGTCCCCTTTTTTTGCAATTATAATCTTATCATGATAGCCTATGTACCATTGGAGATGTCTAAGGCTTTAGAATATATATTTACCAACTTTTTTGTTTTATAGTAGATTAAAACACACTTACTTTCATCCTACAACCTTTGGGACCATTTTTGTTTGCATGTTTTAAACCATACCATTGCAGTCTAAACAAAGCATTCAAGACAAACTACACTCATTTTATTTTGTACACCTTACTAGCACCGGATTGGATCCACTTTTGCTTTCAGAACTGCCTTAGTCATTCATGGATAGTCAGATCATCTTGACCATGTCTACATGCCTAAATCCATTGGCTTGCTGCCATGCGATTGGCTGATTTGTAATTTCCGTTAATGAGTAGTTAGAGTGATGTACCTAAAAAAGTGGCCAGTGATTATGAGTAGTTATTAGTAGTGGATAGTTATTTTGAGAGGACAATAAATTTACACTGCTATAAACACTTTACACTGACTACTATTCATTGTGTCAAAGAGTCATTTCTGCACTGTTGTCCTATAAAAAGTTATAAATAAATATTTACAGAAGTAGGAGGGGTGTGCTCACTTTTGTGACATACTGTACACACACACACACAATATATATATATATATATATATATATATATATATATATATATATATATATATATATATATATATATATATATAGGGGCTGATAATTTTCTCTTAAATTTTAAGGTAAACCGGGAACATATATGCCGTAGTTGAGAAGAAATTGTCACCACAAGTAGAAAAAGGCGTTGTTTAGTACCATCAAACAGCTGCATGACAGGTTTAGCTTCAGCTCCACTGGGTGCTCTGATGTAGTTAGGAAACATATGCGGCACATGTCTACAACAGAGATTATAAACAAAATCAGAATATAATTTAACAATACAATAAATATATAAAATCTACAATACAACACAATAAATAATATACGTTAATTACGAAACATAATACACAGACAAGCACTGATCCTTAAAGAGTATTTACAGTAGAGGTGTCATTTATATGCATCTATTATAGATATAGATAGTATTTTATATAGGATGCAACTGACCGCATTAAGATATCTGCTTTAACATTTGCTAAAATATTGTTACTAATACTGTAGTTTCAATTATACTTCATAATTCATTTACATTTATTCAATTAAGTTTATTTTAAGTTTATGGTTCTTTTCACAATAATTGTTGTTTCAAAATACCTTTACAAAAGGTGCAAATTATTGGATTAAAATTAAATTCAGTTATTAATTTTCTAGTTATTATTAAGGTTATTAGTTACCATAACTTTATTAGTTATTAATAACTTTAACTTATTAACTAGTAACTGATAGCTTTTAGCAGGAGAAGTTACTATATAGAAACATAGTTAACCTGCAGTTATATAGTATAGAGGTGATGTCTATGTGTATATGTTCAATGAAGTGTATTTGTGTATTAAGTGTATGTGTTTGATCTTGAGTGAGTCATCCGGGAACATGTAATCACTCTGACTTTGATCTGTGAATACATTCAAATCCATATCCTTTCATTGTGAATAATAGGTGGGTTAGTATATGCTTTATTCATTTGGTTTTGTTTCTCTTAACTTTGCACTTTTTTTTGGAAATATGGCACCATCTTGTGGCTGAATAATGAGCAAGTTAATGTGTATTCCATCAGATTTGCATTTAATTAAAGGGTCACAATAAACCAAAACTATTTTTTTGAGATGTTGATAGTCAAATAATATAAGATAAGATATAAGATATATATATAAGATAGTCATATATATATATATATATATGAGTGTCTCGCATTGCTAAAAACATCATTAGGACACATATATTTAGCTAAAAAGTGAAAATTGGTTGTTTTTGCATTGTTTAGAGCAAATTTGTTCTTCCAATTTGAAAAGAATTTTCGAAGCAACGTCACAGTGATTAGATCATTGTGTAAATTCCAGCACTGAGATTGGCTGTCTGTACCTGAGGGTACAAAGTGACATCATTGAGTTTTCAGCATTAATTCATGAGAAAGGCTTGGTTCGAACCAATCAGCATGCTCTATAGTGAATGAGACACAACTTCATTATTATGCATGCTATAGCTTCGAAGACTCCTTTTACCTGTTACAGTGTTCAGAGAGATGCCACAATGTGTTGCCAACCAAAATAAAACAAGTGGAGGAAGAAGAATTGTTAAAAGACATGGGTCGTCAGTGTTGCGTTTATAAATGTGCAGCAACGTGAGTTTTGTTTTCATTTCCCCGCTATGAAAGTGCTGCATGTGGACATGTCTGGATTACATTAATCTGCTAACACGCGACAAAAATATGTTTGTAAGGAGCGTTTTTTACCCAAGAGCTTTTTGAATCTGGAAATGGTGAAATCTGCATTTGCCACTGGTCTTCTTTTTAAAATGACGTGGTTCCAGTTGGTGTTAATTGTCCAGTCTCTACAGATTTAGTAAATGAGCGATTGGTGTTCTTTGTTTATGTTTCTCCAGATGGCAAAGTCAGCAGTACTCTTTCAGTTTTTAAAGACATACCTTAGTCAAAATGAATTTAGTTTACAGTAATATCACTACAATATTGAGATAGCAAAGTTAGATTGTATCGTCAGTAGCACGCTTTCAGTTTTTAAAGACTTTCCTTGAAATGAATGAAATTATTAAGTATTTTACAGTAATATTACTACAATATTATGCACTGAAAATGCTTTGTGTCACGTCTGGCGAGTAATCAATCAGGGAGTAATCAAAGGTGCGGATCCAGATGCAGCCAAAAAAACATTTATTTAAACAAACAAACAAAAGCAAAGCAACAAGAGAAACGCAGACATCATAGGAGTGACCAAAAACTAATGACAACGAAATGACAATAAAAACTGTGTGATCTGACCGGGACTTTAGTCTGACTGACATTAACAACATTTTGAAGTCATTATTTCTGGTGAAAGTACTATTAATGGAAGGACAGAAATCTGACATCTACTGACTTGTGGAAAAATCACTTACACAGGATCCTTTCGGGTGCCCAACAGCAGCGAGGCCAGGTCTGCTCGGACAGGGTTCTTTGGTGCTAAACTGATGGAGTGCTTGTCGAAAGTGTTTTCCACTGTTCCTCCCTTCCCAAGATCCCTTTCAGACACAAACACATGAGCATGAGCTTCTGCTGGTTTAATTCAACATCTCTGCATTTCTCTACACCAGACTAACCTCTGGAAGTTCCAGTCCAGACGGAGGGTCATGTCTCCTGTGCTGCTGAGCAGCTCCTTTATGAGCTCCTGTCTGCTTGGTGGACTGATCCGCCACACAGACCCAGAGCTGCCCTCAATGTTGGCCGTCACTATGTCTTCATAGCTGTACATGGTGATAAACTGCATGGCCACCTGTGGACACAATCAAGTTTTAGACACAGATGGACAAGCCGGGTGTTATATTCTGCAGAACTGGACAGATGTTGTTGCATTCATTTGTCAAGACCGAAACTATATAGTTGAAGTCAGAGTTATTAGCCCTCCTGAGTTGCCCCTGTATATTTTTTCCCCTACTTCTGTTTAACGGAGAGCACATTTTTAACACATTTCTAAACATGATAGTTTTAATAACTAATTTCTAATAACTGATTTATTTTATCTTTGTCATGATGACAGTACATCATATTTGACTAGATATTTTCAAGAAACTAGTATAAAGCTTTAAATTACATTTAAAGGCTTAACTAGGTTAATTAGGCAAGTTAGGGTAAATAGGCAAGTCCTTGTATAACGATGGTTTGTTCTCTACTGCTTTAAGGCTATTAATATTGACCTTTAAATGGTTCAAAAAAATGAAAACTGCTTTTATTCTAGCCAAAATAAAACAAATAAGACTTTTCCGGAAGAAAAAATATTATCAGACATACTGTAAAATGTCTTGCTCTGTTAAACATCATTTGATAATTATTTTAAAAAATAAAAAATAAAATAAATAATTACAGGAGGGTGAATAATTTTGCCTTCAACTGTATATGAGTAGTGTCCTGATATAGTTGCCAACACAATATTCTTCTGACATACCGTATACCCTTTTGATTTACACCTATCACAAATCTTTAAAAAAAATTTCTGAATACATAATAATTATATACAATAGTAAATAATGGGATGCTTTACAATATTATATTTGTGCTCATACATTAGATTAGTCGGTATTGAAGCCAAATCTGGGGATAATCTAACAAAAGAATTACGATAATTGTCCAAACACTATTCAACCAAAATGTATATGTTAGAGAAAAATATTAAACGTAACTGTAAAAAAAAAATAAATAAATAAAGTGGTTTGTCGTTGTTTAAATTTAATTGTATTATCTTTCAATTTTCATGTTTGGTGAACAATTATTTTTATATATATTTATTTTATATATTTAAACTTAATATTAATATTAAACTTAATATTATAACTTAAATAACTTAGTTAAACCTTTAAATGTCACTTTAAGTTGTATAGAAGTATATTGAAAAAGATCTAGTAAAATATTATTTACTGTCATCATGGCAAAGATAAAATAAATCAGTTAGAATTAGAAATGTGTTGAAAAAAAATATTACTCCATTAAACAAAAGATGGGGAAAAAATAAACAGGGGGGCTAATAATTCTGACTTCAACTGTACACACACACACACACACACACACACACACACACAAAAAAAAATATAAATCTATATTATTACATTAATAATACTTGCATTACATTAAATGGGATAGTAACCCTATAAACCTACAGTCACCATATAACCTATAATACCTATATGATTTCTAAGGCCTTTATTTTATTAACATAATTAGAACTGCTGACCAACCTATTGTCCACAGTTTGCTACACATGTTTGATTGTATAGCAGGTAGAAGGCATTTAGTATAATGCAGTGTATGAGTTGTTGTACACTACATCTGCTGTGAATTATTATAAAGCCAAGGTTTTTTCTTTTATCTATATATTTTAAAACTCGTGTAACAATGCATCAAATATGATTCATCAGGTTTCTTAGGGTCATATCTTAATGTGATTGTAGTGCACTGGAGTGTTTGTTTTGCTCCACACATAAAGCTTTGATCTAAAAAAAAAACAAAAAAAAAAATTTAAATATCACCCCTTACTGAAAAATATAGTTAAGGATATAAAGTGACAACTGATATTTACTAATATTTAACTCTCTAAGTTTCATCTTAATTTCATCTGAGTAAAACTAAGGTGTGTTTAAGTATGAGCTCCATAAAATCATACTATATTATCCTTATAAGCACAGTGGAACAAAAACTCCATATACTATGATTCATTTATGGCTATCATTTCATATATCAGGTTTAGCGAATTACTTTGAGAATGAGTTATGACTGTTGATGTCCACTTACAGCATTTTTGCTAAACTGATTGTTGAGTTGATTGTAGCGACTCTCTGTAAAGGGCTGGATGGACTGCTGCTGCACACTCATTGTAAATAAAGGCTGTCAGAGAAAACACATATCAAATATCAGATGTAAAATCTCAAATAAAATCAGCCAGATTCTGCTATTTTACATTTTTATCTTCCCACACACTAAGAAACAAAGGTACAAAAGCTGTCACTGAGGCGGTACCTTTTCAAAAAGTACACTTTTGTACCTTACATGTGCACATTGGTACCTTAAAGGAACTTTTTTGTAGCTAAAAGGTTTACTTTTGTACTTTTAAGGTACTATGAAGTACACAATTGCACTTTTTTATGTATAAATATGTACTTTTTAAGGTACAAATGTGGACCATGATAGGTATAAAAGTGTACTTTTTGAAAATGTACCACCCCAGTGAAAGCTTTTGTGTCATTATTTCGGACAGTGTATTTCGGAGTCATTTGCATTTAAAGAGACACATAAAAAGTGTTTATGCTTCAGGTCAAAAACAGGGCTATTACAGAGTAGTATAACTTGAGCTGAAATATATGCTGATATTTTAAGCTAAAACGTGTAGTTTCAACAAGAATAGGTTTTGTTACATTATAGCTGGCATCCACATGACATCTTCAACCCATGAAAATAGTGTTTTAAAAATGCTGAAAACCCTGTTGTAGATTGGAAACACTGGTGTTCAGTTTCAGTATAGACAGACTGAAATACAGCCTTTAGAAAACAGAGGCGTGGCTATCACAGTCCCTCTCTGATGGGTCTTCCAGACTATTGCTTAGATATTATTCCCCGATTCGTTAAGCTCCTCCATTTGGCCATTATACAACCAGTAGACAACAAGTACGGATGCCAGCAAAATATGCACATGCCCATAGAGCTTGAATGGTCATGTATCGAGTATTTTACACACTATATTGTGTGCGCAGACTTTTTTTCTGAAATGCAATAAAAATGGCAACATGATCAACGCTTTCATTCTAACACACTTTATTAAAATAACCAAAAACAAAATAATGAAAGGGTAGTCAATTTGCACAGAGAGCATTGTTGATTTTTTTTTTTAAGTTTTCAAAGCATTTTTCCAAAAGATGTCAAAATAAGATGTCACCAAAGATTATACAAATTGCTGAAACCCCAGAGTGGATGAAAACATCCCCAACAGCACACAAAAGGTTAAATTAGTTAGTGAAAGTATTAAACATTTATAGGACTATCAAGTGATTGTATTTTACCTCATAACCTCCAAGCTTAACCGTGACCGTGACATCAACAGGATGATTAACTACACCAACTACAGATTTAACAAGCGAGATGAAGAGCAGCGGGAACCAAATGATGCAAATGAGGAAGAGAATGATGAGGCCGCCCATCCCATACTTGACTATCCTCTTTTTCTTCTGCCCTTTTGGCTGGGGATATTTCTGCAGAAAAAAAATAGATTAAACAGACAACAATAAAAATCCTAGGTTAAAAAGAAATACATTTTCATTATTTACTCACACTCACGTAAGGGAAGGGTATTTTTTTTTTATTTAGCTGGGCTACTTATAGTAAGTTTGGATTAATCTGATTGACTAACTATTGATTGTAGATGAGAGACCAGCTGCAGTTAATCATATCATATGCTCCTCTCGAAATTAGTTTGTGAAACTTCACGAAGATTGAGGGGTTAACATCGATGCTGAGGAACTGCACTACAGTCTTCAATAAAGTCTTCTCCCCATAAGAACATTGGTCAGCTTACTTATTTTATGTATTAGAGCAATCAAATACATTGGAGAGCCACCCAAGAATGGTTAAGCCAAATACAGCAAAATCTAACATAAAGAAATAACACAGAAAGATTTGAAAACAAGTGGAGGATTTTTAGTGAACTATCCCTTTAAGAAGATAAGATAACTCTACATTTATAACTGTAATTTTTTAGCTTCAGATTTAAAAGATGAACATTTTCCATGAACTGAATAAAACAGGCCTAAAACTAGAACATGGTGATCAATCTTTGTCACACAGCTTTTAATCTATTTTTTGTGAATTTATTTTAGCAAAATGTCACATAGTTATAAAATTACATTTTCAACCCAAGTGTAGTTTTATTTAGTTCTGATCTATACTTATGATATTATGTTGTTTCTTTTTAAAAACCATATTCAGTTGCTTAGTATTTTGGGGATTCACTGTGGTGCTCAACCAATCATGTTAAATTAATATATTTTACCCTTGTTCTAAATATGCCTGACAAATTTTTTAATAAATTATTTTTTAAATTAATTAATTAGGATTGTTATTTTTTCTAACCACAAAAAAGAAAATAAGATCTAATTACATTGTTTTAATGTAGCGGCAAAATATTTATCTGTGCTCATTTTGTTCAGCGGCTTTTAAATGAAAAAAAAAAAATACAATTTATAATACAACCACACAGATATATTTAATTGTAGGTTATTTGTATTGTATACCAAACATTAAAACAAACCAAAATATAAACTGTTTATTGTATATTGGCAGTGTTGCGTAAGTTACTTTAAAAAAGAACAGATTACAAGTTACTGACTACTACTGGAAAATTGTAATCTGATTACGTTACTAATTACTCCATGTAAAAAGTAATCAGATTACTAATTACTTTAGTTTTAAGTTATTTAAAAAAAAACATAAAATATACCTATAAAAATACTAAATAAACTGCAGCTTTTTTAGTACTTTAATACTCACTGAAAAACATTACAATGGGTTGATCACAGCAACTTGACATACTCAAAAGACTTAAAGTAGGGGTGTTCAAACCGGTGTCCTGCATATTTTAGTTCCAACCCCAATTAAACACCTCTGGACCAGCTAATCAAGCTCTTTCTATAAGTATACTATGTATACTAGAAACTTTCAGGAAGATGTGTTGAAGGAAGTTGGAGCTAAACTAAGCAGGACACCGGCCTTTTAGGACCGAGTTTGGACACCTCTGATTAAAAGAGTTCACCCAAAAATTAAAATTCTCTCATCATTTACTATACAATCTGGATATCTGTAACCATTGACATCCATAGTATGCAAAAGCACTGCAGTGTTTGGGTGTTCTGGGTTTGTCTGAGGTAATTAGTCTACCAAAATGTGTATATTCCATACAAAGCATAAAGCTGATTGGTCAGTTCTTGTAACGTGACTCACTGTTTTCAACTGGTGTGCCTTGAAAATGTAATTGTAATATTCACTCCAAATGTGTGCGCAAGCCACACGCCTCCATGTGAAAAAATGAACTTGCACGCGCAAAAGTTAACGGTCCCATAAGCAGTTATGCTTCTCTTTAGACTCAGAAGACACCTTCACTACTGATCCTGCACAAAATAAAAAATGTATTTAACCCGTTTCGGCTGAGTTGGACTGCCGTGTTTTTGGGCGCCCGTGTCCTCCATGGTGACGAGTACTGTTGTAGATAATGTTTTCTCTTCAAATGCTTGAACAAGTTGGTGGTTGAATTAAAAGCAGTTGAATAGACAGCATTTCACAGCAGTATTTGTTTTTATGCTCAAACAAAGTAATGTCTGTATTTCCACTTGAAGAAGCAACCACTCTCGTCAGCAGCCATTTCAGCTCGCGTTCTCCAGGAATTTAAAAGCACATGCTTATTAACTGACGTTGCAGCAGAAAACGTGATTTGAAAGAAGTATTTTTCCTTCTAAAAACTATATTAGTAACATAAGTAATGCAATTACATTAACTTTAGTAACTGTAATCAAATTACACAAATTTAAAATGTAATTCAATACATTACTGCGTTCCCCAAAAATGTCATTAGAATATAGTAACGCGTTACTGTGGAACACATTACACCCAACTCTGTATATTGGTGTGTGTAAAATATCACAACAGTTCAATTTAATCTGAATGAAAAATTATAAACAGTTTTATTTATTATTTAGAAGTATAATTGAAAAACAAGCTAAAGACCTACTTTTTCTGTTTCCCGGCTACACTTGATGATGAAGATGTTAGCATAGATGTCCTCCACACACATCCAGTTAGAGAGAGAGAGTGTGGTGTCTGTCCAAACCCAGTCCATCACAGCTCGAAGCTCCACTAAAAATGGAACCAGACGGAATCTATGGAGAAACACACAGTAAATGAACAAATAGTGGCTATCAAACAATCGTATTTAAAAAAAATAAGATGAACATTAAGAGACAAGAAGTGCTCACCCTTGGAAGAGGAACAGGTTAAGATGATTGAATTTTTTAGTGAGGAAGTTTCCAAGGATTCTTGTAGGGTATCCACAGCGGATCTGATACGCTGACAAAGTGAAGTAGATGCACTTGAAAAAATACCAGAGCTGAGCCACCGAGTTATGATTGAACATCCTGTGAAAAAAAAGGAGATGACTCACTCTTTGAAAAAAAAATAATAATAATAAATAAATGCACTCCTGGAGTCTTTCTTACCTTTCAGTGACAGCAGGAAGGATAAAAAACATCCAAAGGTGGATGCCAAAAACCAGGATAACCTGGAAGATGAGCTTTCCCAAGATGCTCTTCCGCAGGTATAATGCTCGATCGATGATCATGGTGCTGAACTGAATGAGGAGCATGACCAGAAATGCCTCAGGGACCTGGTCCTCGGACAGAGAGGAGGCTATATCTGCCGCCGCCGAGTGTTTCTGAGAAAGAGCAAACATTTAATATTAAAAATCCTCACTGGATATTGACATTCCTCTACATTTTTTTATCTAATGATATCTGTCTATTTTCTGTACTCACCCCAAAAGCCCAGAAACCAAAGATAATGATGATAAAATCCACTACGTCAGTGAGGAACATAAGAGCATAGACATCAGTTGAGGCCCTGTACTCCGCATGCAGGATGTTCTGGAAGAAATCCCAGGTTGGCCTGTACACATTCTTCACTCTGCACAGACCAAAAACACACCATGATTAAATAAATGACAATTAAACCCAAATATCACATTGATTCAATAAAATATGCAGGTACCTATGAACAAGTAGAGAAGACCACGTTTAAGTGACTTTTTTACATTATGAGATGGTAGCCTAAATATGTATGACACCTTTGAGCAACATTAAGCTGTTTGTGTACAGTATGTAAGGAATGATTACAAGTTGCATTATTAAAACAAAAGTATGAATATTTGAGTTGGTATTGCACCCATCACCCTATTACACCCTAATAATTCAATGGCCTGGAGTAGGGCTGAGCTAAAAATTGAAATAAGATGACAATGAAATCATGATTTAACAAAAGCAGTGTTTGTCATGCAGATTTTGTCATAGAAGGTTGTATGATCAGTAGTAAATCTTGGCCAAAGGCCAGAGGGCACTCTTGCATGGACACTTCAAATACCCATGAAGAAGAAACCCAGGAAATCCCTATAGAGTGGAGGAACTATGACGTCAATTTGAATGCAAAATCCGGAAGAGAGTTAGCATTTTAGCAGTTCCGGTTCCCTTGTCCTAAAGTCAAAGAGTTTTTTTTTTTTATTGGATTTTGGTTAAATCACGTAAATAAGGTTTGTGGTTAACACAAACTCAAGATACTTTCACGTTGTATTCTACGACATAAAACACATCAATCAGTTACATCACAATCTTGATTTTTTAAATCGGTTGCGCTTCTTTAAAAAGACAGTTGCTATCAAGTTTGCTAAATGGGGCGGAGTCAGAGACAGTATACGTCATCGAGCTGGAACGCAGCCCACTTTAAATTTACAGCTTGTGTTGGGCATTTGGATTTGTCTGTTATTTAAGTATTTTTATAAATAGTATTTTATAGTTTGTAGTATTTTTCTATTTGGGCATTCATATGGTGTGTAGCCTTCACTTAAACTTGTCGTGACAGATTCGTTTGTTGATCATTTACTTTAATTAAGCTATTTTATGAAGATACTGCTTACCATAGCATAGCCTGACTATTTCCTGCTTTCAGTAATGTAAATGTGTAAATAAATTTGTAAAATAAACTTTTTTTTATCAATTATTTTACTTTTTACTTTTATTCAATTATTTTACTTTTTTTTTTTCAATTATTTACTGAGTTTTTAACGTGATTGTTTTACATTACCATACATCTAATGATTTTTATAATTGTTTTTCATCACATTTAACTTGTTATAACTGCAATATTTATATTCACAAAAAAAAAAAAAAAAAAAAAAAAAGAATGTATGTAAAAAGTATTCAAATTGATTAAAGAATATGGTAAAACTGAACAATACATTACATTCCACACCAGGACTATAAGCTGATATGATCTGTTCTGATCTACAGGGTAAAGATCATAAATATGCACTGGATATCAAATACAGACCATGAGCATATACAGTTGAAGTCAGAATTATTAGCCCCCCTTTGAATTTTTTTTTCTTTTTAAAATATTTACTAAATTATGTTTAACAGAGCAAAGACATTTTAATAGTGTATCTGATGATGTTTTGTCTTCTGGAGAAAGTCTTTATTTGTTTCATTTCGGCTAGAATAAAAGCAGTTTTTAATTTTTTAAACACTATTTTAGAGACAAAATTATTAGCCCCCTTTAAGCTATATTTTCTTTTGTTAGTCTACAGAACAATCCATCGTTATACAATAACTTGCCTAATTACCCTAACCTGCCTAGTTAAACTAATTAACCTAGATAAGCATTTAAATGTCACTTTAAACTGTATAAAAGTGTCTTGAAAAATATTTAGTAAAATATTACTTACTGTCATCATGGCAAAGATCAAATAAATCAGTTATTAGAAATGAGTTTTTAAAACTATTTTGTTTAGAAATGTTTTGAAAAAATCTGCTCTCGTTTAAACAGAAATTAGGGAAAAAAATATAACAAAAACAAACAAGTGGTCTAAAAAAAATTCAGGGGGACTAATAATTCTGACTTCATCTATATATATATATATGGCTCTTGATGGCCAGTCCTATACTGCACCTTAGTTCTGCATTCATTTCAAAGGAGCACTACCCTCTACTAAAATGGCAGCTCTATTGACGCATTCCTTTCAATAGACAACAACAGGGTAGGTGACATCTAATGTAAATCTCTAAGAGTTTAGATAAACAGAACAAGAATCTTACACGGACAAGAAAAGGCTTTTGAATTTCCCTTCAATAGCATTGAGTAGTTTTTTACTGGTCTCCTTGCTGTGTTTGGTCTTGCACTTCTTCTTCTTCTTTTTGGGTTCTTTCTGAACAGCATCTATAAAAAATGACAAAACAACAGACTCAGTAGAGCCATTTTAGCATTAATCTTATATTACTATTATAGTTACTTGACTGACCTGGTTCTGCTTTTTTTTTCTTGCGGAAGCGAAGGAAGTGACTCTTTTTCATCCCATCATTTTTGACTGTATCAGAGGTTTTTGTGTTGTTTGTGTGTGAGTTGGGCTCTGGGTCAGTCTGTATTTCAGCATCGGTTGGTGTTTCTGCCGACGGTGTCAGTGACAGCACCTCAGTGTTGGGCTCTGGCTGTGCTTGACTGTCCTCTTCATCTGAGTGTTGAAATTTTTTCTCATCGTTTTCATTCTTGCTATTCTCGGCAGGTGACAGATCACTCTTCTCTTCCAGAGGGCCCTCCTGGTCCCACAGACCATAACGCTAGGAGACAAAATGGAAATCACAAGCATTTACAAGCCAGATATTACTCCAAGTAATATCAGAGAGATAATCTATAAACAAACATACAGTTATGGTATTCATAGCTATAAATTCCATGTTGTGTCTACATAACATTTTAGTTTACTTAAAGTAGGCATTAACTGGAAGGTACTGACTTTTATTTGGGTATGGTGAATATTGAGTAGAAAGCAGGGCTTTCTTTTCCACCTCATTCCCTAATAGCAAACTAATGCTAAGATGGGCTTAGTTAAGGATACTGACATGCAATTTTTTAATTACATGTTTAGGTCTTATTTCAAGTCTAATAATACAAAGTCGTATTTCAAGAAGTATTTTTAGATGAATTAAAATTATTGTCTTGCTTTTAAAAATAAGAAGCAGAACTCTTACATGCCCCCTTACTGATTGTGACTCCAAACCATAATTTTTTTTTTCACTAAACTTGACAGATTTCTGTGAGAATGTTGGGTCCATGCGAGTTTTAATTGGTCCTCTGCAGTATTTGTGAAAATTGGGATGCAGTTCAACAGATGATTCAATGGAAAAATCTACCTTCTGACACTTTTTCAAATGATCAACTAGAAGTTACGTTATTATTTGTTGCTCTTACAACTGGGATCGATGACAAGATGTCAGGTATTGTTGACCCTCTAAAACAGCTATGTTAGTCTAGGTTTGTTTTTTTGTTTTTTGTTTTTTTTTACTACCTGGAGAAGTGAGCGGTGAAAGAAGAGCACCAGCAGTTGAAGCAGATCATATCGGATGTAGTTGTCAGTTTTTTCCAGGCCCAGGATGCGTGGAGGGAAGAAGGGCTTGTCCTCATTCAACTTCAGCTCATACTCAGTATTCCATGGGAAAAAGCCGAACTGAAAGAGGTATTTGACCACCACCATTACCTGAGGAAAACACATCAGGCCAGAGATAAAAATAAGTCATTATTGTTCATATTCCAAAATATTTATTTAGAATTTTCTCAACTATACTTACTAACTTAACTTATACTAACTTCTATTATATTGTATTGTATTGTATTGTATTGTATTGTATTGTATTGTATTGTATTGTATTGTATTGTATTGTTTTAAATACCTATATACTTTTGGAATTTAATTTTACTTTGACCATGTAAAACAACATCTGCTTATGTTACTAGTTTGGGTCTCTGAATAGAAGGCGCCTTAATGCTTCTTAAATCTGAGCTCTATATTATAGATTATTATATTATATGAGCAATAAAAAGAGTGAAACGTCAAATATGATAATCACTCAACCAATCAGGTAATAAATAAATAAATTGTACAACAACACATGTGAAAATGTTTTATTTTTTATATTTTTTGTTTAAAGGTTCAATAAATTGTTCCATTTAAAAACTGTTACCACTTTAAAACAATGGTCCATTAATTAATGTTTGTTAATGTAATTACTAACACAAACAAACAGTTAGTAATACATTTATTATGGCATTTATTAAACTTTGTTAATGTTTATGTTATTTATGTAATGCTAGATTATTAAATGCTTTACAATATTATTTATCCTAAGTTAATGTTAGTAAAAACATTAACTAAAATTAACTAATAGACCATTATACAAGTGTTACCAAAAGGCTCATCCATCAGGGTTTATTGTGGTCAACACTTCAAATAAAAACGTCCGAAAGCTCTAAAATGCTTTATTCAAAGATTCCCAGCTTTCTTTTCATCAAATTTTGATAACATAGATGTGTTCATCACTGCCTTTGATATGTCACAATCATGTACTTTCAATTTCTGACAGTAAAAATAAATAAATAAATAAATAAAAATTCCATCTCAAATTTTGAGATTTGCAACAAACTCATGGTGCATTCCATTCCATTGCAATGCCCAGTGGAAATGTGCCTAAATTCTCAAGCTTGCATTGACTTTGTATGTAATTGACTCAAAATGAATACTAAATTTTACTCTTTGTGTGAACCCAGCATTAATGCAGTGATCCAGCATGTCAGCTGCCTAAGCTTTTAGATGCAGCCAAAGGTAAACTTTCTTTCAGTTTTTTTTTTTTATGTGAAATGAAGTTTGTTTATTTATTGCCAAATCAGCAACTCATCTGGCTATTTCATGGCAAGACCAACATAAATAAAAACATATTAAATAATAATCATTTCAATAACAACTTCATATTTCAATAAGAAATTATGCAAAGTAAATACAAACATATACATTTAAAAAAAAATAGAAAAACTTCACATTAAAAACAATAGATTTTTCATAACTTAAAATTCTTTTTTGGAATATTTTTCAAAAGAATTAAAAAAAAATTTGCATTCTAATACAATGTGTTTTATGGTAGGACATAATGGTGATTACGTTCTTCAATAAATACAAGTGTGTCAACCTAGAGTGACTTACTGTTGGCTAAGACTTGTTTTATATTCTAGCTATATTTTAGATTTCTAAGGTTTTAAAATATTTTATATTTGGTCAAATTTTCTATATCTATAACCTATAATTGTTTATCTAAAATTGTCTGTGTTTTACTTGTTATTATACTGCATAATTTAGCTTCTTATTGATAACAGCTTGTTTTTTTAGGTTGTGTGAGGTTGTAAAAGCATTTTACTGCATATTGCATTGTGTATGTGACAAATAAAATTTGAATTTGAATGACCAACTCTGCATCTGATATAAAATTCTGGTCACGTCTGGTTTAAAAAATAAAACTTGCTAAGTGTCTTTCAAATATATGTGGGTTAAACATATTAACAAAGGCTGTGTACATCCTCTCACCTCTGTATAGATGATGGCCGTCATCCAGAACCTCTTGGAAGGCCGTGGCACAGACAGCATTGCCCACAGGAAGACCAGAACTGGCAGCACCAGGGAGATAACAGAGGCTGTCACCAGGTTATTGAGCACAATAATGAAATAACAAACCAGCTCAGAGTGAGCCGCCAGGACATTATAGAGAGCAAAGAGCAGCTTCAGCAGTCGGTTCTGAGACGAGTAGAACTCACGACTCTGGATCAACTCATCCACCCTGAACGGCCTGAAAGAGAAATCACAGAGATGAACTACAATGTAACTAAAGAACAAAATACTTTACTGTAGGGTAAATAAACCTTTTTTGGTCCCACTGAAATTAAAAGTGAGGGTGGGTTAAGTTGTAAGGGAGGGTCAACAGTGCTAATTTACAATTGAAAAACATGCATTTACACAATAAGTACATTGAAATTTATCATACTCATCAGAGTAACAATATATCAGTTAAAGCCACAATATAAAATTTGACCATTTTCTTGGAAAAAAAAATCAATTATGAATTTAGTTTAGATGTAAAACAGATACTGAAAAGACAAAAGTGTCATTATTTTGCTCATCTAGTTTTAAAGTATTTCAATACCATTGAAGTTTAAAACATAAAAAAAGTTTCAAAAATATCTTTGCGTTGTATAATTGCACTTGCTTAAATATTAAAATGATTAATTATTTATGAATAACAGTAGTATTTTTTGAACTTTAATTTAATGAAAAATATACACATTTATGATAATTCATAAACGTATCAGCTTTCATTTGAAAAACTAAAATTCACTTAAAAAGCACCTATGATGAAAACCATTTTTTGTAAGCTGTTTGGAAAAAAACTGCGTGTAGGTATAGTAGTGGTGTAACGGATCACAAATCTCACGATTCAGATCACACTACAGTGTTTGTGTCACGAATCAGACCAATTGTTAGATCAGCAAAAAAAGAGGAGACAAATGTCATTGCTTTCTATTTATACAAAAATTTTACAGGAAAAACCACTGGTTTTAACAAACATAAGTTAGAAGCTTTAATTTAATAAAAATAAAAAATCAAGAAAGAACCAGCTGAAAAACAGGAAAATATTCAATACAAAAAATTATTTGTTGATGATAATGTTAAATATAGAAATCTAAAATCTTGTACAATATATATTTACTTTCAATTAAAGATTCAACAATTCACACATAAAGCTGAATGTTTCGTTATAGGTGGATCATTTTTAAAAACCTATTCAGTGACATAATTTTGTTGGTTGTTTGTCACCACTCATTTGATATACAATTTCATTGCTTTGACCAGCATCAAAAATTCAGCAGCGTCAAGTCCATTAGATGGGGATTTTAATCTTTACCATAAACATCAGTGTTTATATCTGAACTATAAACGGTTCTCCCAGTAGTTTTGTAATATTTAATTGTTTTTAACAAACTGAAAAAGTGTAAAAACGGAATCTCTCTCGATCAAACGCAGATTTGAGTGCAGTGGTTAGAAGGATTAATAAACTGGGAAAATAAATTGAGATCACAATCTTTTAATGTGTAATTCTGCAGCTTTACACCAAATGCATTAATGCAGGCTAATCAAACAGTGACAGAAAACACATTTAAATAATAGCCTGAGAAAGTATTTAGGTAGGTCCCACCAAAACTTTTCCCATCATCATAATATTTTACAGGGAAGGCAAAATGCTTTCCTACACGTTGATCTTAATGATGTGGGAGGTGATCTTTCTGCAATTGTTGTAAATGTTGGATTGACCTATAAGTATAAAAAAGTTATTAATCCATAGGTCATGGGCTTTCCGAACAGTAGGGTGTGATCTGTAAAGATTACCCATCAATCATGATCCGTTACACCCCTAAGGTATAGTGTGTCCACAGTCATACTGGAGTGATAGAAACACAATAAGTCTCTTTTTTTTAAAATTCCCTGACGTTAAAATTGGACCCAAATCCCAGTGATTTTGAGGCCCACCGCACCTGCCATAGGAGTGCAATTTTCCCTGCCCACCGAATTGATTGACAGGCACCATGTTTCTATAATAGCATACACATGTCCACAGAACATTATTTTTGCAAATTATCTTGGATTAAAATATTTGTTATTTTCTGTGATTTTTATAAGTTTATAACATTTTTAAAACAGAACATGTTTATAATAAAATATCTAATTCTTAACCTCTATAATCACCACAGCTGCATAGTGTCAGTAAATGCTAATGTGTGTTCTGCAGACAGCATTTGTGTGAGACTCATCATTTCAGAAAGGCTTGAATAAACTACACAACAAATACATCAAATTAACTTACTTGGTATTTTTGATTAATGAGCTGTATTTCAGTTTCAAATTCTGTCTCTGTCACTGTGCTGTTTATCTGACTTTACGCATGATAAGAAGCAGACACACACATGGGAGAGGAGAAGCAGCTCATTTGCATTTAAAGCCACAGGCTACGGAAATAGCTAGACTGTACTAAGACAACAAAATGGGCAGATTCTGGAGGCTATAAGAAATTATCTGATGGGTATTTTGAGCTGAAACTTTACAGACACATTCTGGAAACCCCAAAGGTTTGTCCTACATCTTGTAAAGAGGTAAAATAGGTGATCTTTAAATGTAAATATATTTCTAAAGCACTTTATAAATTACATATATAACAGTGCTGAATAATATAGTAAATAATATTAATATTCTGTAATATAATATTTTTATAATAAAATATAGTCAGATCACAAATAACTAATCCAGATTGTTTTACTGAGAGTGATCATTTAAAATGGCAGAAGATCATGCAGTCAAGCCACATAAAAAGCATCACCTTTCTGACAGCAGTTCACTGGCGGTTCTGGAGCGGTGAGGTCGGTGTGTTTGCTGGCTGTAAAATGGTTCACAGTCAAGCTCGAGTGTGAGTTCAGATGACAGAGTTGTGCTGCTAAAGTCACGGCTCTTCGCAAAACCACCCAGAGTCTCAGATTCCACCACACTGCAGAAGAAATTGGACATTTAGTCATAACTGATGGAAACACACAACATATAAATCATAAGACAATTAGTCAACCTCCCATCTCAATAGCCCATAATGAAATATAAAACCCCACGTTCAAAACCAGTAACCACAAAGATGTGAAATATATACAATTGGCTTCAATTGTGTATTAAATGTAAATGATGTTGTGTTTGGTTAGAACACAATATAAATCTAAAAAACTACTAAATCTACAGACTGTAGCCATATTCACTAGTCACTTGTCATCCTGTTCTGTACGCAGATCGATATTTTACAGCAGTTCCAACTGTCTTTCACATTATCTCCTAAAAACGTTAACACAGTTTGTACAGACACAAACTAAACAACCAGCCGTTAATGACAATTTTAAACTCATAGCAGAGTGTAAACTTCATTTAACTTTTCAGATTTCTATTATATTGTCATTTCACATTGCAAGTAAGTGTAGTTCTGCTGTAAACTGTAGTAATTGACTATAACGATCTGACAGATGAGTAAATTAAGTAAATTTGTGCTTATAGGCAAAGACTATAAAATACACAAAAAAATTTCACTCGTATTTTGAATGGTTAAAAGGGTAGCGGTCAATATGGTGAATTAAGCTCCACCTACTAGCACAGGAGCCAATCAGTGATCACTATATCTATATATTCTCCGTGGGATAAGATCAGACGAGATGTGAGTTTCTGCAAATTTGATTTGGTGTTTTCCCATTCAAACAGGATGCCAGCGAGGCTTTTCAAAGATGTCTGCCAAGTGAAATAACTTGATGTAAAGCAAAGACTATAGAATACACAAGACATGTCACTTATAATATTTTTAATGGGAAAAAGAGTAACGCCAATATGGTGAATAAAGCCCCACCTTCTAGTACAGGTACCAATCATTGATCCATATAATGCTAATAAAGCCCGCCTTCAAGTACAGGAGCTACAAACTGACAATACTGAAATGATGTTTCCCCATTCAGACAGAATCCCAGAGCAAACATTTAAAAATGGCCACCGAGTTAAATGACTTGTCTATAAGGGACTGTTTAAAGGGACATTGTCATAGGCTAGTGAACACAAACCTAAAGATAAATATGCTGGGAAAAATTGCTGGGAAGCTGATTTTTTTGACATGGGGATAAAATAATAATTTAGAGTAAAAATGAGTGAATCATGACGCACTGTGTGATGAATCCTTATGCTCTGCATGAATGTAAAAAAACGTTATCTGATTCTGACTTTTCCAGTGAAATAAGACTCCAGACTAATGCTAGGATGCTAAAAACAAGCTGCATGAGCAAAGCTTTACACAACCTTCTGTAACGTCTCAGCTAGACCTCCGCGATGTGGTTCTTTGAATAATATGAGTGTGGGCTGGAGGGGGTCCAGTTCGGGAATCACAGGATCTCATCTCTATTATTCTCAGATGATGTTGTTCTGTTGGCTTCTTGAACATGGACCTACAGCATGCACTGGGGTGGTTTGCTGTCATGTTTGACGGGGCTGGGATGAGAATCAGCACTTCCAAGTGCGAGGCCATGGTGCTCCACCAGAAAAAGGTGGTTTGCCATCTCCAGGTAGGAGGAAAAGTCCTTACCCCAGGTGGAGGAGTTAAAGTATTTTGGGGTTTTGTTCAAGAGTGAGAGAAGGATGAAACGTGGAATTGACAGGCGGATTGGTGCAGCGGCAGCAGTAATACGGCCAATGTACCGGTCCGTTGTGGTAAAGAAGGAGCGGAGCCAAAAGGCAAAGATCTCGATTTACTGGTCAATCTACATTCCTACTTTCACCTATGGTCATGAAATTTGGGTCATGACCAAACAACAAGATTTATCAGATACTCTGGGCAGTTTCAGGCTATGAAATTATTTCGTGGGCTCAGCTCTTTAAAGTAAAGTCGTTGGTGAATGGGGAAGGTATTGCGAACGAAAATGACGGTTAGCGGACGGTTTGGGGTTGAGTTGTGCACAAGGTATCGCAGACAAGGTGGATTGGTGTGGTGGTTATTGCAAATGAAAGTGAAGAGCGGGGGTGGGGGATTTGTGGTTAGATGGGATGTGTTGGTGGGTATGTTAGGGAGACCCCAATAGTAACTCCTGGGGCCCTTAGAATCACGTAAGAATTGTGGTTACTGCTAACTATGTTTATACCCTTTTTTAAAACGTAATTTGTATTGTATTACACATGAGCAAACTCATTAAAATTTACATCCTCAAAAGATAATTTGTCTATATTTTTCAATTGCTTTTGTTGTTTTATTGAGTAAAATGTCAATAAAAAGATCTGAACAAAAATAAAAAGTGAAAAATGACATCAATATAAATGGAAAAAAGTCTGCCATGCATAGACAGCAATTGAGCATGACTGAAAAAGAAAATTAAACGCATATGAAATTGCATCATTTAGGGCCTTCAGAATAAATCGGCCATATCCGACATGATGAAAACTGGAAATAATTGCATATACGATTACTGCATAGAGAAGCCAGAACAATTATGAATTATGCTATTGTGCACTTGTTTATTCTATTATACAACGTGGTGTTTATAAATTTGATTATAATTAAAACGTTAATTATTTGTTTAAACCTTTGGTTACAATTTGAAAGAAAATCACTGCAATATACATTTAGTTGAAAATATAAATCTAGTTTCATGGCACTGGTTGAACTGCTAAACCAAGCTTATGAAAATAACACTGTTAAAACATGAAGAAAAAAAAGACATCCAAATGAAAATGCACCCTTTTGAAAACACATTAATCTCTATAGGCAACTAGTTCTTTTGGTCAGCTTAGACTTACTTAGTGTCGCAAATGTTGTCAGTGTCAGTTTCATCAAGACAGGTCTCCAGAGTCAGATCCTCACTGTCGTGTGAAATCTGATCATCCATGTTCTCTCTGGAGGCTCTCTGTGAATCACACACACACACATATGCTTCATGAGAACAGTTGCAGAATCGCAGCCCTGCGTAATGTGTGTTTGAGCGGGTGATCCACCTGGCTGACGTTGTGAATAAACAGGTAACGCTCCTCACTAAGGACCATTGAGGTGTCAACATACTGCTTGGTGAGAAGGTTGAGCCACATGGTGAATCCGTCCACCATGGCTAGGAAAAGCACCCAAAGAAACTTCAGTATGTCCAGAATCCTCTGCACCATATCACTGCCGGTGGCTTGAGAAGCTGGAAAACAAGAAGAACGCACTGAGATTTCAGGAAATTCATGGCACCTTTAAGTGCTTTTGCTGTCAGCAGTTGCTTACATTCTGGCATTGGTTAATGTTTATATTTTTTATGGAGTTTTGTCCATGGTTGTACCATTATTCAGTATTTTTAAATGTTTTATAGTTAGCTAGATATACACCATATACAGCTATTAAAAATATTTGAAGAGTTCAGAGACAAAATCCTCTTGTAGCATACAAACATTGTGACACATCAATATCTGTGCAATATCCATTAATATAAAACGCTTATCAGATGTATGGGTATTATGAAGTAATATAAATAATATATAGTTTTACACATTATATCTATCTTTTAAAAATAACTTCAATTAGCAAATAAAACACAAGGTAGGCTTACTGGCCAAAAAGGAATGTCTCTCAGAAAAGTTTAGAAGCTGTCATACATTCATTCTCACAATACTTAAGGTCTTGGTCCCTTGTTTATCATTCCTCATAACATTCATGTGGGATAAAAAAACGGCATCTTAACTCTGTCTTTTGTGAAACGCAGTTGCCATTTAATGTATAGTAAATTGGACCTATTCAAAGTAGCGTCACTGGGCAAAAAACGTTATGAATGCGTGTTACGGTATGTTTTCTTTCTCTTATAATGCAGTTATAAGTTTTGAAGTAGGGGACGTTTTTATTTGCCATTCACTGACAGTCAGACAGGCTCATCCAGTTCATCAAACTCTTTTAAAATAGAAAATGAAATAAAAAAAAACGCAAAAAAACTCTTGATAAAAAGCCGGCTTATCAGCGCACCGTTAAATTAAAAACATATGATTCGATTCAAAAGCAATTGGTGTTTAGAGGCCAACAGACTTTTATTTCTGAATGGGCTGACACTACGATTTAGATGATTAAAAGCGAATCTATTTGTTGATGGTGTACTACGGGCCTAAAACATTCTCTCAATATCATTATCCATGGTCAAATTCAAATAGTGTTTTGCATTTGTGAAACGTATTTTATCAATATTTATTTTTATTTTCTGCTTTTGAATTGTTTTTGTGAATATATAAATATTTTGCGAGTGTCAATTTGGTTTTATGAATGTGAATTTGCCTAGGCATGTGTATATTGTCTCTTTTGCGTGAACTACTTTTGAGTCATTTCTAACATTTTAACATTTTTAACCCTTTTTTTTGAGAGAGATGCTAATGGTTTAATCCAATTCAATAATTTATGCTATGCTAAGCTAAGCTAAGCTAAAAGTGCTCCTGCCAGATGCAGAGATCAACTGAATGAATGCAAAAATAGTCAATGATTTAACTATAGGTGACTTGTAAAATAAGCCTATTGCCAAACAACAAAAAAGTGTGTTCTTTTAAAAATTAAAGATAATTTTTTGTATACTTTTTAATATGTATTTTAATGTGCTTTTTAATATAATTTCTTTTTTAAAAGGTCAGAATGAATAGGTATTCATAGGTTTCATTTAAACATACACAGGATGATGATGGGACATTAGTTCATGCTTACTCAATTTTTATTTGACAACATTCAAGATATGCTCGACGATCAAAGTTCTGTCATTTCTTTAACTCTTCACTTGTCATAAATCTGTTTATTTCTCCTGTTGAGCACAAAGGAAGATATAAATGTATATATATAAATGTTGTAAACTGACTACCTTAATTGACTACCTTAGTATTTATATTTCTTACTATAGATCTGGCTACCAGTTTCCAATATTCTTCAAAATATCTTCTTTGGTATTCAACAAGCAAGTATACTTTTGAGTAAATAGTAAGTAAATTGTCATATTTTAGTGAACTAGCCCTTTAAAAGAAACAGTTTGCATGCCTTTAAAATACTTTTTATGAATAAAATGATCACATCAGAAAATGAATTTGAACCAGACACCACAATACCACATCTGGGGCCTCATGTATCAACGCTGCGTACGCACAAAAACTTTGCGTACGCCAGGTTTCACGCTCAGAATCGCTCACGTTTGGATTTACTAACAATGAACTGAACGTGGGAATTTGCGCAGGTTCACGGCAGGTTTCTGGCAGGCGTACGCACATTTTTTGTGCGTGTCTGTTTTATTTCCATTGGCGACTCCTAGAGGCAGTTGTGTTAAATTCTTCTCTACAAAGTGTCTGATCCTTGCAATGGCGTCTGTATGTGACGGGTTCATATAGTAGGTATGTAAGATTTCCATACCATACAGTTGACCAGCTAAACATTAAAGCACAATTTGCAGCGGTCGCCTGTTTTCCCAATGTAATCTGAGTAATCTACTGCACGCACATTGCTATAAAGACACTATGTGAAGATAAATTTGCATGCGTGAATCAGAAACATTTCCATTCAATAAATGTGCAAATAAAATATGATGCACAAACTTATTGATGATTCCTACTTGTCTTTCTCGTGATAAATAGTGGGCAAAATCTGATATGTAGCGGGGAAAAAAAAGAAGAATGAATTCATCAGACGCTGGATTCGAGCCGAGTTTATGCTCGAACGTGTCAGTACATGATCATATGCTTCTTATGAGGTGCGCCACTGAGACTGCGAAGGGTACTGCAACATTTTACAGATATAAACCACACTATTTCTTTTTTAAATGCACTCAGTGCGATGTTCAGACCCAACTGTGTTAACCGTATCAGCTAAACTCTCCCACTCTATTTTTTTTCTTTTGTTGTTAATTCCGCCGAATAAACTTGCAAATAACACCGCTTTTCTCCGGTCTACCTCCGAAAGCAGCACCTCCATTTCACATTCTGTTCAAAGTTTCTCTTTTTGCTTGCTTTTGCCATTGCTTTTTCGTTGGGTTTTTACATTAGCATAGTCATTAGCATATTCATACGGGGGAGGAGGCAGGGAGGGGTTTTGTGCTCGTGCATGTTGCGCTCAGTTTCACGTTCATTCAGATGTACAAAAGAATATGCGTGAGATTCGGCGTACGCAGTGTTTCATACATCTGAATTTTTTTCTGCGTACGCACATTTACAGCTTTGTGCGTACGCAATGTTTTAGTAAGATTTCCACGCAAGTCTTCGTACATGAGGCCCCTGGTCTCTCATCCCTCCTAATGCAGAGATAACCCACCCGCATCCTCTCCTTCCTCCTGCATCTCCTCCGCATGCTGGGAATTTTCCCCATCAAAGACTGTTTCACCCTCCTCAGCGTCGTCTGATAACCAGAACAAAAATAACATGTAACTCTGTGGAACACTGTGTGAATTTTTATGTCTGAACGTGTCATATGTGTATTTATATCCTTCTTTAAACCTGTAGCCTGAGCGTTTTGTTGTTTCTCTGCTTCTGCTCTCTGCTTTCTCTGCCTCTGCTGACGCTCTTTCAGGGCATCTTTTGCACTGGTGACCCAAGCCTGATATGCCAGCTGTGGAAATCAGTTCAAAATAAAAGCTTTTCACACTTCTACGGTCAACAACAAAACTGACAAATCTAAAACAGAGTACAAATATAAGTGTTCTCACCTGAAAGGCAGTCTGTCTGCGAGGTTTCTGTTCTTCCTGAAAGGTTTCATCCTCCTCTCCACTGTCAGACTCAAACATATAGTATTCCCCAGAATGCAACACTAAAACGACAACATAGATTTATATTTAAACTCTAGCATTCTGATTCCCTTGCTCTCTCTTCTAAAAACATGTTCATAACATAAAATTAAAACTGTAAAGTAAATAATTAAAGAAAGAAAACATTAAAGAGGCTACATGCAAGAGTTCATATGAATCAATATTACATTGGCGGTGTGTGAACAGCTTGTAATGAAATGCATAAAAAAATAGAGACTGGTTTTTGAATCGCGTTCAGTCTCTAGTATGTGAAGTGTGCATGAGCTCAAGCAAGTGAATAGTTTGAACATTCACTCATTCATTTATTTTATTTTCAGCTTAGTCCCTTTATTAATCTGGGGTCGTCACAGCGGAATGTACAGCCAATTTATCCAGTATGTGTTTTAAGCAGCAAATGTCCTTCCAGCTGCAACCCATCACTGGGGAACACCCATACTCTTTCATTCGCACACATACACTACTGACAATTTTAGCTTACCCAATTCACCTGCACCACATATCTTTGGACTAGTGGGGGAAACTGGAGCAAGACGAATGTTAGCAAAACAAAAAACCAAACGAAAAACAATGATAGCATCACCAAAAATAACACTGCGAAGAACAAACTCAAAGCTTATATACTATGTGTTCATTATATGTACTATGAAACTATTTGCAGACTGTTTTGACAGGGCTAAGTTTAATAATCTGAACATTAGTACTGTTTGTGTACCAGTCGCATGATCCACCCAGGGATACTGCCAGCTTTTAGACTTAGACAGCTTTGTCTCCTTCTTCTGTTCTTTGGGGTCTGTGAGATAAAACACACAGATGTAAAAAAGTATGACTGATGCAGTGACTTCTCACATCTTAACACAGTTTTCAATTTAACAATGTCATACACAAAATTGTAAACAACATCGCCACCTCCTTGTTTATTAAAAGGAAAGGCTTCTCAACATTTACTCACATTCAAGTAATTCTAAATATGTATGTATTTCTCTTTTCTAGTAAAAACAAAACAAGATATTCTAACAGAATGCTGGGAAAAAAGCAGTCATTGACATTAAAAAAAAAACACTATTGATGTCAATGGCTGTTTTTCCCAACAGTCTTGAGCATGTTGTCCTTTGTGTTCCGCACAAAAGACTTGTACAGGTTTGGAATATGTAAAGGATGAGTAAATAATGACAGAAATTTCATTTTTGGGGGAACTACATCCTTTTAAAGTGGTCTTCTTATGTTTTTATACTATTGGCTTTCTTTAATGTCTAATAATTCTTAGCATAGTAATTTTAAACTATAGCTGATCAAAGTTATATTAGCTTGGATGGCAATGGATTTGTACCTGAGGGCTGCTCCTCTATATCAGAAGTTATACGTCCGTCTTTATACTTCTGTTGTTTGCCACGTATGCGTTTCATTCTGAGGAAATATAAAGATTAAACACATACACAGTGATTGAGAGCTCAGAAAGGACATTCACTGTGTTTTTTTTTTCTTTTACAAGAGCAGAAAATTTGTTAACTCACGATTCTTTCAGCTGTTGAATTGACTTTCTCTCTGCCTGCTGATGGAAATGCATGTTCTTTATAATGCTGGCCCGGAAGAGCTCGAAACCCCTTAATGCATGAAAACAAAGAAAAAAATTATTCATGTAATCTCTGTTTTTGTTAAATTCCACTCAACTTGGGATGTTGAATTTTTGAACACCATGCTTTAAAAAGAGCAGCACAGATGATAGGGTGAACAATTCTGAATTCATCTTGGCCTAGATACATTTATAATGGCAAACAAACATGCCGCCCTACAGAAAGATGTACTTAAATATTAACAAAAACTTAAAAAAAAAATACATTTTATAAATTTTATATTTTATTTTATAGATAAATTATAAATATAAAAATCATTGATATATACATATATATATATATATATATATATATATATATATATATATAGCCGTGCGATATTTCACGGCCTACAGCCTCATGCTAATGCATGCCTCCCGCCAGTGCTGATATACAGCCATATCGTACTGCTACTCGTGAGATATTGCTCATATATATATATATATATATATATATATATATATATATATATATATATATATATATATATATATATATATATATATATATAAAGGTAAAGATGCCAAATAGAATTTTGCTTAAATGAGATTTTCTTTGAGTGAAATGCTCAACACTTCATTAAGTGAAGTTTCATAAACTAATTTCGAGAGGAGCATGTGATATGATTGTGCACCGCTGGCCACTCATCCGTAATCAGTAATAATCCAATCAGAATGATCCTAGCTTAGTATAAATGGATCACTTTCTCCTCATTGCACTATCTTCATTTTGGAAGAATCCCCCCTTCCACCCCATCTCCTCCTTTTTCTCCCCTTCTAAAGGGGGAGCGATCGAGACCTACCTGATCTTGGTTCTCCTGATATGCTTCTAGACCGGGCGGGAGCCCTGGGCTCAAATATCTCCGAGCTCAGGGTTCTCTCCCGGGACAGCATGCCAAACCTGCTATAAGTGCCAAGCATATCTAAGTGGGAACTCTTGAAACAGAACTGGTTCATAATCTGACCACATGTGCTTATATCAATAATGTGTTTACTGATTTTGGTTTTTAAAAAACACTGTTTTAATGCATTGAGCCAAATTAAGCATTATTTTTATGACATTTTAAACGGGAGAAAAATGTTAATTATTTCCAAATAATTCAAACATAGTATTAGTAAATGCATGGCCACTTAAACACGCATAACACTGTAAAACAACATTTCAGCTGTTTTATACAGCTAGTCAACCTAACTAACCAATAATCCTCAAAACCAACAGACCATGCCACATACAACTAAAGCATAAATACGCTATATATTCCAAGCTCAGCAGCTAGAATCAACTGAAGTTAATTGATGGCAAGCAGCAGACACCTGTCACTCAAGTGGCCATTAAATTGTAAGGCTTAATATAAATTAGGGGCATGAGTTATTAAAAAATCTCCCCCTCATAGTTGCTTGAAGGGTAATATTAGCTATATACATCAAAACCATTTTTGTACAAGGCTGTAAATACATTTTTTTATGCTGCAAAGTTATGCATTTTAACATGGAGGTCTATAGGAATTGCTCTCTTTTAGAGCCAGCCTCCAGTGGCCAACTGATGAATTGCAGTTTCAGTTACTAAAGTATTTGCTTCATGAGGGAGAGTAGGAGTTTGACACTTGGTCATGAGTCATATTTATCAAACAAAAACTACTCACATCTAACTTTGAAGAAAATATTTTTTTTAAAAACGCCTTCTGATGAGTCCAGCAGGGGGCACACTCACCGAGAGGCCTGTCGCGCTGAGGCCTGAAGATCTGCAGACACATGAAGAAAGTAGAAACTGAGGAAGACTCTCCTCTGCAGCAGGAGGAAGAAGAAACAGATACTGTCCCAGATAATGCCAGCCTCTTCCACAGGCAGAGAGCAATCTTTATTACACACTGATTCAGCTGAGGAAGAAACACATAAACACACATTTTGATTATTTCAATTGAAAGTGTAATAGTCTGTGACGTGCTGCATTCTAAGAAAATGTATTAGTCTAGTGAACATAAATGTTGAATCTATCAAATATAATTTAGTAAACATATATTGATTTCTAAGAATAGATATACTGTGAAAAATGCACACACATAAATATTCATGATCTGAATGATAATAATAGATATGAAGTATTATTTTAAACTAGACAACACTTTATGTTTCTATCTCTGTCAGTGACTCAGTGACAGTTAAAACAAATACATTCTCAAAGTGGTTCTGTCACTGTGTTTAAACCTTTCTGTGCAAGACTGTATGGTATAGTTAACGCCACACGAACTGTAAAGTGTTTAATATTGGTAGTTCATTTTGAAAGAAACAAATATTGTGAAATGTTTGTTAAGAGTTTTACATTTTACAGTGGAGGAAACAGCTGTGCTGATGAAGTGAAAGCCGAGAAAACCCGACTGCTTCTACATGACATTGAGACACAGGTGATACAAGGGTACAAAGAACTGCAAATAAGCAGATATTATAACAATTTATCGATAAACACACACCTCGTTCTCTTGATGTTGACGGCTGTGGTTTGCTAATCAAATGAAAAACAAAAGACGGGGAGGAGCTGAATTCTGCCGCCGTTTTCTTGCCAGAATTAAAGGGGACTGAGGCGATAATATAGTGTACTGTTTATGAGCTAATCGCAAAAGTTTTAAGGGGGCTGAGTAGAAATTTGGGGGGGCTGAGATATAGAAATATACAGCCCCCCCTAAAATAGGCCTAGCAACGGCCATGGTACCTGGATGGGAGACCAAATGGGAAAACTAAATTGCTGTTGGGAGTGGTGTTAGTGAAGCCAGCAGGGGGTGCTCAACCTGCAGTCCTAATGCCCGAGTAAAGTGAAGGGGACCTTATACTGTCAATATCATCGCTTTTAGGATGAGACACTCTGTGGTTGTTAAAAATCCCGTGGCATTTCTCGTAAAGAGTAGCGGTAGAACCCTGGTGTCCTGGCCAAATTCCCTCCATCAGCCCTTACCCATCATGGCCTCCCAATCATCTCCATCCGCTGAATTGGCTCTATCACTCTATAGCATGTGTGTGGTGAGCATAAGGGTGCTGTTGTCCTGTGGCTGGCATTCCTGTTGGTGGTGTGGATAGACCCCCCCCCCCAATTCTGAAGCACTTTGGGTGTATGGCCATACACAAAAATGCACTATATAAATACCGACATTACTCTACATTACATTACATTACCGGTCAAACGTTTGGGGTCAGTATGATTTTAAAATGTTTTAAAATAAACTTCTGCTCACCAAGGCTGCTTTTATTTCATTAACAATACAGAACAAATTATAAAATCGTGAAATGGTATTGCACTATAAATAACTGTTCACAAGTAGCTTATAATTTAATAATTTATTCCAGTGATTTTAATGATAAATTTTCAGCTTTACTCTAGTCTTCAGTGTCACATTATCCTTCAGAAATCACTCTATTAATAATATTATTGTTTTATAATTACAAGTATTATTATTGATGGTGATAGTAATGAAAGCAATAATGACTGGGGTAATAATTTCTTTTGAAGCTACATAAAATAAGTAAAAAATATATTTAATAAATAAATATTTAACTTTTTTTTTTTTTTTTACATTTAATAAACGTTGCCTTGATTAACAGAATAATTTTCTTTAAACAAAAACAGTTTGGGTGAACTATCCCTTTAACTAATGATTTGCGAAACCCTACCTTATTACAATGTTGAAGTAGTGCAGAACTTACGGTCATAGTAGCCTTTGACTGTGCAGACCAGACTGAAGAGCTGAATGACCCAGCAGAAGTTCTTCTGCATCTCCATCACAAACACACAGGCCAAGATCTAACACAAACACAGAACAGTTTAAACAAAGCTCTTCTCACAGCAGTTGTTGACACATGTTTTAGGGCTTCAGATCATTGAGCTCCATGAAGTGCTCGACTCACAGACAAGATGTTTTTGGAGATGATCACAGCCACATTGTAGATGATGAGACAGTCCCACATGACCAGCCGTGTGCGCGAGGGCTTGGTCAGCAGCTTTGTGCCAAACAGCAGGAAAAAGAAGCAGGCCATCAGATAACCCAAGCCGAAAACACTGATCCGAGTCGCTCCGGTCACAAAAACTACCGACAGCACAAACCAGAACATGTAACGGAACACCAGGATCTTCGCCATGTCCAGATATGATCTACAATAAACACAAAGAGCAAGACACAGATGTTAGTCTATAATAGAAGAGATTTATGATGTTTCTGGTATCATTTAACTCCATATTTCTTGAAAAAAACATTGCCTATTTCTGAATGGGCCTCACACAGGTGAGTGGGTTTGACAAACCACCTACAAAAACAATCTTCTCTCTATATGCACCAGACACTTTAATTGAACTCCATTTTAAAAGGACTCAATAAGGAAAACAGAAACACTTTAAAATAATTACATAATTTAATATTAGTCAATGTATTTATTAACACAAACAAACTATTAGTAGTACATTTATTAGGGTATTTTTTCAGGTTTTTTAACGTTAGTTAATGTTACTTAAATTAAAACATTAGTTCATGTTAACTCATTGCATTAATTAATGTTAACAAGCGCAACTTTGGATTTTAATAATGTATTAGGTAATGGTGAATTATGATTAATACATGCTATACAAGATTATTCATACTTAGTTAATGTTATTAATACATTAACTAGCATTAACTAAAGTACCATTATTCTCCAGGAAAACAGTGTTTACTTCTGAATGTACCACACGTTCATGTTACAATAGTTTTTGTCTTCAACTTTAAAATATCTCTTTTGCAAAATATATTGCAGAATATTGTTTCTATCTCATTTAAAAGTACCTATAGTCTGTCTTAGGTTATGTGTATAGTTTAAATATTTACAGTATGTGTATAGTCAGTTGTCAGTATAGTTATTGTATGTTAGTTTTAAAACTGACATAGGTTTAAAATAGCTCTTACATCCAGTGTTGTGTTCATATTTATGATTATGTATATTTATGTTCAGTTTAAGTCTTTAGAATTATCAGTCCTCCAGAAATATTAACCACAAACCCCAACTAGGCAAGTTAGGGTTATTGGGCAAGTCATTGTATAGCAGTGGCTTGTTTAGTAGACAACTGAAAAAAAATATTGCTAAAAGGGGGTAACAATATTGACCTTAAAATGGTAAAACTATTTTTTTTAAACTGCTTTTATTGTAGCCAAAGTAAAACAAACAAGACTTTCTCCAGAAGAAAAAAAAAATGTTTTAGGAAATACTGTTAAACATCCCTTGCGTTAAACATAATTTGAGAAATATGTGAAAAAGCAAAAATAAATGAAAAAAAAAAAAAAAAATCACAGGAGGGCTAATAATATTGACTTCAACTGTACACACAAAATATTATTTCACTGTATATTCACAGGTGTAGCAGAATGGCAATAAGCTCAATGATCTATGGTGCCATGAAGAGTCTTTACATCCAAAGAACCTTTTCAAAGTGTGAAAACGTCTTTTAGATCAATAAAATGACCTTCATACTAAGGTTATTCCAAGAACAATTTACTAAAAGGTATTTGGAGAACCAAAAATGGTTCTTGTGTACTGTTCAAATTGACTACACTTTCGTTATGTTCGGGGCTGCTTTTGCCCAATTAACTTTGTTGACCTTCATAATTATCGCAAAGCTACTGTATGACAGCATAAAATCATGCATTCTTGATTGTTGGTGGTTTTTAACAGTTGGGAAGAGGTAAAATGTGTTTTTTTTTTACTGTTGATCGTCAGTTGGCAGCATTAACCCTTTAAGGGTCAAATCACATGATTTTTATTGTCGGTTACGAAAGTTACTATTTCAGATTATGTAATTTTGTCTTGATAAAATCTTGACTTGTCATGTGTAAAAATGTTCCAGACTACATGTTGCTTCATGATCAGTGATCCTGCGACGTCTACAACAAGCATTATTTCCCAAAGCAGTCACAAGGGTTGGTATAACAATATTTCCTATCTCAATCAAACTTATGTTTCCTTTTTAGTATTAAGATATATTTTGGAAATCTAAATGAATATTTATGAATATAAATGAATATAAATGAATATTTTCCTTCCCAGGGTTGCTTATTAAATACCTCGCCTGAACTTGCTGTGAGTGAGATGGAGAAAATGAAAGCACAACAGCACCAAGAAAAAAAACAGATGCTCAAACAAAAAAAATCTTTAAAAATATGACATTAAAAATTAGCAAATATATGACAGAGGTTTGTGATACAGCAATTCCAGTGGAGCTTTAATTAAATCCTTATTTCACACACAGCGAAACAAGTCATCACCACAGTTAAGTAGGGGACAGGCACAAACAAAAACATAATTTGTATATTTTCCTTGAAAAAAAAAATCTTTTTGAAATGAATTTGGTTTGGTATAATTTGTATCAAATTTTTTTTTTATTGGTCAGTTATCTACTAGATAAACAAGAATAACAAATAATATTTGAGGTGCTTCAAAACAAGTCTGCTATCTGCTTCAGCGCCAAAACACAAACTGGTTTGTTAAATAAATTAATAATCTAGCCTAAATAAAATTAATATTCATTTATTCATTCATTCATTTTCTTTTCAGCTTAGTCCCTTTATTAATCTGGGGTCGCCACTGCAGAATGAACCCCCAACTTATCCAGCACGTTTTTACGCAGCGGATGCCCTTTCAGCCGCAACCCATCTCTGGGAAACATACACACACACTCATTCACACTCATACACAACAAAAAATGTAGCCTACCCAATTCACCTGTACCACATGTCTTTGGACTGTGGGGGAAACTGGAACACCCAAAGTAAAGCCACACAAACGCAGGGAGAACATGCAAACTCCATCAGAAACGCCAACTGACCCAGCCGAGGCTCGAACTAGCAACTTTCTTCCTGTGGGGTAACAGCACTACCTACTGCGCCACTGTGTCACCCCAAAATTTATATTTAATTAAATTAAATTATGTTTTCACTCTTAATGACAAAATCATCAATTCCACCGGTCAGTTTCAATTTAATTAGTTTAATCAAGTACTTTGAATAAGCAGGAAAGGCTTTTACAATGTATTTGCAGCACTGAACATGTTCCAAATTACCTTGGAAGAACAAACTCTGTTGGAGGAATGAGAGAACTCGTGAGAATGGAGATGTCAGCATATTTGTGCCAGTCTGTCAGATAAATTTGATCTAATATTTTTAATAATTTAGAAAAAAGCTGTTAAAGTTTGCAACCAATGATTGATCTTATCCACTTGTGACCCACCCATAAGTATATATGCAGTACCCACAGAAATAACAGAGAAATTTTGTGCTCCTATTGCCAAGTGATGGACCTCGTTGTGAAAAACAGAGGAAAATGAAACATGCAAAATTTTCTGCGATATTGTGTCGTTAATGCCTAGTTCAGACTGCGTGATTTTAGCCCCGATTTTGGCTCGCTGACAGGTTATGAGAAATCTGCGACAAATGCCTGAAATGACAGGCAAATTGGTGCTCGTGCACGTGAGTGACAATCACACAGTATGAACGATCAATGACGCGATCTGAGAGAATCGCAGATGAGTCGCCGATGCCTGCAAGATATTTGGCAGGCTAAATATCTGGAGCTGTCGGCGATTCAAATCACGCCGTGTGTATTGAGTTTTGACTAAAAATAACATCAACGATCGCCTACAGCCAATGAGAGAGCGGCATTCACTTGGTGTGGGTGTGTGTGTGTATACCTGCGGCAGGCCAGCGGGAGGCTGGGGGAGAAGTTAAAAGTTAAAAGCTCTTTTTCGGTTTATTTGGACCCACGAAATGGAGGAAAAACTAGTGGAGGTTTGACAGAACTCGGGAGCAACTGTGTCTGTTTGACGTTTTATACAGAAAGAAAACAGGAGAAAAAAGGAGAAATGGCTAATTCCCTTTAAACCCAGGTGAGCAATTATGTACATTTTCTACCCCATTAAAGGCTTCTTTCTCATTATGTAGTTAATAACAAAAGATATACTACGTGTTTTTGGCTGTGAGACGTAGTTTGGACGAAGTTGTCGGCGATTCTTCCTATAGTAAAGTCATGCAATGTGAAAGTCCCTGTCGCCGATCCATCTTGCAGTGTAAACAAAGCAGCGACGAAACGCAAGCCCAAATAGTCAAGCAAAGTAAAAACATCTGTGACACGACTACTTTGAAAATCATGCAGTCTAAGCTCGGCATTAGAGTCGCAGACATGGTATCGGTTGTCATGAACTATACCACATTACATGAGGAGAAATGATTGAATCTTGTGTCACCTTATGTAAAGAAAATCATGCCGAAATCATGACAAATTTATGTGATCTGATCGGGGCTTTAGATTTAAAAAGTTTCTGGCTTTTATATGGAGTTCTATAGACATAAATGCACTTACTATATTCTGAGAGCTGAGCTGCTTATTTTGATTTTTTCTTCAGACATTTCAAGAATTTGAGTTTAGAAAGGTTAGGCTGCAGGGGTACGCATGTACACAGCAAATTCCTCTGAGTAAAATTGACTTACTTCACAGAGTATTTGGTCCCTCTTTAAACAAGGGCAAAAAGGTTAGTAATCAGTAAAGCTGCTGTTTGTAGAGTTGCTTAATGATCCTCTGCTGAGATTTTGAAAGAATAAATGTATTATATTGCAGCTGATTTCATCTAAGGCTGTGACTGAAGTGACTTATGTGTTTCTCTTGTGTGTTTCTGTTTATTAACAGCAGGTGTTCAATATCAATGCTTAATCATCACCTAATTATTCCTTTCATTGTCTAATAAACTTGAATAACTTAAACTCAATTTAGAGAGGGACCAAATACTATTTAAACTGAGTAAATTTTACTCAGAGGAATTTACTGTGGGGATAATGAAACTTACATCATGTACAAATACCGTGATGTACGTACCTGCAGTTGATGAAGTTTGGGGCAGGATTGAAAAGCATGTTCTCCATGGGGTCTGGATTGTCTCGGTTTTCTCCTCCCATGACCATCCACTCTTCCTTTTTCTCATTGTCAAACACCGTCCACTGCTGAGAGGCACACATCAGCAAAAGGAAGTCCGCTGCAAAAGATCAGTTTGTAAATTTAGGCAAGGTTTCAGAATTTAAGTGTGATGACAGTCATCATTGCAGATTTACAAAGCATGAATAGCCCTCACTTTAGATTAGGTCACAAAACTGGAGGAAGTTGAGTTATAAAAGCATTTATTAACATGCAAAGAAACTATTAGTATATGCCTGAATAATAAGTTATATAAATGTTAATTTGAATAGTTAATTAATAATTTACTTACGTATTCTGAATGATCTTAAAAAAAAACACCAATTATTTTTAAATAACTGGTTCGTAAATAATGCAATACTTAAATTAGTAATGGAAAATGAATCATTAACAAAGAATGTTTATTCAAGACAATGATTAAGCACATTTTGCATGTGCTTTTGAGTCAAGAATACAGCATTTGTAGATGAAGTTATAAACTGCTCAATAACTTTTATTAATGTAGAAGTAATACTTAACAAATAATGAATGAACTATTGGCTAATGCTTAATAAATGATTCATAGTGTGTAGCTATTATAAAGGGTTACCATTTATTAAACAAGGCTTAAGCATTCAAATACGTTTGAGAGTCACTGCCGGGTGAATAACCAGTGATTAATTACTGTTTTGCTGATTGTGAAGTTGAAGGAGTCACTTACATATAAGGTTCTTAGAGTTGGGGACGGTGTAGAAGTCAGGTAAGTACATCCATTTAACCAGAGCCGAGTGGATAGTTACAGTGGATCTCCATCTCCATGGGTAATCTATAGCCATATGAGATAGGTCAGCTTACCAGGGTCAGGTAACCACTTACCGAGAAAAGATGGACTAATACTAAGCAGCGCAAATATAGGATATAGTTCTTGTAACTAATCTGTAGCATAAGGTGGATATTAAATTGCAACTGTGCTGATTTTCACTGGGTAGGAAAAGTCATGTCAATTCAAACTTAGTTAGTTATTTTAGCTTCACTGAAAGTCAAGATGTTAATGTTTAAATATGTAAAAAAACTTTCTAAATACACTGCTAAAAATGCATTTTTTATTTGCATTTTTGCATAATTTCTAATCCAGATATCTAACCATTCCTACATAAAGAAGCTTTTTATATGGACAAGTAAATTTTATTTTGTTTTCAGAAATAATCTCAAAATTAAGTTTGTTTTTCCATTAAAAAAAGCTAATTAATCTACCAATGGGATACATAAAACAACCGTGTTTTATGTTTGAAATAAGATTATTATAATACGTATAACATTAGCAGATTATTTTGCTTGTTTAAGGAAAAAAAAAACAGTTAATTTTGACTTATTATTTCTAAAAGCAAAACAATATTTTACTTGTCTAGAAAATACTTCTTGATTTAAGTTTTTTTTTTTTTTTACATTTGGACTAGAAAGAAAACTAGAAAAAGGTTTTTGCAGCATGTAAAAATGTTTTACAAATAAAATTTTTTTTACAAATAAATGTACATTAAATGTAATTAAAATGTGTTCTTTAATGCTACAAATAACGTTGTGAAAACAAATGACTTGAATAATGTCAACAACAACAACTAGTGCATTGATTATAGTGTTTGACTTACCTATACAGAGGGCAGGAGGAATCCCCACACACAGAACATACTGGTATATCATGAAGACAACCAGAAACAGGCAGTACTTTGACCAAATCGTGGCTATATTTGCTCTGCGCCGCCGCACCATAATGGCCACCAACCAACAGCCGTGGATAATAACCAGGAAATTCATGCGCTGACCGATAACATTCACGGTCATTAGAAAGCAGATCTAGAGGCAAGACCAAATGATCATTAGCCACAAATGATCATTAGATTTAACATTTGAGAAACCAATGTTGGGAAGTGCTTTTGATTATCAACTTCAAAACATGCTCAAAAAAAAAAAAAAAAGATAATTTGGAAACCTTCCCAGGCAATTTATATTTAAAGCATTGCATCTAGCTGATGGTAACACTATAGATCACATGGGAAATAATGCAGGGTTCCACACAATTCATTCATGTTTTCCCAACACAAACCAATTAAGTTAATGTAACAAACTTAGGTAGATTGAACATTAAGTTGTCCCTCAAAGATCTCAAGCATTGTGTTGTTTCCGCTTATTTGAAATAAGTAGTTTGAACAAGAAGAAGAAAAAAAATTTTGAGTGTAGGGAACATGCTTATTATTTATTTACTGGTTGCTTATTGATATGCATCATACTAGAATATCATTTGTTTATTAATATCGTTTGTTTATTAATAGTTGAATTGCACATTTTGATGCATTATTTCACATCTTTAATGTATCATACATTCATTAACCATACCCCATACTTTAACCTAACAGTTACAACTACTTTACTTATTATACAATTTGTCAATTTGATTATCTGGGGCCGTTTGCACCGGCAGTGTGTAAGTTAAAACGTAGCCTGGTTGTGACTTAAAGGGACATTAAGTTATAACTTACACATTTTTGTGTTGCATCACTGAACTTAAATGAAACACTACGTTCTAACTAAATGATTATGGTAGCCCTCCCCCCATGTGTAGCGGTAAAAAAGAGATGACTGCGAGATTAGTTTACATAGAGGCGCTAATGATCATAATGTAGAATGATCTTACTCACAGCCTTATTTTCCTCCCAAATCTAACATTTGTTTTGGTTTGTGAAAGAAGAATTTAATTTTCTATCCAGGAGTGTTGTGTGTTAATTGTATATATATATATAAAATGATACAGCATTGTTTACCCCAGGTAAACAATAAATAATAATTTTATCTTTCTTGTGGCATTCTTGTTATTACCTGTTTGTAGCTGTAGGTGAGTTTGGAAGCAACTAACATTTTAATAATATTTTGGCAAATTGAACAAAATGAACAAGAAAAAAGATTTGTTCATCTCAAATGAGATGTCAGTAAAATGATTTAAACTTCCTGTCACGAGTAAATGACCAATGTTACCTCTTCCCAACCGAGAAAACCACCAACAATCAAGAATGCACGATTAGAATGCACCTTGGTGTCATGGCTTTGCAATCAAAAAAATGTAGTTATAAAGGAAGTCATTGGGGTAAAAAAAGCCACGTATATAAAGAAACAGAAGTCAATTAGAACAATACACAAGTGTTAAGTTGACATTTATGTCTACGTAGAACACATACTTCAAGTCCAAATTTGTAGAAGCTGTAGTTGAGCATGTATTTGATGCAGTGGAGCAGACCCTGGTCCAGCGTATCACGAGTGGCCTGCGGGAAGATGACTGGGATTGGAGGAGGTGATCGTTGCTGCTGTCTGTAGTGATGAATCTGGTGCCGGTACACGGTTGCCTCAAACACCAGCAGCATCAGCACCAGCAGATGATCCTAACAGGACAGAACACACAGCTAGTTTGCAACCTCATAAAAACATACAGCGGGTAAAATAAGTATTGAACATGTCAAGATTTCTCCTGGTAAATATATTTCTAAAGGAGCTGTTGACATGAAATTGACCCAGATTTTGATAAAAAAAATAATAATAAAAAAATAAAAAAATACAAAAATAAATTCTGAAAAAAAAGTTATGTGTAATAATGGAATGACACAAAGTAAAAGTACTGAACTACTGAAGTGTATTAAACACTTTGTATAAAATACTTTTTTTTGGTAATGATAGCTTTAAGTTACCTGTGGCAAATAGAGTCTCATGTATTGTTCAGTTTAAGTTTTGTTTTCCCAGACTTCAATAGTTTGTAAAAAATTTTGATGTTCTGTTGGTTTTTATCTCTCAACTCTGATCTTTAGTTCTTATTTTCTATTAGAGTCAGGTCAGGTGATTGGCTGGGCCATAGTAACAGCTTTATTTTCTTTCTCTGAAACCAGTTGAGAGTCTGCTTGGCTGTGATTGAGATCATTGTGTTCCTGAAACTCTTGTTTATTTTCATGTCTCATTATGCTGTCTGTATATAAGTCTGCTGATGTCTTGAACGTAGTGGTTTGTTTTCTTTCGGAAACATACACAATAGATTAAAATAACTTCTTATTGAGTTGCCTCCATCATTTTACATTCATAGACATAACTAAAATTAAGTTAACTTAATTTAAACTAAATTTTTGTGTGTGTGCTTTTGATGGCTGATGTAAAAGAGAACTTACAGATTAATTTAGCTTTAGTGTGTGCTTTATGTCTATGCACTCAGAAAACACACTGTCATCACATCAGACTGTCATCAATTTCAAGAGTTTAAATTGCCAAGCCTTTAAAATGCACATAGGTGTTTTGTTTGTAGTGGGCGGAGTAACTGAAGCTCAAGGTGTAAATGCTCCACCCACTTCTGGTAAAGAGGTGGGGAGCAGCAGCTCATTTGCATTTCAAGAGATACACATTTTGTACTTCCACCCAAAACATTTACAACATGATAATTTAAGTGAGGTGTGAGATATTTTGAGCTGAATCTTTACAGAAACATTCTTGGTACACCTAAGACTTTTAATATATCTTTACCAAAAAAAAGGAGTTAAGAATACACACATTTATAGAGAATATGAAACATTTCAATGTTTCCAGATTTTTTACTTTATTAAATAAAAATAAAGTTAAAATAGGTTAAGCTGTAATGCTTATAAATGCTGTCACAATTCCCTACTATGCATCCTGAATAGTATTCTATAATTTGTATATCAAAATTATACTATGTTTAAATGAGTATTATAACATTACCCATTTATAATTCAAAGTACAGATCTATGTGTAGTGTAATAGCTAATATTGGCCATAATACATGACACTTTCAGCCGAGTTCACACAACACGATTTTAAGGTCAATGTGGGTTTCGCTCTGCAGTCTTTATGTATGAACTACTGAACAACGCATCAAAGAGGCTCACTAACACATCACCGACACATCGGAGAAGAAACTCCAATGTCTAGCATGCTAAATATTCCAGTGCAGTCGGCCAACTCGACCCCACGTGAAGTCAGATTTAGTGACTAGCTGCAGCCAATGAGAGTCAATGGCTGTTGTGTTGATGAGCTCAATAGAAATGTCTGTGATTGTGGCCAAAATGGGCATCGATGCACTCGCTTCACTCTGGGTTTACTAGTTAAGCTACTAGAACACCCACAAAGATCTGAGCCTTGCTTTAATTTTCACTTTTATATAAGGGAGCAATTTCGAGCACAGAATATGCTGTTTTGAAATTCATATTTAAAGAAAATTTATGCTTTTGCTATAAGAAAGTTATGTTTTTGTTAGCAGTACGTTGCTAAAAAAGAAATGTATATTTAAAGTCATAGTGAAAAGTAGAAGACATGCATACAGTCATTTTGACTAATATGGTAACTAAAGGAACATAAGTCTGGGTATTATAGATATGTCAGTATTATTTTAAATAATTATTAAATTACAAAAACTCTGACTGCCTCTGTAGTTCTAGTGTTAAAGCCACATCTATCCACTTGAACCTTGCAGATGAGTGATTGATCCGCTGAAGCATCAGCTGATTGACGATGTTTTTAAATGCTCCCTTGAAAGCTTTCAGTAAAGTTTGAAATGCTGTCAGTGATGTCTTCAGCACACAAGTGTTCAGCTTTTTCTGATGGCTCCTCCCTCAACATTTCATTGGCTGTGGTTTGGTAGCTTGAACTGGGGAACCAGTTGTTATCAGATTATGTAGTATGTGACCACTCTCTTGTGGATCATTTACGTCGTGTGAACACCACAGCGATGTAAAGACACAAAATCAAGTGATGTAGTGTGAACGACACAGCGGTCTGCTGATGTTTAAAGACATGTAGTGTAAATTAGGCTTTAGATGTAAATTTGATTAGAACCACAAATGGGGAAAAAAGGTTAAACTACAAATATGGCAGACATGCGAGACCATTTTTAAGGACTATTAATTCATATTTGATCGACTGGAAAATATTTAAATAACATTTTCCAAATTACAATAGGAACTTTTCAACAATATTAACTTAATAGAGAGGCGTTTGGACATTAATTACTTGATACATAATTCTGCAAACACCTGACGAGATTTCTCTGCATGAAAAATTCACAGACTCCAGATTAACCTGCTGCTGCTTCTTCAGTATGGTAAGACATTAAATATGAAAAAAAATGTGGATGATGTGTCGAGATGTTTGACAGGACATGTAACTAAGCAATATAATGGTCCATTAATAAGAAATTAGTATGTCCTAAATCTTGCAAACTCTTCTCTTAAACACTTAAACGTTTACACCGTTTCTTCACAAAACAAATGACGTATTTCTTGGGACATAGTACAAGTAGGATACAGACTTATATAAAAGTATTTATTTTTGAATTATACATTGGTAAATCTCACCTTGACGTAACCAAGGACTGTGTCGTCTTTCCTAACACCAAACCAGCTGGCAGGGTCCACAGACGCTCTATACAGGGTGGAGTTCAGCACTTCATCTGGTTCTAAACTGGTCTCATTGACCATTGGCTAAATACAGAGATGGACATGAAAAGAGTGAGTAAACCCGCAAGTTGCTATTCTTCTGTCTTTACTGAGAGTGAAATGTTTACCAAAATATTATAGTTCTTTGCTATCATGTTACATCTGTTTAAGACACGTCATGCTTACTGAATGGAAAGAAACAAGCTGGCAAGAAACGAAAGGGTCATTTCAAGTCTGCTAGGCATATTTCAGGCTATGAGGCAAAATCCTGTCAGCAGAACAGGCTAATTACTCTGAAGAGGAAAGCTTGGCTGTTTATATGGCGATAAACATTAAATAGCCAACCTGAGGAATGGCCATAGCGTTTGTAAATCACCTGAGAGAAACAATCCACTTTTTTTCCCCGAACATCCATAAAATGCAAGACTAAACACATTAGCTTCATCCACGCTTGAGGGTATTTGTTTAATTAGTGCTAAGTTTATGAGAGCAACAGGGAGCTGCGGAGAGGTGAGCATCACACAAATTCTGTTGCTGTTATTAATTTTGCTACACGTGTGGGAGGAAGTGAATAATTGGTGCATGAATGTGTTTAAAAAAAAAACTTTTATGAAAAAAATGAGAGTTCTGGTTCATTCAAAAGCTAGAATTGTAGTTTCAAAGAATGTTGCTATTTGGTTACTAGGTTGTTTTGGAGGTTGCTAGGTGTTTTGGGGTGGTTGTTCATTGCAAAAAAAAAATTTCTTATGTTTCTCGTGCAAATATCTAAATATTCTTATATTAACAATTTACTAAACAAGCAAAACATATTGTCTTGTTTAAGAAATAATATGCCAAAATGAAGGGAGTTTTCCTTAAAACAAGCAAAATAATCTGCCAATGGGGTAAGAAAAATCATCTTTTGTCAAAAGGAAAAACAAGCTTATTTTGCTTACCCCATTGGCAGATTATTTAGCTGGTTTTATGGAAAAACTCCCACACTAAAATGCCCACACTTTAAAGGTGACATAGAAATCTAGACATACCTAAGCAAAGCTGAATAATAAGAGTTCAGCACATTAAAATTACACACTGTGAGCCTAAAACACCATTGTTTCATTGTTGAGTGTAAAATCTCAGAGAAAAACAGACCAATCAGAATAAAACACGATGTCATTAATATGCATGCCCCAAACACTGTTTGATTGGCCACAACGTTTCCTAATGAGATTACAACGACAATTTTTGTAAGCATGTAAGTTTAATATATGCATTTATTCACCACCCGTTTAAATGTATCTCTTGTTGGTTTAATGTGCATAATTTGCTGCATATGTTTGTAATGGGGCAACAAATACATGAAGACTGAATAGAAGTGTTTAAGGGGTCGATCACACCTAACACGTTTTTTTGCATTGAGAGGCGCCTTTTTTGAATGATTTACTAACGGCCACGAGCATTTTGCGCCCTGCGCACCTCGCGTGTTAACCGCCTGCTGCACCTCACATTTGAACGGTTGCACGCTGTATGCTCGCTGTTGAAAAAAGTAAACTCTGAGTGAAAAAAGCGGTGCTGTATGAGTTCAGAAATCTTGAATATCACAATGTTATTAAATATTACAATTATACCAATACAAACAGCAACAATTGCGCACAATGATTCAGTCGTTGTCTTGCGACATTTTTTCTTGTCATCCACACACACACACACACTACGGATAATTTAGCCTACCCAATTCATCTATACCGCATGTCTTTGGACTGTGGAGAAAACCAGAGCACCCGGAGGAAATCCACGTGAACGCAAGGAGAACATGCAAACTCCACTCAGAAATGCCAACTGAGCCAATGTTCGAACCAGCAACCCAGCAACCTTCTTACTGTGAGGCGACAGCACTACCTACTGCGCCACTGCGTCACCCCTCTATTGTATTGTAGTTTCTCATTTTTCAAAATTCTAGCATATAAACTTTAAATTATTACCAATAAAATATATAACTTTTTATTCCATAGGGGAAAACTTCTATAATACATATTTACATTTTGTTCAACCTACTTACTTTAACTCTCAGGGCCATTCAACCACACCGTATTGGTCTTTTGTAAATGTATATTTTTTTATGGAGGTGAGTTGTTAGCCCAACGTTCAACCCCCAATCGGGAGGACCAGGGAACACAGACATATGCTATGAACAATTTAGCTAACCCAATTCACCTACAGCACATGTCTTTGGACTGTGGGGGAAACCGAAGCACTTAAAGAAAACCCACACAAACCTGGGAAGAACATGCAAACTCCACACAAAAATGCTAGTTGACCCAGCTGGGGCTCAAACCAGCAACCCTTTTTGCTGTGAGGCAACAGTGCTAACCTCTGAGCCACTGTGTCACCCACATTTTGTTCTAATAAAATATAATCTGTCTTAATCTGAAATAAGACTTTGGTCATATATCGCCCATCCCTACAACAAAAATATTGATGCTTACTCTGGCAAATAAGAAAGTATAAATTATGTGTGTATGTCTGACCGCTGTGCAGTTGTTGGAGTACTCCGCCGGGTTGACCACACTGAGCTGATACAGCATCTTGCAGACAATGATGACACAAACCCAGATGGTGGACAGACAAGAGGCCATGGCTCTGAAGCGGCCATACGGCATCGCGAAACTCCACAGCACCACCAGCACCAGGTTCATTGCAGATGGCTGTGAATGAAGAAAACAAGAGGAGTGGAGTGTGAAACAGTGACATATTATCACCTCATAACTAGAGCAGAAGCAGATGGCTGTTTATCTGGGGTGCAGAAAAACTACAGGAATAACTGCAGCTTATGAATCAGCTTAAATATTATGCTGGTTTGGCTCTGCAAGCATGAGTGGTGTGTGATCAGCGCATCTACACCGCAAGCACATGGAAAGCGTGATGGCCACAGCAGCTTCAAAAAGAATGTTTTTGTGGACCAGTCCTACATAACATAGGGATAAAATAGAGGTTGTTATGGCGGTGTGATGCAAAGCAGAAACTGGTCCCGGATGAATCACTATTCAACAGTTATTATCTCAAAATATTATAACTTGAAATGTTGCCACTGACCAACCAGTATTCCAGACAGCTGTGTAATGTAATGCAATTGAAATTAAAAAAAATAACAGAAGAAACTGATATTATGAGAAACTTTAGTATTCTTCCTTTGCATTTTACTCTAAGTTCTTGCTTGTCTGTACACATAATGAACCTATATTTTTAGTTTTACTAAAATCTGTCTTTTTTATTAATGCATTAGAAAACTCTGTTCCATAGTTTTTCGAATGAAGACCCAAAAACCACATATCATTAATAGCCTGAAGCAAAAAATAAATATACCATTCACTATTTTACATTCAAGTTGCCATGAGTAATTTCCTAATGTATTTCATAATATATATATATATATATATATATATATATATATATATATATATATAAAATAGAAAACATTACTTTAAATCGTGTTAACTAATGCAGTAGAACTTTTATTGTGATTAAAACATAAACAATCACATTTATAACACAATGGAGTTCAATGCTGAATACACTAGTCAAGCAGAAGCTGCCTTTGCCTTGATTCACTCAGCAAATGCAAGTCTTTTGCATTGTCCTCCATGCGTCATATGTACATTTTCAACTAAATCTGATTCATTTACACCATTTAAATTTAAACATTTGATTACAGATAACTTTTTGATTACAATGAACTTTTTTTTCATTTTCAATGCATCTGTGCAAGTTTTGAACGTTTATACAACTTTTCTCATGTCAGATCATTTTTAATTTGATCATCAAAAGTGTGCTATTATTTTTTTAAAGCATGATCATGTCATGTCATGTTATTTTAATCTGCTTATCTGGGCAGCAGTCTTGAGAGAGAACTCCAGACTTCCCTCTCCCAAGACACTTCCTCCAGCTCCTCTGGGGGGATCCAAAGGCATTCCCAGGCCAGCCGAGAGACATAGTCCCTCCAGCATGTCCTGGGTCTTCCCCAAGGCCTCCTCCCAGTGGGACATGCCAGGAACACCTCCCTAGGTAGGTATCCTGGAGCCACCCGAAACAGATGGCTGAGCCACCTTAGCTGACTTTTCTCAATGTGGAGGAGCAGCGGCCCTCCTTACCCTGTCTATAAGGTTGCCAAGACACACTCTGTAGCAAACCAGTCAGTGCAGCAAAAACAGATTTGGATCTAAAATGATCATTTCATCGCTGCTCATGTGTACTCTTGCTCCTGGTGGAAATGCACTCTATTTTTTCATCTTCTGATTGGTCCAGGGCTGTGGAACTGACAGTGATGAGCTGTTCTGCACATGGTTCTTTTTAACTTCACATGGAATCTTAAAAAAATGCAGGAGTCAAAGTGTGCTGATTTAAAAGTCAAGTTAGCGTACTGGTCACACACGTATGTCAAGCAGTTCACATTGAAAAACAATAGAATAGTAGCAAATTAAAGAGAAAAAACATTCTACAGTATGTGAACGGCTCCTAAGAGTATGCAAGGTACAAACCTCCAAAAGTGCCACCCAAACAACAAAAAAGGCAACAATTTTGACGATGTGCAGCTCCAGGACTCTCCAAATGAAACTCTGGACATGGGTCAAGGTGTCAGAGAACTTCCTGGACAACACCATTAGCCTGTCCATCACTAGACCCCACTTGCTGGGTATCACCTCTGAGAACAGAGCAAGAATGCACACTAAAGTTGGGGGTGATCATATAGCATTACTGACTAATATTAAACTTGTTTTGATTGAACAACAATGGCACAGAAGCAGCCTTCATTACTCTCACCGTCAGCCTCTGATGGATAATCATCCTGATCCACGATCAGCTCTTCCTCCTCAGGCCTCACTTCTTCTGTGGATTGAACCAAATCTGGATTATCTATACCTCTCTTCCTGTCAGGAAAAATCACAAAAATACATCCTGATTACATATTTTCAACTTAATATGACAACTACCTATTTTAAATTTGAATTAGATCTTCAGATAAAAAATGTGCACTATATATAAAAATGTGTGTGTGTGTGTGTGTGTGTATGTATATATATATATATATATATATATATATATAATTATTACTATTTATTATTACTATTTATTTTCATATAAGACTTCTCATAAAACTTTTTACTGTTTTTAAAATGTTAGACTAATCAGTCCTGTGGTTCTCGTCCAATCAAATCGTGGATAGAAAAATGTACTGACATCAGAGACAGACTGCACAGGAATGTACAATACCTGACAAAAGTCTTGTTGCATTTCCAAGTTTTAGGAACAACAAATAATAACTTAACTTCTAGTTGATCATTTGATATCAGCAGTGGCTTTTATAAAAGGCAAAGGCCTATAGATTATGCTTATTTTACCAAAATAAACTATGACCATGTCTTGATTTTTAATATATTTAACTAGGACAGCAAGGTCTGACTTTGCTTGGACAAAAGTCTTGTCACTTAACAGAAATAATGTCCAGTATAGAATATAAAATCATGGTGCAGTGGAAAAAAATGAATATTGTGTATGACTCTCATGAGCTTGGACACCTGCATCAATACATCTCTGCAGTGACTCAAATAATTTATTAATAAAGTCATCTAATGGCAAAGAAAGCGTTCTTACAGGACTCCCAGAGATCATCAGGATGCTTTGGATTCATCTTCAATGCCTCCTCCTTCATCTTACCCCAGACATGCTCAATAATGTTGCTGTCTGTTGACTAGGCTGGGCAATCCTGAAGCACTTTGACCTTCTTTGCTTTCAGGAACTTTGATGTGGGGGCTGAAGTATGAGAAGGAGCGCTATCCTGCTGAAGAATTTGTCCTCATCTATGGTTTGTAATGTAATGGGCATCACAAATGTCTAAATACCTCGGGTTGTTGATGTTGCCATTCATTTTGCAGATCTCTCGCACACCCCCTTATGCGGAATGTAACCCCAAACCATGATTTTTTCTTCACCAAGTTTGACTGAATACTGTGAGAATCTTGGGTCCATGAGGGTTTCAATAGGTCTTCTGCAGTATTAGTGATGATTGTGATGCAGTTCAACAGATGATTTATCAGAAAATGCATTTATTTATTTATTTTTTTTTAGTTAAATTGTCAGTTTACTTCTGTTTTAGGTATTATTAGAACATACTAAACCACATCCCTGCAGCTGTCAGTTTTGACAACAAACAGAAATGGCGGAGCAGGTGTCTGTTGGGTTGTAATATCTCCTCTAAAACTCTTTTCCCAATCTTTCAGAATAAAAACGCCTACTTTACTACAACCAATCAGCTCACGGTATAAAAAAACAAGCCACACCAACTGTTTTCTTATTTAATATTTTCTAAGAACTGCAACAAAATATTTTTTAAAAAGGGTTGCAGCTTACGGTTCATGTGAACTTTATGTAATTTTAGAAGGGTATGATTTCCCAGTGAATCTTTTCACCACTACTTGTTTGCCATCATCATCAGACATTTGCTGTTGCATCATTCAAATTGAAACTGCAACATATTATCTTCATATTGTCTTTATAACTTGTTTTTCATAAATTTATACATAATTACAATTTCTGAGTTTTCTTTCTATTAAATATTACATTCTGAGATACTTTGCTATAATATTATTGATCGGTGGCTGACTGTAAAAAATCATTAAAACTCATCTTTAGAATTAAGATGTCTTTTTATAACATACATACTGTTCGACTATAAACACATAAAATAAGTGAGAGTACATATTTTTGACAAGGATAAAGACTTATTTTTCACTTTTGTGAGTACATACCTGAGTTTCCCTGAATAAACAAACTAAGAAAAGCAATTTTAGTTGCTTAGCGCATCATTGTCCAGAGTAAACACAGTACATTGCTATGACAACCTTTGCAGCCCCTCCCCACTGGAAGAAAATACCTTGTTTTAAATGACGCATTTAACGGTGATGAAAACAAAAAAAGACTCAATAAAATTATCATAAAAATAATAATAATTAATATAAATATTCTCCATTGTAAAGATACATGGGTATATTACAGTTCATCCTGAATGATTGTGTGTGAATGTATTGCTCATGCCTGTGGATGGGAGAGACGTTCTCCAGGTCTGTGATCTTCATGAACGGTTTATGGAAGTAGTGCAGCTGCAATATGCAGGCCAACAGGAAGAAGCCCGGGATCACAATACTGGTGAAGAGCTCAGACAGTTTAAACGTCTCCAGTCCCATGTCTGCCAACCTGAAGGGAACAATGTGCTCACAATCAGAATTAACAATAACATAAACTTGATTACTCAAACAGCATTTACAAACTTATAAAGTTACTTAAATGACAAATATAGTAAAAAATTTGATTAATTTGTTATTAGCACAAAATCACATTCTGAGGCTGGGTTTAAACTAGTGTGTTTTCATTTTAAAGCACAGTTTTAGAATGAAAATGCTCTTCGGCAATACTAAGGTTATTACTGCATTTCAGGAAAACTCAGTCCACAATATACAGCATAAAATGCATGATTTGTGACCATTCACACTCACTGGGCGTGTTTATATTTAACCGCCATCCAAATTTACCATCTACTGGTTGTGTAATGGTCATATGGACAGGATTTGATTAATTTAGAAACTATACGCAGCAGTTCAGAAAACCAGTCAGAGTTTAACTGTGAAAAGCAGTGCCTCTATTTTTGCGTCCGTCTAAACGGAAATGTGCCAACCAGCATTTCCAAATAAAAAGAGGGTCTTCAGGGGTACAAAAAAAGAATTGGGATTTGGTCTAAGTAAGAAAAATCCATTTTTGCGTTAAGTGACAAACTGCAAGCTTTGTATGTTTTTGATCAGGTTTATTTCTTCAAATAAACTCTAATTTTGCCACTGTTTTGTTGCGCACTAGCTTATACATATCCTAAAAACTAGCAATACTGACTACTAACAAACTTTATTTCAATTTAATGTGACCTTTTAAACTTTTCCTCCCACTTTTAAAGCTCTACAATACCATACTCAGTGAATACTTTTACATTGTTCAAAAAAGCAGCACAAACATTCTTTTAAATCTCTCCATGTATGATTCGCAAAGAAAAAAAATGTACACTGGTTAGGAATGTCAAAAAGTAAACAGATAAGTAGACAAACAGTCTGCTTTAAAACCCTTTAGGGAACATGTTCACATTTCCTGTAAGAGGTGTAAAAAATGATGAGCGCAACAAGTCCTCTAATGGCATCTAAGCAACCATTAGCTGCTCTTTTAGAGAAACCGTCACCAACAAACCCTTGCAGAAGCTCTGATACCAGTTTATTTATGCAAAAAAATAAATAAAATAAGTGCTGCAGTGTTAATTAGCCTACTATTCTTACTGAAATGTCTATACTAAAACATATAATTGGTTGGTTCTTGTCACATAACGTGATGCTCTTATGGTACTGTGAAAAGTTGAGATGTTTTTTTAGATGTTTTGAAGGCAAAAATAATTAATAAAAAGCAAGTGGAATAATTTTTGGTGACAACTCTTATTTTAACACATTTTTTGGGAAAGTGCTTAGAAATTTTTCAAGTATTCAACAACACACTGAGCAAATTGACAATGCTTTCGTTATGTTCATGTTTTTTTTGCTCCCATTTTTTTTTTTTTGCTCCCAAAACCAGCCACAAACATAATGAAAGGGTAGTCAATTTGAACAATACACAATGCAGTATGTAAATTTGACCTCCAATGGGTAAACTAGGTATTGCATTCCTGTCAAAAATCAAAATAAAACTTTAGCACAGGTTGCCAGATTGAGGACCAATAGGAGCGAGTATGATGATCGAGCCTAAAGGCTGATTTAAATTATCTTCTAAATAAAAGCAACGGCACACGATAGAAGGAATATTCACCATATTAAATTTTTTGTTCAAACCAACACCTCAAATTAATATGTTAAGCTGAACAACAGGAAACTGACAATGTTTATCTCAGATATACCTCATGTGCTATATTCAGTGTTGAATGCTAACAATGTGAGCTTGAATGCCATTTTACATGACATGTATACTGAAAGCAGCAGCGGATCTCAGCCATTTGAAGTTAAACATTAGACTGAAAACCAACATTTAATAATGTTAAAAAGGTTTCATTTGTATTTATTAGATTACAAACCTTACTATTTTGTGAGTGAGTGCATATTCTTTGCTTCTGAATGGCTGTATTTAAATGTCTGTCGTGTTTCGTCTGGTGCAAACCGCCAAATTGTTTATCACTGCAAATCTCATCACTAAGTAATGCAAGTTGTAAGCACACAGGGTTACGATGTAACCTGCTCACCTAATGTTTACGCTTGTAATATTTATATAATTTGCTAATTAATAACCTCATGTGGAACGCTGAATCTGTGTTTCATTTCACAGTCTGCTACTGTCCACCATTCTGAATGAATGAAATACACGTTTTCCAACAAAGCAACCCAGGGTGCTGAAATAAAATTGACTAAAGTGGAATTGGGCAGGTTAAAATGACCAAAACAAAGACAGCTATCCGGCATGTAACGGACATCTTCAAAGCAGAATAACTGAATTCAGCATTGTTTTTCAGATAAACAAGAATGTTCACTTTGCATGTTTCTTAAATATCTGCAAACATAATATTGTATTTTTATGCTGGACAAGAGTCAAAAATTTACATGTAGCACCTTTAATCATCTCAAATATTTGCAAAAACAGGTAGACACATACTGTTGCTCTGTGAAGCCAGTAAAGTTCCCCCAATAGCCTGGAAAGTCCTCAAACTGGAAGGTGTAGATTGCAATGAGCACCACCATGGTGTAGGCCACCACCATCCACCAGAAAGCCTTCAGCAGCCTCCTCCAGAGAGAGTAGTAAACCTAAAACAAACACATTCACTGTCATTTCTGCAGACTACACTCAGTGTGGAGCATTGTGTGTGCTGGTAAAAGTGTACCTGGTAGAGACACATGCAGAGCAGAAACAGCAGCATGTATACGATCTTGTAGGCCACAAGCTTTCCTGCAAAGCTGACCATGATGAACATTCCCCCACACACGTAGATCCAGTATTTAGCATATAGGCTCATCACCAACCCACCAAACACCTTCAGAATCGACTCATTTCGCCCTGTGCTCTCTGAAAGACAAAAACACATTCAAAGTCTCACTCAGAAAACCAAATTAAGAATTTTTTGCATCTAACTGTGCTGCTTTTTTTGTTGTTTCTCTATGTACACATGTTAGATGGCCATTTTTGACCATTGTGCATACATCTTACTTTCTCCAGCATGTCATTCATGATATAGCCTGACAAAACATGATATGCATTACAGTCTTGTTTCACTAAAATGCGAATAAAACTAGACTGATTGTACTGATAAAGAAAATACTGCCCCTTAGCTTTTTCATATTTCTTCAGAGATATAGAACACTTACTTTGATCACATTTATAGTTAAAGGCAAAATTATACATATATATATATATACATATATATATATATATATATATATATATATATATATATATATATATATATATATATATATATATATATATATATATATTATGGTCCACATCAATTAATAGCTACTAATAATTGATAATATTGATAATCCTATAGTAATATAGCATTAATAATACTATGGGTTGTCACAGTGGTGGAGCAAGAAGTTGGCTTGTTCGAGCAACATGGGGTTGGGTCACTGCTCAGGTTTCCCCAACAGTCCTGACATGCCCTGACAGGTGAATTAAATAAGCTAAATTGACTGTAGAGTATGAGTGTGAATGCAAGAGTGTATGGGTGTATGGGTGCCAATGTTGGGTTGCGGCCATCCGCTGCGTAAAAACATATGCTGGGTAAGTTGGTGGTTCATTTTGCTGTGGAGACCGCTGATTAATAAAGGCACTCAGCCGAACACAAAATGAATGAATGAATGAATAATAATACTCTTAAATAATTAATAACCTCTTAAGAAATTATATATATATATATATATATATATATATATATATATATATATATATATATATATATATATATTTTTTTTTTTTTTTTTTTTTTTTAATTGGTTGAGAACAAAACACTGTTGTGCAAGGAACTTGCCTAATTTACCTAACTTAGCTAGTGAACCATAGTTTAGTCATTTATATAAGTGACAATCATTTTTAACAACCAAAAACAATCTATGCACTTTGTACTGAACCAAAAATGAACAACTACATGTTAATGTTAATGTTGAATCTCAGCTGGGTCAGTTGGCATTTCTGTGTGGAGTTTGCATGTTCTCCCTGCGTTTGCGTGGGTTTCCTCTGGATGCTCCGCCTACCCACAGACCAAAGACATGCAGTACAAGTGAATTGGGTAAGCTAAATTATCCAAAGAGTATGTGTCTGAATGAGAATGTATGGGTGTTTCCTAGTGATGGGTTCCAGCTGGAAGGGCATCCACTGAGTAAAAAATTTGCTGGATAAGTTAGCGGTTCATTTGATTAATCGCGACCCCTGATTAATAAAGAATAAGCACAAAAGAAAATTAATGAATGAACACTTTAACAATTAAAAAATTGCCAGTAAAGATTAAATAAATCAGTTATTAGGACAAAGTTATTAAAACTATTATTACGTCATCATCAGACTCTTATTTTGTGTCACAAAAACAGCATTGTTTTCATATATTTCCAATTTATGTTTTTTATGTCTAAAAAAGCCTAATCAGATCAATAGTATCTTGATACAGCCTTCATGATGCAAGCTGTGAGTGCATCACTCAGCGATGCGGTGTCTGACACAATGCACTCAATGGAGTGAGTGACGTCACTGTGAAGGGTAAGGATATTAGTGGGGCTAGGTGAGCCCATTAAAAAGCATTGGATGCAGCTCAGATTGCACTGCACCAAGTCTGCATCCAGACCCCTCTCAATCAGATTGATATCCTAGGGCCCTATCATACACCCAGCACAATGCGGCGCAATTGTTGTCGTTTTGAAGTTTTGTGCCTCGCTGTTTAAATAGGAAATGCATTTGTGCTCATATGTGCGCCCATAGGCGTTCTATTCTAAAAAAGGAGGCGTGTTGAGGTGCATTGCTGGCGCGTTGGTATTTTGAGAAACTATAATAGACTGTTCAATAGACCAGAACAAAGCCGGTCTATTATTTAGCGAAGAGCGCGTTAGTTGCACGCCTCGCTTACACAATGCTTAATACACACAAGATGTACAGCAATACGCAAATATCTTTACATATGAAAAAGAATTAAAATATTAAGGATATATATAGGATATAATAGGGATATATATATATATATATATATATATATATATATATATATATATATATAATATAATATAAATATAAAAGATTAAAATATTACAAAACATTATTTTCTAGCCTACATAAATATAAAAACCATACTCTCATGTCTTCTTCATCTCGCTTTTTCAGATTATTCATGACAATTTGCTTTTGTATAATGTTATTATTATTATTAGCAGTATTATTTATTATATGCAGATTTATATTTATTAAAAACAACTTTAGATTTGCCCACCTGCCAGGTTTTAGACCATATGGGGCACAGCATGTGTATTTGGATAAAGTGGGTTTTTGAACACGCTTCGTTATTATTGTTCATTTATTAGTCTGCTGGAAATTAGAACAGAATTTAGAAATAGTTTTAAAACAAATCTTTGCGCTTAACAAAAATATATATATATATATATTTATAGGCTAATGGATGTCTGTGCGTACAACACATTTCCTTTTCCACGAGAGTGAAAGCAAAAGTAAATAATGAGGAGGCTTATCTCTTATTCTTGCGCTGTAGATGCTCTTAACTGTTTTCTCACTAGTGAAGCACTCAGTTTTTCCACTTACAAAGTCCATCATTTAAATAGCAAATCCGCTATGGCGCGACGCAACTGACTCTTAAAGGGAATGGGAGATGAGATTCTTATTGGCTTATTCTCAAAACACACCCATAACTCATTAAGAAAATAAGCTCAACCCTTTTAGACCATGCGCCATGGTGCAAAGTGGATTTTTTCATCTTTAAAAAAGCAAAACTGGTTTCCCACATGCCCTTATTGCGTTTGCACCCTGCGCTTTGCACTTTGTGCATGGACCGTCAAAATAGAGCCCCCAGTGTTCTCGCTCACCTCCAGTTGTGACCTCCTGCAATGGCACAGTCAAACTCTTCTTCCTGCTGAATGTGTCCTTCACTGACTGCCTCAGCAGAAGCCAGAAAGTCAATGTGAACAGCAGCTGAAAACAAAGCGAGAATGAAGCAATGTTTACACTTTACTCACAGCGCATTGAGCAACATCATCATGACTGAATTATGACCAATCATGTGGGCTTATTGTGTAAAAGTGTAGCAAGTGACTACAAGCCTTTTCTATTTAGATTTCTCAGACTGTTAACTGCAGTCATCTTTATCCCAATGCTTAGGAATGAGTTTCTCTAAGAGTTTGCTTTAAGTGTGTTACTCAATCCTGATCCTGGAGGCATACCAGCGATGCACATTTTCGATGTTTCCTTTTGCTGGATCATCCATTTTAGGTTTTAAAGTCTGCGCTAACAAGTTGATAAGGTAAAACAGGTGGGTTTGACCTGAAAGATTTTGAAAATGAATGAATGAATGAATAAATAAAAATAAATATACATACATATACTACACACACACACACACACACACACACACACACACACACACACACACACACACACATTCATGTTCGTTCTGAATTTTTCAAGCTGCTTGACCAGAGACTCGACAGTGAGCTGCGAAGATGTAGGTTTGTTATCTGCTATTTTGCTGCTCTTTTGACGGGAATGACCACGTTGAACTTGAATCTGCTGTTTGTCACCTGTGCTCATGGATTTGCTTATTTTAAGTGGATAATTCGAAGATGTGTACTTTGAATAAAAAAAGAACAGTATATCGAATTGGATATACTGGTAAATTAGGGTGTATTGTGAAGAAATTACATGCAATAACGCATGGCTTAAACAACGTGCATCTTCACCGCCACATTACCAAAATGTAAGTCCACACACACACACACACACACACACACACACACACACACACACACACACATATACATTTGAAGTCCAAATTATAAGCCCACCTGAATTATTAGCCCCCCTGTTAAATTTTTCCCCAATTTGTGTTGACAGTACTAGTGGAGTGGAGAATAGGTGGGGCAAAACACTGCCTAACATAGAAATTAATATCACAAATTTATTATTAAAAACATACAAATGATCTGTACCAAAGGAAAAAAAAAACTATACTTATCACAAAAAACTCATACATACCCACAGCGATGTATTTTTAGAACAGCTTTGTTATGACACAAATGTATAATTTATCTTTACTGCATTTATTTTGAACCCAGAAAGTTGTTGAACACTTTTTATTTGCATATATCCTAGAATAACGGTTACTGAAAAAACTAAAATAAAGAAAATAACAATAATTTTTAAAAAATCCTCACCAGGGCACCCAAGCGCAAACATGGGTACTGTGCACGGTCCAGGCCCAGCTGATGCAGGCTCATGGAGCCGATGTGCTGGGGCAGTTCTGTCTCCAGGTCCATGGCCCACACGTACTGCAAGCAGCACAGAGCTAAACCGTACAGCAGGATGAAGGGAGAGCAATAAGCAGCAAAGCGTTGACGTGTCCTCAGCATCCAGATCACACAAGACCACAGCAGCAGCACAAATGTCAGCCAGCTGTGATACGTTATACTCCACACCTGTAGGGGGCAGCAAGAGTGCAAACACATTGTTATCACATGTGCATTCTTAAAGGACGTGTTAACACAGTGTGCGTCTCAATTAGCTCTCAGGGTCGTGAATCAGTACACTGATAAAAACAGAGATGAGCTTGGTTAACTAGACATTGGGACACTGACACAGAGTTCTATTTGGAAGGGCTCATCCCTATGCCCCAATCTCTTTGGAGGGTCCCTGAACTGAGTGCACTTCATTCCAAAGAGCCCTGGTTTGAAACAACACTTTAATATGGCGCTCGGGATTGTTTTCATTTTGAAGTGACCTTCGAAAGGCAATATATGACGTTTGGAAGGCACCATGAGTGTAACATGAAAACGTCCTTGTGCAACATCTTTAGAGTTTCTATGGTTTTGTTCTTGATTGTAATATACACTCACCGGCAACTTTTTTATTACACCTTACAAGTACTGGGTTGAACCCCCTTTTGACTTCAGAACTGCCTTGATTCTTTGTAGCATAGATTCAACAAGGTACTATTCCTTAAAGATTTTGGTCCATATTGACATGACAGCATCACGCAGTTGCAACAGATTTGTCGGCTGCACATCCAAGATGCGAATCTCCTATTCCACCACATCCCAAAGGTGTTCTATAGGATTGAGATCTGGTGACTGTGGAGGCCATTTGAGTTTGGTGAACTCATTGTCATGTTTAAGAAAGCAGTGTGAGATGATTCACGCTTTATGACACGGCACAATATCCTGCTGGAAGTAGCCATCAGAAGATGTGGTCATAAGGGTATGGACATGTTCAGCAACAATACTCAGATAGGCTGTGGCGGTGACATGTTGCTTAATTGGTACTAATGGTACTCAAAGTGTGCCAAGGAAAGATCCCCCCACCATAACACCACTAGCCTGAACCGTTGATACAAGGCAGGATGGATCCATGCTTTCATGTTGTTCATGTTGCAGTAGAAATGGAGACTCATCAGCCCAGGCAACATTTTTCCAATCTTCTACTGTTCAATTTTGGTGAGCCTGTGCAAATTGTAGCCTCAGTTTTCTGTTCTTAGCTTACATGAGTGGCACCCTGTGTGGTCTTCTGCTGCTGTAGCCCTGTATCTGCCTCAAGGTTGGACGTGTTGTGTGTTCAGAGATGCTCTTCTGTGTAACTTGGTTGTAACGAGTGGTTATTTGAGTAACTAGCTGCGTTTCCACTATTGCACCCTAAAGCGGGCGAGCCAGGGCGAGCCAAGGCCAGTCAGTCCCGGGGCCTGATCGGGCCAAAGCGGGGCTTTCTCGGGGCCAATAGCCAGCCTTTTTCGGGCCAAATACCTTGTGCCAAAGAGGGCCAGCTGGGGCTTCAAGCGGGGTGAAAGGACAGGCGAAGTTTGCCCGAGTCTATTAAAGATGGCATGCCGCGGTCAGTACACTAGTTTTCCAATTGCACACGAGTGTAAGCGGCATACAAATAGTGCAAACAAATCTCGCCTCCGTTAGTGGCGAGACCTAACAGTCGATGCACAATGCCATCATTCGGTCGTTAAGTAAACAAATATAATGAATGAGGACACACAGACCTGTGCGTGTAGACATATAATGTAATGCTGTACAATATCATGTCATTTGTTTGTTTCGGTTGTCTTCGTTTTAATGGTTTCATGATGATGCGATGGTGTGCTTTATCTGCCTGATTCCTGCTGAAGTGGGCAGGTTGTGTGACGTTTTGATTCGGGGGACGTTCTTGGGGCGGGGTTTGCATGACGCGCTGCGAGCTACTAGCCCGACAGTGGATGATTTTGGCCTCACTGCTTAACCTCCCAGGAGATTGGCCTGGCCCAGCCCAGCCTGATAAAGCCCTGGATCACAATGGCCTGACAGTGGAAATGTGGCTACTGTTGCCCTTCTATCAGCTGGAACCAGTCTGGCCATTATCCTCTGACCTCTGTCATCAACAATGCATTTGCACCCATAGAACTGCCGCTCACTTAATATTTCCTCTTTTTTAGACCATTCTCTGTAAACTCTAGAAATGGTTGTCTGTAAAAAAAAAAAAAAAAACAGTAGATCAGCAGTTTCTGAAATACTCAGACCAGCCCGTCCATCATCAACAAAGATGCCACGTTCAAAGTCACTTAAATACCCTTTCTTCCCTATTCTGATGCTCAGTTTAAACTGCAGCATATCACCTTGATTATGTTTACATGCCTAAATGCATTGAGTTGGTGCCATGTGATTAACTGATTAGAAATTTGCGTTAACAAGCAGCTGGACAGGTGTATCTAATAAAGTGACTGTTATATCTATAGCAGTACTGTCATCTTAATAATGATTTCTAGTAACAAAGTTATATTCAGGATGAGGAAGCTTTGAATTTAACATTAAAATTTCAAAGAGCAATTAAAAAGAGAAAACTTATAAAAAAAAAAGAGAGCATTGCATTTTTTGTTTGTTTTTAACCTTTTATCAAATCATTTGTTTTATATAATCAATTATATTGGATTTGCTACTTCGAGATGCCATATTTATTTTTTAGCTCAACTGGGGCTTTGCAGCTCAGGGTCTATTAAGAGCCAGTTTACATAGACATGAGTTTTTTTAGAACTGACTCGGCTTGGCTGTTGATACAAATACAGCGCATTTGTGCTGCATGATGGTAATCCGCCACTGTTCAAGCATTTGCATTGACTTTGAGTGCAACTTACTTCTACGAACGGTTAATTTTACATTTGGTGTGAACCCAGTATAAGACGTTTATTGCCACCTGCTAACTCAACATGACCTTGACAGTTCAGCAGAGTGTGTTTTTATGTTCTCATTTGATTTTTTTTTTAAATGAAGGTGGGAAAAACCCCATTCATCAAAATATGCTACAGGGAAGACATGTTTCAGTAGACCAATACCTGGAAAGAAATGAAAAACCATGTATGATTCATAAACAATTATCAAGAAGCCCATGGAAAATTCTGTAGGGTAGATTATTTTATTAAATGCTAGGTTGTTCTACAAAGAAAGGTCATCCCTGCTGGACTCCATTGAACTTTAAAATGTATTTTTGATTGAAGAATTATTTTTCAAAATGTCAACGTCAATACAAATCAGCAGCACATCTGTTTTTTTTTTAAAAAAAGAATATTTGATTTACCATCATGGCAATGAGAGCACATATGTAACTCTGTTGCAAGACCATTCGTCCCACCAGACGAAGAGGATTATCAACCGTAGCCTCTCCACTGGGCCCTGCACAAACAAATATCACAAGTTCACTCACATAAATGCTTAGTTGAATGTGAACTTTTAGTAAACATAATATATGTGTAAACAACAATGTACATTGCTCTACCTATGTCATGTTGGCTTGAACCGTTGATCACAGGCTCTTTAGTGATGTGTGATTCAGATAGAGTAGAATCTACTGTAGTGAGAAGAGTTTGCTAAACCAGGGGGAAAAAAGACATTTATGTCACAAAAGGTCTGCATCTGACATTCATTCATTTATTCCTTTCATCAATCAAAACATTCATTCAGCATTATTGTGTCTTTAATTAAAAAAGCCCAAATTATAATTTGGTTTTATGCAGATAATATACTGTATGTACTTTTTGCTTGCACATAAAAGATAGTTTCATTTTTTTTAATGCTGCTTTGTCATTGCACTAATTAGAACTGAAGAGACAAAAGCAACAACATACTACTGAATTTTGCAAAAACCTTTACACAAAGGAATTAAAAGATATTTACAACTGTTGTAACATTAGCCCCTTTCACACATACACACCTTTCTAGAAAATTACCGGCAATTTACCAGAAAGGTGTGTATGTGTGAACAGGCCCTTTTTGAAAATACCGGTAAAGTCGTTCCGGACATTTTCCATATATTTACCGGTATCACTGTGTGAAAAGGGGCTTTTAACTGTGTTTGATTGTGCATACAAATACTAAGTATACTTTGGGCTTTAGAGGTGGTTACAGGCAAGACACCAAACAAAGCAAAAAAAAAAAAAAAAAAATTATATATATATATATATATATATATATATATATATATATATATATTAGCGCTGTCAAAATGAACGCTTTAACGCATGCGATTAATTTTAAATAATTAACGCGTTAAAAAAAATTCATGCAATTAAGGCAGTTCAGGTTTTTTTTACTTCCTGTTGTGGTGGACGTGTGTTCAACATGCAATAAATGTGGATAAGACCAAGGAAGCACTTTTTGAAGGCAAGTTTCAGTATAAAACAATTAGTTGCATCACAGGTTATCCAGTTTCATGCAATTTCGGGTGTTTCATTTTTAACTTTCGACATCTGTTGTAAGTTGATACCGCATGGCGAACAGAAAGAAAATCCTCTTAAGGTTCCTTTTAAGGTTACACGGTAGAATTTTAATAAGAGTATTAACTTAATCATATTAAAATCGGAGTATTTGTGTCTTATGTAAATGTACTCAGAACGTCTGGTGAAGTCGCGAGCTGTCAAAGACAGGGCATTACTCTGCCATTCAGCATGAGCCCTCCAAGTTTAGCGTGTTTCCTCATTAAATGCAACGAAAGCGTATGCTTCATGTTGTTGTGTCAGAATCCTTGTGAAATACAGTAATACTTTAGGACGCTTACTTTAAGCAAATTTGATGAACGTGATCATGCGTGTTGAATCTGGGAGTCGCTCCAGTATGGAAGGCCGTTGGGGCCAAAACGTCTGCAGCGCGTTGTGTGTGTGTGTGTGTCAGGGGTGGAGTGAGCGACGTATCTGAGTAGGGGCGAGAGGGGTGTGCAATGTATTTAACGACCGGTTTGCAAGAATTTATCATTCATTTGCGGGCATTTGGGAGTCTCTGTGCACTTGCAGGATACTCCTAGTCTTAGCAACTGGATGAATGTAAAGGAGGATTAAGCAAAATTGTTTCTACTCTATAACTAATGTTCTCAACTCACAGCAATAAAACTTTACAATGAGTGCAACAGTTTGTATTCTATAGTTTATTATTATATTTTTTCATTTTCCATATCTGCAATCCATATCCATATCTGGAAATCAATGTTTTCTTTATTGGCATTGATTGTTTTGAAATTTAAATGCCATTAACATGCCTGTGTTTTAATTTCTGTAATAAATATGACTGTCAAGCCAGGATCTTGATGGTTTATTGTGGGTATTTTGTTTACATGAAGAAATCTGTGTTACAAGTTCAACAAAAAATATATTAAACAATTATATTTTAAATTTAAATTTTTTTTTGTCTTGCGTTTACATTAATTTTACATTTAAATAGCCAAAATTACAAGTTTCAGTATTTTAAATTTGATTAATCGCGATTAATTAGTTAATTTTTTTAATCGATTGACAGCATATATATATATATATATATATATATATATATATATATATATATATATATATATATATGTATATATAAACAAAAATAATACAAATATATAATAATAATAATAATAATATAATAAACAAAACAAAACACCAGACAAAACAAAACAAAAAACGAAACTAAAAACTAATAAAAACAAAGTAATAAACAAAACAAAAAACAACATAAGCAAAATAAACACAAACATGCAATGGTGATACTTTTTCTGATGCCAGGTTTTAAAATACTGATACAAATGTGTGCATTTGGTGCTGTATGCCAGAGGCAGGGAATGTTTACCAGTGGCGTCCCCTATTTTGCATTTACAGATTTTATCTTTCAGGCAGTGTGAAATAGCTGTTTGAAGCTTGAGTCCTTGAATGAACGGTTACAGAAGGAGAAAAGCTTTTGCTCTATTTTTTAAAATATTGAATAGACTTTTCATAAGAGATCCTAATAAAATTATTTAATATATCATAATAGAGGCATCAGCATGCACATAAAGCAACTAAAATGTAATACTTTTTAATTACAGCATGTGGATACAGCAATGACAACATAGAGACTAATAAAACCTCCTTAAATATTTCATCAGACATGCATATGTGCTTCTGTACCCCCTCAAAACCCAAAAGACATTTTTTTCTCTAAGGTTCCATAATATATAAATGTAAAATGTCAAGTTTTATTCTTTACCTTAGTGTCATCTTCACTGCTTTGTCTCCTTGCCTCCCACAATCTGAGCTCTACTTCTTCTCCAGCTTCACCCTGCACTGTTTTCACAGCTTCACCCTCACGGGCCTAGACAAACATAAAGACATTACGCATCAGTGTATATACTGTGTGAATCAGACACTAGCCCAAACTAATTTATTATACACAAACAATGTGATTGACTGGCTTACGATTGTACAAATGTTGGATTTTTGACCTTACAAAGGGCTCTCAAAGGAATAGGTAAGCTAAATAAATGTATTAAAATTCAATGTATTGCTTGAGAATAAAATGCACAGTTGATATGCATAATTTTAATGCTTATTTTATTGTCCTTTTCTAACACAAGAATTACCAGAATTCTACAGCAGAATAATTTTAGGAAATCTCTGTAGACTGATGGCATTTCATGTGGTTCAGCCTTATAATCTTGCAAAAAAAGTTAGTAAAATTACCTGTTTTGCAATCACTTTAGACATTACACTAGAGAATAATTCAAATGCAAGCTCTAAAGTGACATTTGTGAATTAGCAACGGTTTCTGCTGTTCTGACGTCAGCTGCAGATGTGAATGAATGGCCGAAGAAAGCAGTTCCTCGTACAAAAGAGCTTTTGAGGCTCTGCTTGTTTGATCTTTTTATATACACAATTATGCCATCGAACAAATTATTAAACAAAACAAACAACTAATCAAAAAAACATATCAAAACACAAAACAAAACAAAAACAATAAACAAAACAAAACAATAAACTGTTTGCTTGTAAAATGCTCAGTTTTTCCACTTCCACTTACTTTACGTCCTGTAAATAGCAAATGCGCTTATGGCGCGACGCAGCTGGCTTTTAAAGGGAATGGGAGATGAGACAGATTGGTTTATTCTCAAAACATACCTATAACTCATTAAGAAAATAATTTAAACCCTTTTAGACCATGCGCCACGGCGCAAAGCGGATATTCCCGTCCTTAAATTAGCAAATATAGATTCTGACACGCTCTGAAAGCGTTTGCGCCCTGCGCTTTCCGTTTTGCACATGGACAGTCAAAATAGAGCCCTTAGTGTTTGATCAACTTAAAGTATGACACAATTCTAACTTACTGGCTTAACTATCCTTTTAACAGAATACATGAGTGTGTGCGATCACCTTGTCTGCATCTCCTAGACTGTTGCTGTTGATTTTCAGCACAATGGTCACAGAGATGTAGAGGAGCAGAAGAATGCCGGGATTGACGTACACTGGCCAGTCATACTGTGTGTTGAGGGTGACTTCAAAAGTGGTACAATTTCCTGGTGTTACTAAATCCTTCAGGCCAAAGAGTCTGGAGTGAAACAAAGACAACTTATTACATAAAAACAGGTTTAAGTGTTTTTCTAGATCACAATTAGCCACTAACAACGTAGTCCAACAAATAAAATGACAACTTTACATCAGATCATCATCCAAATCAATAGATAAAAAATTACATTAAAATATAACAACAGATACAAATACGTAAACAACAACAACAAAAAATAAACATTTACCCTAGTCCATAACAATAGAAACCGATACCACAACCAAACATAAACAAATTTACTATTTATATAATTATAATTATAGAAACAATACAATAAACATATCATATGAAATTCATTTAAACCATCAAATGTATCAATTTACTAAATATTATTGCATAAGGTGTTAATTTAATGATTTTTAAACCTTATGTGAGCAATGTGAGTGGTACATGCAACTTCACTTGTAAAACCAACCCATTCTTATAAAAAGATTAACTATTTTATGTCTAGGCAAAATTTGTGGCTAATTCCCTTGAATTTGTTAAGTAATGCACTCTAAACAATCGTCAATGAGGTGTTGGAAGACTAAGGACATGGTAAAGCTTTATTAGATTCAAAATATAGTAAATATAGTAAGAAAGTTATTTTATTGTTGTCACTTTAATAGGTGCTGAAAACCAACTGTTAAAAATGGATTTGTCGATGAGACATTTTATCAAGTGATTCATTCAAAATGTTAATTCATCCATCTTGTTTTGTTGTATATTAAGAATCAGATGAGAATCCTTAGCTCTATTTTCAACAACAACATATATGTATGCAATCATGCAGTGCTACAAATTAGCTACTTAAACATGTTGCTCTGCAATATGCATAGACACACCCAATGTAAATTAACTAGATAAGATGTGTCTGTTCAGTTTATGTTGTATGAAAAAGTATTGTTTAGATATGTTTACAACAGATCTTTTTTTTTATCCAGCAAAAAAAAAAAATCGAATAACAAAGAATTGCAATAACAAAGAAGAGTTGCTTTCATTTGAATATATTTTTAAACTAAATGTATTTATATGATCTCAATGCTGATATGGTGATTTGGTACACAAAAATATCTATACTATATATATATTCTTATTATCCACGTCAAAATCAAATGTTCTGCTTATTTAGATCACTGTTAAAAATGCTGGGTTCCACACAATTCCTTCATGTTGTCCCAGCACAAATTGATTAAGTTAACATAATTGCTTTTACAGGTTTAAGCTTATTGAACATAAAACAATAAAGTTATTATTTACTATTGCTACTAGTTGCAATTAAGTAAAAAAAAAACAAAAAACTTAAGAATTGTGTTGATTCAGCTTACTATAAATACGTAGTTTGAACTGGAGTGATTGTCAAAATTATACAGCCTTACAGCAAAATGCATCTAACTGATGAAACATATAAGACATGTAAAAACTGCCATATAATGATTTGCGGTAGATTATGTGACTACTTATGACTAAATTGATTCATTGGTGATCATAAGACACTCTTTTTATTTGATGTGGTGTGAGCTAGGCTCAAGTTTAGGAATTTGTATATAATTTCACAACATTTCAGCATTCAGAGGTATTTTCATTGTTACAGAGTTGTATTCTCATGTAGATCATAGATCAAATGCTAAAAAATATATAGTTTTTCCTGTCAAAAATCATACTTTCAGGTTGGTACGTCTAGCTTTTAAGTTTATTTTTTGAAACATTGCTCTAGTTGGTGTCATTAGGGATGGAACTCCTTATTTGGCCTGCACTGCACAATATTGACACCATAGAAGTGTGTTTTTTTGTGTAAAAGGAAGTTGATCTTATTTAGCGATAGTTAATTTAGCCCTTTCACACCTACAGTGTGTTATAAATACTTCAGCTGCCCTCATTTATGAGATTTTTATTGTGACCATTATAGAATGCATATTTTATATTTCCATGGTGACACATCTGGTTTATAATAACACACCACAAGCCTCCGGCACTGCAGTGAAGATATAAGAGCTGCTGGATTTATAACATGACAATTCATCCACTTCTCCAAAACTACATAAAAGTGTCGTTTTAACATTACAGTTACATAAACGTGTTTATCTGAGTTGAATAATGCAAATGATCAGATTATGTGACATCAGCAAATATTTTACAAACCATGCATGTTTGGTTATGTTAGTAAATCTGTTTTCAAATGTAAAACAAATGTTGCTGTCGTGGAAATCCACATTTGAATTTAGCATCCGATTACATGAAATAGAACATTATGATATTATAAACCAGGAATCAGCCTAGAGCGATCACAGTGGTTTGATTGAACATTTCAAAGAGTTAAGGTTAAGTTTTTTCCATTATTTTACTGACAGCGATATCACAGGTTTTAGTTGATCACAGACAAGAAGCTGTATCACACTTATGTATAGACAAAGACTATAGAATACACAAGACATGTGTCCCATATAGTTTTGAATTGGGAAAAGTGTAACGGTCAATATGGTGAATGAAGCCCTGCCTACTAGTACAGGAGCCAATTAATGACTAGTCAATAGACTAAGGTTTCTCCAGGGGAGAAACTCAAACCAGATGTTTTTTCATGACAGTTTGATGGTCAACAAACACACTAGAATTTCAGCAAATAGTTTATTGGTGGTTTCAAATATGAAATGTAATCGTAAACTTGGTAAACAATTTTGAAGAATTTGATGTTTCCCCAATCAGACAAAATGCCCAAGCATATTGCCCGAGAGGCGTTTCAAAGATGGCCACTGAGTGAAATTACTATTAATTATACTTAAAAGGACTTTAAGTGTATAAATCCACCGACGTCATACCTCCAAGACGTGCATGTTTTTGCTGAGAGTAGTATCTTTCTCTTTTAAAAAAATATTTTTTGGAGAAAAGATGGATGCCTGCAGGATTTTATTCCAAGGTACGCACAAATCCAGCACCGTCCCGCCCCGCCCCCTTCCGCCAGTCATGTCAAGAAACACTGATGCTTGCTGTCAAAGGCTGCATTATTCAAGGGTATTCGTTATGACATAACTTATTTCCTTTTTAATTTTAATATTTTGCTGAAATCTAAATGTAATAAAAGCACATAAGCGCCAAGGAAAAATCAGACGCTCAAGACGTAGTTATTAAAATTATGACATATTAAAAAGTTTGCAAATATATGACAGAAAATTGTGATAAAATACAATTAGTGAAGCATTAATTAAATCCTTACTTTCCACTAACCGAAAATCATCCACCCGCACAGTTGAGTAGTGGACGGGCTCAAACAAAAATAAAATTTGTAGCCTATATTTTTCTTAGAAAAACAATTTCATATATTGTTTGTCCCTTTGTTCAAATATTTTACTCGGTCAGTTGTCTTCTAGATAAAATAGAAGAACCAATAACATTTGAAGTAAAGTGCTTCAAAACCCGCAATATGCTTTAACAATGCCAAACCACAATGCCAAAGCCAAATTCGGATATTCGCAACAGCACTGAACATTTACCTCGGTGGAACAAACTCGGTTGGAATTGTAAGACACTTCAGAAGCTCGTGAGAATTTAGATGTCTGCTTATTTATGACAGTCTTTCTGATAAAATAGTTTAAAACACCTTGAATGGTAGCTGTTCCATGTGAGGAGGCCGCGCAGCAGCTGGGTCTGATCTGTCTGATAAACGAGACATGTTCCCCGGCTCAGGTGCTGATAATGAGACTGCGGTATTTGTCTCATTAGTTTTAGGCCTTTTGGCAAATGTCTCAATTAAGTTTAGCTGTTTTAAAGAGTGTTTACTCATTTTCACCTTGTTTTAAACAATAGCTATCTGAGTAGTGATTTTTAGGTGCGGAAAATCCACCAGCAAAACTAAAACCAACAAATTTCTTTACCCATCTCCCACCATGCAAGTACATACACACTTTAAAACACACACCTTTATTTGTTGTCATTCTGGCTTTGCTTTATCAATATATCGTAGTGTATCTGTTTAATAATCAATTTAAATTATGTAATAAAAAAATTAAAAAGCGGCATTAATTTGTGCCCTCTCATGGTAGGTACGCACAGTGCGTACAGCCGTACGCCTGCAGGCGCCACTGGATGCAGTACTATTCTATAGGTGCTTAAGAAGATTAAAATGAGAATAGGCAAAATGTGAACGATACTCCTGCTTTAAACCAAAGTGTGTTGCTTTCGTAAACAACACTAAATATCTGGCAGCATTGTGCACTATTTGTTTTCTGACATGTCCCAGATGATAATGTATAGCCACATTTTGTTTTATCTCAGTGTGACAGCTGTGACAGTTATCTGCGATAGGACAGAGGTCAGCAGAGATTTATGGGTCAGGAAAAAAACTGCACAGAGCTGGCAACCTTGCCAAGCCGTTGAGTGAAGACGTATGGGTATCAATCTTCAGGACATATCGAAGGCTTGAATCTCAGTATTGCTTTCAGTGGGTTATGTAAGGTTGGCAGGATACGCCACCTTCACCTCCCCTGCCTGAGGTGCTATTTTAATCCAGCAATGCCTCTCACATTTACATCACACCCTGCCACAACACAACCCTCACACAACCACAGAGGCTGAGCATGCCAGACGAATCATTTACGGCTCAGAACAAACCACAGAAGTGCAATGTGGAATTTCCCAATTTGTAATAATGGAAAAAAAATATTTATATATTTACATGATGTTAACAACTTATGCACACATACATAAACACACATGCATACATACATACATGCATACATACATACATACATACATACATACATACATACATACATACATACATACATATATACATGCATACATGAATATATGCATACATTCCATGCATACCTTACATTCATATCATGGTTATATCCACATTTTTATGAACCAGCACCATTTTCTTGAACCTCTAATCCTTATATTAGAATGATATTGAATATTGAATGACATTAGAATGGAATTTGAGAAACTGGAACCTAGATCTCTATAAGTTTATCATATCATATATATTATGGCTGCACAACATATAATTTCAGCATCAATAAAGTATAAAGCGTATAGTGCAAAAGCATCAAGGAGGTGTCCGAATCCACTTTTGCTATTTTAATGTACGAAAAATAAGCTTTGTGCCATAGTTCATGGTCTAATAGAGTTGTGCTAATTCTCTTCATGCGTTATGGGTGTGTTTTGAGCATAATGTGGATTAACCCAATCAGGGTCTTATCTCACATTTCCTTTAAGAGTGTCACGCCTTTGGTACATTTGCTATTTACATGGTGGACTATGTAAGAGGAAAAACTGAACGTTTCAGACCATCTGCAGCAAGTAAACAGCTTAACAGACCATCCGCAGCACAAGGATAAAGAATGATCCTCTTCCATTCGGCCTCTATACTTTCTCTTTACTTCTACTCTTTGCTTTACTCCTTTGATTTTGTGGATAAGGAAACAGTGTTGTACGCACTTCACTGAAAACATCCATTAGCCTACATGTTAAATTTTGTTTGTTAAATTCAAAGATTTGTTTCAAAACTAATTCTAAAATCAGTTATAATTTCCAGCAAATGAATGAATGAACAATAATAGCAAAGTGTGGTAAAAGGTTTTATCCAAACACTCCTATTCTAATCCTAATCCTATTCTTCAATGACAAAATGTATTTCAGTTTTTAAAAAGAGCAACATTCTAACAATATGCCTTAACACACCTCCTTTTTAGACCGAAACACCCATGAGTCCACAAAATAGTGCAAATTAATGTGCTATTTAAACAATTTCGCTCAAAACGTGGAAACAGTTTGCAGATCCTCCATTTCTATTTCAACTTGAGTGCTCACAAAGCAAGCAACGTAAAAACAGGCATGAGCAAATTTGGTGTGCAGGAACTTGACTGGCCTTGGTCCTGAGCTCAACCCAACAGAGCATCTTTGTTATGAATTAGAGTGGAGACCTTCTTATCCAACATCAGGGCCTGACTTCACAAATGCACTTCTAGAATAATACTAAAAAATTCCAATACACACATCAAAACCTTATTGAGAGCCTTACCTGGAGACTCCACATTAAACCCTACATATTAAGATTGGGGTGTCATAAAAGTTTATCTGCATGTAAAGACTGTGTGGCAATCTTCCAAACTGTGTGGCAATATAGTGTATTCACCCCCCAAAAAACTGTTATTTTAAATACACATATTTGCAATGTTAATGCTGATACTGTATTTTTTTACCTTAAAGGGCACATGTTTTGCCCCTTTTTCAAGATTTAAGATAAGAGTTTTGTGTCTCCAGAATGTATCTGTAAAGTTTCAGCTCAAAACAACCATCAGATTATTTATTAGACCTTTCAGAATATTAGGATTTTGTGCTCTGAGCATCCTTTAACTGTTTTTGTTGCCTATGCCTTTAATGCTAGTTCTCCCCACCCACCATTCCCACATGCCTGTCAGATTGTGTGTCTCAATCTCTGCCTCGGCTGCTTCAGATAAACAGCACAGTGACAGACATGAAAGAAGCAGATCTCACATAACGTTTGTTAGAAATACTAATGATTAAGTAAAGACGGTAAAATTGCTGTAATTCATTACAAACTCATTCTTGATTACATTTGATGATGATTGATGATCACAGAGAGCTAAGCAGATCTTTTAATCCCGGCTGCTTTGTGCACATCCTGTCTTATGGATATGATTATACGTGTTACAACGGAAACATGTTAATACGCAGCTGTCAATCAATTTGGTGGGTGGGGAAGCTGCACTCCTACGCCACATTGTAGTGGGCCTCAAAATAAGAGAGATTTGGATATAATTTTAAGATCAGGAAATTGAAAAAAAGAGACTTTTTGGTTTTATATCACCCCAATGTGACTGTGGACACACTATACCTACAGTACACAAAGTTCTGTCCAAACAGCTAACAAAAGATGATTTTCATAATAGGTGCCCTTTAATACAGCCACGTTGACTGTACTACCAGTAATAGTCACTGTGAGTTTGCCAAGCAAGAAGTGTTCTTGTATCAACATTCTTCTGTTGGTCCTGGAACACAATTTCTGTCATAAAAACATAATCCTAACACCACCTCTTACCATAAACATGATGGTTTCAAACCCAGCCTTGTGCTTCATTCTAATTTTAACAATATTGTTTAATATTGCAGTTGTCACTTAAACAAAAGATATTGATGCAGGAAATTGTGTGTATATTGTCCTAATTTTTGATATCCAGTATCCAGTCTGTTTGATTTAGAGAAATGTTGTTCGAGGACAAACACTGATGATGAATTAGGTTTACATGCTACTTTGTCAAATCAAAGTAATCCAACAAAAACAGTGCAGTGAAATGATGCTATTAGGTTAAAAGCTGAAAATATATGGAATATACACCACTGGTCAAAATTTGGGGTCAGTAGGATTTTTAAATGTTTAAAATAAGCTTATCCTGCTCACCAAGGCTTCTTTTGTTTGATCAAAAAATACAGTACAAATAGTAAAATTGTGAAATGTTATTGCACTATGAAATAACTGTTCAAAAGTAGTATATCCTTTATTTATTTAATAATGTATTCCAGTGATTTTAATGGTGAATTTTCAACTTAATTATACCAGTCTTCAGAATCACATGGTCCTTCAGAAACCAGTCTAATATTAATTATTCATTCATTCAATCTTTTTTTTGTCAGATTAGTCCCTTTATTAATCTGGGGTCGCCACAGTGGAATGAACCACCAACTTATCCAGCACGTTTTTACGCAGTGGATGCCCTTCCAGCCGCAACCCATCTCTGGGAAACATCCATTCACACACACTTATACAACATACTCATAGACAATTTAGCCTACCCAATTCACCTGTACCGCATGTCTTTGGACTGTGGGGGAAACCGGAGCACCCGGAGGAAACCCACACGAACGCAGGGAGAACATGCAAACTCCACACAGAAACGCCAACTGAGCCGAGGCTCGAACCAGTGACCCAGCGACCTTCTTGCTGTGCGGCGACAGCACTACCTACTGCGCCACTGCGTCACCCATGTAATATTATTATTATTATTATTATTATTATTATTATTAATAATAGTAATAATAATAATAGCAATATTGATTGGAATAATAATTTCATTTGAAACTACATACAATATTTTTTTTTTATTAAATATTTAAAAAAATGTTCAAGCCTTGATGAACAGAATAATTTTCTTAAATAAAAAAATAAAAAATAAAAACCTGGAAAAAAATTTAACTGACCCCACATTCACAGCAGTCTAGAAGGAATATGTTATAAACAATAAAGCAGGTGAAGAGCATTACCTGGCCCACAGGCCCGCAGGAGAGAACATGGCCTGGGCGAATGAGCTCTGATACAGGTAAAGACACACCAGGTGTCCACCGGTGAAGAAGGCCACCATCACACACAGGGCATTAAAGCCCAGATGGCTGATGGGAAAGTGACAAGCCCACCATGTGCACACTCCGATGAAGAGAAGGAAGTAGAAGGCAGAGAACGCAGAAGGTAAAGTGATTCCTGGAGACAGAAAAACAATAATTCAAAGCCAATTCATATACACACTGACAAAAATGCTACACAAGAAGATGAATACCACATGTTCCTAGTTCTGAAAAACGGATGTCTCTTAATGATGTGCTCTACAGTTACATTTGGACATTATGTAGATAAGGATTTCTGCAACTATATGTCAACTACTAGCTATTTTAATGTCTAATATCTACTTAACATTTTATTTGGATGAACCCCTCAGTTGAAAAAAATTAACATTATGTTATTCTGTCATTATGCCTAACTGTCTGGTTTGTATCTTTTATGATTTTATTTTGATGGTGCCCTTTAGACAAATACTGGGTAAGTAAATAGTAAGCAACATGTTTAAGTAACTCTAACAGTATATCAATACTTTACTAACATTTCAATGAGAGTTCCTTCATATATAGATGCATAGACACTTATAGTCAGTCATCTAAATGTGTAAAGGTGACTATAAAAATAGTCATAATATTTCAGAGCGTTTTTACTTATTGATTTAGCTTAACATTTTTTGTTGTGCTTGTTTAAAATTTTCTTCACATCCCGATAATAATGGGGTTGTGTTGCTTATGATCGCGCGAAGTGAAGACCAGTGTTAAGGCTGAGAAGAGTTATTTGGAGGCAGTGTCAAGGTGAACTTAAGTCCGGGTTGGGGTTTGGGTGGGTTTGGGGGTTAATAGTCACACGGGGCCCACCCCGTCCGCTACGCCACTGATGCTGAATTAAAACTTTTTAAAATGAATCAATAGTGGAGTTAGTTTTGCATTCTGGAGGAAGAATGACACAATGGCTGAAGTATTTTTTTAGACAGGTAATGATCTGTTTTAAAACTATTTTAGTCATGCAACGCTGATGTAGATTGTGTTTTTAAGAATGGGTTATATGCACAGAAGTGTTGTTCAGCCACAAAAATCTGCTGGCAAATGATTGAAGTGACTATTTTCAGTTTCTTATGGGACCTTTTACAGCATTAATAATGCAGATTTTTATTTAGTTTATCAACAAAACATAAGTAAATAGTGCTCTTCCACCTAGCCTGCTCTACTGAGCTGAAGTTGGTTTTATATTTACTTTGTTTTGTTTTTTTTAACATTGACAACCTGTGAAGTGCTCCCTGTATTGTTTACCATACTACTCTGAATATTATCTCTAAAATAGCATGTGAGTATGGCTTAGTAATAAGTGTAATTTCTGCATGCCGAAGGCCAACCACTGAGCATACAGTAGTCGCTTTAGGACAAAATTTGTGAGAGAGTGTGACTGATGAGTGAGAAAAATGAGAGAGTGATGACAAGTTTTGCTTGCTAACCACATTAAAAAAAATAAATAAATAAATAGCGTAACTTAACCTGATTTTTATATTTATTGTATTTATAGGAATACATAATATATTAAGTCTGCAAAAACATAAAATGAGGGCTTATTTTAAAAATTAGTTAAAATTCTGCATGCCTAACTATGACTGGACTAATAATCAAATATATATATGCAGTTGTAGTCAGAATTATTACACCCACTGAATTATTAGCCCCCCTGTTTATTTTATTACCCCAGAGACTAGTATGCAGTCTGGCAATCCCTCTAAAACCATCACTTGTTACAGCTGGGATCTGGAACCAGTTAGTCACACTTCTGGATTCTAAACCACTTACTGTTACTACTCAATGAAAACTGTAATAATTGTGACAAGATTCCACATACACAAATAAATAGCATTTTTAAAAGCATTTATTGTGCAAACATCCTTAAGGACATCACACTCTGCCACTTCTGTAGACCTACCTAAATGTAATATATTTAAATGCTTTATTATTTCGAGTTATGACTTTATTTTAAAGTAAAAATGTAAATCATGAACACACTTTTGAAGAAATTAACTTGATTTCAAGTTTAAAACTTATATGGACTGTTATTATTATCACGAGTATAGTTGAAGTCAAATTAATAGTAATAATTTTCTTTTTCAAACATTTGGCAAATGAGGTTTAACAGAACAAGGATTTTTTTATAGTATTTTCTGTTATAGTTTTTTCTTTTAGAGAGAGTTTTATTTGTTTTATTTCGGCTAAAATAAAAGCACTTTTTCATTTTTTAACACAATTTTAACCATTTTAACATGATAATATTTGGTTGGCTACAGAACAAACCGTCATCATATAATTTCTTGTCTAATCACCCTAACTTGCCTAATTGACCTAATTAAGCCTATAAATTGCACTTATAATATGAACACTAGTATCTTGAAAGAAATCTAGCAAAATATTATTTCTTGTCTTCTTTCCATTAAACAGAAACGGGTCTTTTATGTTGTGTTATGTTCTGTCTTACCAGCTAGAGCTAGTAGTGTTACAGCCAGGATGCGGCCCATGTTCCTAAGAAAGCGCTGTGCTGTGGCTCGCAGACGAGCTGCCAATTGTGCTGCACTGCTTGAGGAAGGACTCTCCTCATCCTCAGTCTCACTACAGGACAACATCCCCTCATCTTCCCCTTCCACATCCTCATCATCGTCTTCTGTTTCATCCGCCTAAAAAAAAAAAAGAGGACAGTGTCAAAATAAAGACATTGTCACTGATATCACATCTAAAATGACAATATTGGCATGTTAAAATGACAAAAACAAATACCAAAAACCAAAAGGGCCATTGGTGATTTGGTTGTTTTCACCAAAAGCAGTTACTTAACCTAAGCAAGTGAGTAAACCCACCCAGCAGGCACAGGACGTCAACATGATGTCAGATTGTACCCCAACTCCATGCGGACGTTGCATTTTGTTTGAAAATGTAAATTGGGTTGACGTCAGAACCCAACATCAAACCAACTTCAATGTACAACCTAAAATCAATCAAATATCAACGTCTAATGATGTTAAAGCTTGATGTTACCAATGTGACGTTTATCAGACATTGGAGTTTGGTTGCAATACCTGATGAATGAAAATCAGTATTTGACATCAATATAAAGTTGGTTTAAGATGTTGGCTCAATGTTTTTCAACACAACCTAAAATCAACCAAACATAAACATAATTTAACGGCCTCATTGGACATCAAAAAACGTTGTACCTTAGACCCTGACTTGAAACTAAATTTTGGTCACCTCACATCATGACCTACAGTAAGTCTTACCTAATATAAACATCTTATGATGTTGTGTGTCTGCTGTGCATTGCCTTAAAAGTTAAAAGCTGACTTTACTTAATAGGGGCCTATTATGCCCCTTTTTACAAGATGTAAAATAAGTCAGGGTGTCTATGTGAAATTTCAGTTAAAAATACCCCACAAACTCTTTAAAACTGTCACTTTTAGGCTTTGATACTAGTTGTGTCATTTTGGTGACTGTCGCTTTAAATTCAAATGAGATTGTGTTCTTAGCAGTCTTTTGAAAAGAGGGCGGAGCTACAAATGCATATGTGTCAGGATAGCGGCAAATTCAAAAACAAGACTAACGTCCTAGGCAAATGAGGAACGTGATTGTCACTAATGGGCGGGGCTTTCTCCCTCTGATGACACAAACAAAGGGAGATTGCTAATGAGTGTTTCTGCAGACAGTTTTTATGAAGTGTGATTGTAAAAAAATAAACTTAATATTTTAACATTTTAATAATAAGGCCCTTTTTAAAAAAAAACGTGAGTAAAACCTTATAACCTGTTACTGTTGAGTATGTTTTAATTTTGATAATTATGCCATTGGCTTAATAATTTCAAGATGCGGCACACGCTTGAAATGAAAGAAATTCAACATTCATTAACTCTCTCTCTCTATTTTGTTTTTCTTTTTTAAATATTTCCTAATTAACAGAGCAAAAAAATTTTCACAATATATCTGATAATATTTTTTCTTCTGGAGAAAGTCTTATTTGTTTTATTTCGGCTAGAATAAAAGCAGTTTTTAACACCATTTTAAGGACAATATGGTTAGCCCCTTTAAGCTAAAATTTCTAGAGTGTACAGCACAAACCATTGTTATACAATAACTTGCCTAATTACCCTAACCTGCCTAGTTAACCTGATTAACCTGGTTAAGCCTTTAAATGTCACTTTAAGCTGTATAGAAGTGTCTTGAAAAATATCTAGTCAAATAATATTCACTGTCAACATGACAAAGATAAAATAAATTAATTATATATATATATATATATATATATATATATATATATATATATATATATATATATATATATATATATATAAATATTGTATATGTATTTATCGACTGTATATATAAATATGGATTTACATTGCAGCCTTTGGCGTTTAGCTAATCACAATATTAAAGAATTTACAAAGAGTTATCAAAACCATGATAAACATTTATTCATTCGTTCATTTTCTTTTCAGCTTAGTTCCTTTATTAATCGGGGGTTGCGCCAGCGGAATGAACCGCCAACTTATCCAGCATATGTTTTTACGCAGCGGATGCCCTTCAAGCCGCAACCCATCTCTAGGAAACATCCATACCAACTCATTCACTCTCATACACTACGGACAATTTAGCCTACCCAATTCACCTGTATCACATGTCTTTGGACTGTGGGGGAAACCGGAGCACCCGGAGGAAAGCCACATGACTGCAGGGAGAACACGCAAACTCCACATAGAAATGCCTACTGACCCAGCCAAGGCTTGAACCAGCGACCTTCTTGCTGTGAGGCGACAGCTACTGCGCCACTGCGTCGCTTATTTCTTCATTGTACTTTTTTTAATATAAAACTCTAATGTAAAACTTACAGTTTAAATGCACATTTGTAAATGAACACTTAAAACAGTATAGTGAGCAATATGACAAAATGGTTGGAGATTTTTTTTTTTTTTTGGTACGTCAAAAAGTGTGGTTGTGTCCAGCAAGTCGGACAAGCTAATCCAGCAAAAATATTCTTAAAACGTCACTAAAATGCAATATTTATACCTCATAATTAAATAGAAATCAGCAAATAACTGCAAAAAGGCTCAGTTTTTCAGAAAAGAAATAAGCACCCCTTTCAATTAGCTGGCTACAGGCCTGATAGTGTAATGTTAAAGGAATGTTTATTAACTGATCCAGAAAAAGTTTAATAAAGACTTCTGTTTATTTAATGAATGAACCATGTCTCATATATCAGTATTAATAAAAGATGGAGGCTGTATTTTTTCTGACAAATTGCTTTAACCAAAATTGGACATGCTAGGGATTATATACTTTTACTGTAGAGTTGTTTACTCTGTAGTTAAGTTTTCAGAAAAATCTATTGAGTAGTATTAGTCTGCTTTATTGTTATAATGTGGGGTAAAGAGTGTGGAAAAAGACGAGCATTAATGACATTATCATGATGGACTCATTCAGTAGCGAACTTGAATTTATGTGACTTACATGTGACTTGAGTTTATGTGACTTTTTGTTGAAACAAGTAGAGATGCAGGAACACAAGCATGTGTCTAGAAAGTGATAAATGTCTGCAAAACATCAAAGGGTGCAGGATATTTTCTCAAGCATTTACTCTTGTGTGTACATGTGAGAGTGTGTTACTCTTGGCTCCTCAGGCTCATAGCATTCATAGCTGACCAGGCCTGCAGAGCCAGACATGTTTGCATGTTTTTGGCTGAAAAACAGGTGACCTGGTGCAAGCAAGGATACCTTCAAAAACGTTTTCCAACCGATTTAAGTAGCAGTTACTGATCTGCCACAGAAAAAGACTGACAAAACTAACTAGCAGAATAACATGCATCTAAAACCTCAATCAGAAATGATTCTTTATGAACAGCAGAAAAGGGGAAATATATACAGTATTATTTGTCATTTTGTGTTGCTTGCAAAAAATTAGTAATGTCACAACAATGTCACAAGATCACCACCCCCCATACACTAAAGAAAAGATGCTAGTTGAAAAGTGTTGTTGTGCATCACTAAAGATGTTTTCCCTCTAAGTGTATCATCCCGATTTTGAACATCCCTAATTATAAATATATAACACTTGCTAGTCTCCTTTCAAGGATTTTCAGCTGAGTGTTTTAACAGTGCTCAGCAGTGTCGGGGTCATCCCTCATTCCACAGCCTCATGTGACTGTATTAACACCTTCTCCAGCATTAACACTGAGTCCCAGTGAGGCTTCCACTGCCCTTTAAACAAATCCATGCAATCAGTATTCAAGGCCAGTTTAAAACTCAATTAGTAAGCTGGCTATTTATTCTCAAAAATAAATAAATAAATAAAACATGCTTTTAGCCATACAGTCATCTGTCTTGAAAAACTACCCTCAAAGCGATACGTTTGCAGTGGGTACAATGCACCCGTGAACCTTACCAAGAGCAGCATGATATTGGAAACATTTGCCATTACAATATTTTTTCCCCCTGCAAAATAAATATGAATACAGCTGATGACTTAAACAGCTCTATTTGTAAAGCCATTATTGTAGATCGAATGGGAAGATTTTGTAGAGGAGTGAAATAAAATTTCATATTTTATATGTATATTAAACATACCAACTAGATTCATAAAAAAACACAAACATATATATATATATATATATATATATATATATATATATATATATATATATACACACACACACACACACACACACACACACACACACACACACACACACACACACACACACACACACACATATATATATATATATATACGTTTGTGTTTATTTATGATTCTAGTTGGTATATATAGTATGGTGTGTGTATATATATATACCAACTAGAATCATTAATAAACACAAACAAGCAAAAAATAAAGTGAAACTTTAAGCTTTATGGCTTTCTGGGGAGAATCTTACAGTATTCCTGTACATAAATGTAATAATCCACTGTAAAATAATATTGCGTTGTCATCAACATATAAATAATCCAATGAAATTAATCTTTATTAAGCTTTTTTATGTGCTATTAAAACGCTTGAAACTCTCTAAAATGTAAACTCTTTAAAATAGTCATGGGGCCCTATCATACACCCAGCAAAGTAAAGCGTAAGACATGCAATTTGTAGCTATTTTCAGACCAGTGCAACCCTAATTTTAACATTTAATAAAAACTAGTTTAGATTTATTGTATGTGGGATTGTACTAAAGTCAGTTGTTTTGGGGTTAAAATACTGAACATTGTAAGTCAAATCATTTGTAAAGTAATTCCTCTTGATCCCAGCTTGTGTATATTGCATAATTGTCCATTGTACTTTCATGTGATCAAACATGAAAGAGTGTTGTTAATTTTATGTTTGCGGGAAGCTAAACATGTAATTGCATGTTTTTGGGGGAAAAAAGACAGTTCTGGTATCCCAGTGGACAAAGGGGATGACCTCTTGCCTTGCCTTGAAAAAGATAACCTATTTTTTGAAAAACAAAATTCATATATTTTGATCTATTTGGAAAATATTCTATGACTTTTTGGAGAATCTAGATGGTGACTCTTCTCTTGAACTGACAGACATTGAAAGTATATAGATTAGACAAATATGTTTTTGCTGTATTATTTAACATTAATATTGTTAATTTTCTTTCAAAGCGTGTTAATTTATTTTGAATCAATATTATTCTTG